ATTTAAGTAATCGTTATTTAAGTAATAGGGGGGATTTTGACATTTACTTGCAAATTTTCTGACCGTCTTTTCCTCTTTGCGGCTTCGGTCAACAATCACCGCTTTCACTTTTAGGTCAGCGAAAATGGATAGACCTGTGTATTTAAATCCCTTTCGGTCCAAATTGTTGCCAAATTTATGCTTTCTTTTTTCCTTTTACTCACGGTTCCAAATATTAGCCTTTTTTCGGAGAAATCGGCCACTCACGATCGCCAGACTCGGAGCTTCGCACTGTGAAGGAAACGAGTCGTTTCCATTGTGCCGTGTCTCCAACCCCACTCACCCTCGGGGCTCTTTCCCCGAGCATACCGGGGAGTACGGGAGTCGCAGAAGGCACCCTCCGGAACACCATGCCCTCAGAACGCTCTATCTGAGGTTTCCCAGGGTACCGCTTCGCTCTAGCGGTCACCCCTTTGCTTCACTGTGCTGGGGCTTTTTCAACCGAAAGAGCTCCTGTCTGCCATCAGCGGGCAACCAACCGGAAGTGGCTCCCCTGTGCAAGTTTTGTGTCACCTGCCAATTTGATGAGTATCCCCATAATGCCATCATCCAAGTCATATATAAAGACGTTGAACAACGACCCAGGACAGAACCGTGTGGCACCCCACTTGTCATTTTCCAGGATGATGAGGAACCATTAACGGGCACTCTTTGGGTTCAGTCCGTCAACCAGCTACCAACCCACCTAAAGGTAAAGTAAAAAAAGGTAAAGAACCCCTGGACAGTTAAGTCCACTCAAAGGCGACTATGGGGTTATGGCGCTCATATCGCTTTCAGGCCGAGGGAGCCGACATTTGTCCACAGTTTTCCGGGTCATGTGGCCAGCAGGAATAAACCGCTTCTGGTGTGACAGAATCTAGAGCGCCCGGAAACGCCATTTACCTTCCTGCCACAGTAGTACCAATTTATGTACTTGCACTGGCATGCTTTCAAACTGCTCGTCCAACCCACATTTTACCAGTTTCTCTGCAAGTCTATCACAGGGGACTTGGTCAAAAGCCTTACCTTCTCCCTGCAGCTGTTAGCTACTGTGTACCCTAATCCCTCGTGATTTGTCCTTCCTTCCATTTCGTATACATGCTCTTCTTAAATCTCAGCTCACCTTTAAGCTGCTTATGCAGCCACACAAGTTTCGTTGGATGCCTCCTACATTTCTTTCTTGTTGGATTTGTCTGCCTTTGTACCTTCAATATTTCACCTTTCAGAAATTCCCATCCATCTTGGACTCCTTCTCTTTAAGTATTTCTGACCCTGGGATCTCACTCAGTAACTCCCTAAACTTTTTGAAATTGGTCTTCTTAAAATCTGACAATACTCTGCTTTCCTTTCCTTCTAGATCATGAAACCCAGGAGGACATGATCACATCCTCCCAAGTTTCCCAGTATTTCAACTTGGTCAATCAGTTGCGTTGTGTTAAGGACCAGAATCAAAAGAGCAGGCAGCTGCCTTGTACTTTGAGGAGCCATGTGGACATTTTGTTGCTTATTCACCCAAGGCTCACAGATGGACCTACCAATGATAGTGACTTACTTGGACCCTAACACACATTGTAACAGAGCTCGGTCTCCTGCCTATCTCCTGTTAGAAACTGAGATATGGAAGTTAGTAGCTCAATGGCACCTTAGACCTAGTCCTTCTCCTCCTCACCTCCCTAATATTAAGAGGGTCTCTTCTCCAGTCTTCATGTGGGGAGGCAGAAAAAGGTCCTCCTTTCCTTCCACTCTGCAGTTTTAATCTGAAATCTTAGGCGAAGTATTGAACCGAGAGCTGAGAAACTGATCGCGCTAATGAAATTCCCTGTCGCAAAATGCGCCTAGAACAATGGGAGCTTCGAACACTGTGCTATCCCATATCAAAACTACCACCAAGGCCAACCTGCATCCTAAACGGATCACCATACTCCACACACAAATTCATTATAAGCCCTCAATATTATGCCCATGTACTTCATCAGGACTCTTCCTTTATTGGGCCGTTTCTCCAATGTCGCTCCACCAGGTGCCAAAAATCCTGCTGGCCACGTTGACTCATTTTTCTATTTTGCATTCTCATTTTGTATTTCTTATGTTGCCCTTGATCTTTGAAGGAAGGGTGGCATACAAATTTAATAAATAAATTTCTATACATCTTTTTCTATCTTCTCATTCATATTCCCTTTGATTTTATTCATTTGTTCTGCTTCCCTAAATATGGAGACCACCAATAATTAAATATAGATATTTAAAATGTCTGTGTGTGTGTTTTTGCACGCTTCCTTGCTTAAAAGTATTGCAATCTGCTTTTCGTTATTTTGGTAAGAAAGTGACGAATACGTTTAATAAAAAGAACAAATAAATCAAGAAAGGACAAACACATCCACAAACTCCCCTTTTCATATTTGCTCATTGGTGGCAGGCAATCAAGGATATCTAACTTGAGGCCTCCCGGTATGAGATACCTTTCATAACTGCGTCCACCTTCTTACCTGACTGCACCCAATTGACTGTCGGTCTGGGCGGCTGCACAAAGTTCTCCTCGCACATCTCCTGGCTGCACCAGTAACGTCTCTTCAGTCAGCTCTGTCCCATCCTTTGGTTTTGTTGTTGTTTAGTCATGTCCGACTCTTCGTGACCCATCCTTTGGTACCTCCCCCTAAATTGGATGTGGCATTGGCCAAATTTGCATAACCCCTTCAACCCCACAACAGGAGCCCTGTGGTGAAACCCAGCCAGCCCCACCACTGTGAAGTTAGGTGCCAGATTCCCACCTGCAGATATCTCCGCTGGAAGATTCTGCTTCGGAGGTCTTGCATCTTCCTTCTTCTGAAGCCATGGCACGGTGAACAAAGTCGAGGGAGTTAAGTCCCCTTTGCTACCTGAAGCCTCCGATCTTTCCACGCATGCTGCAATATCAAGCAAAGGTGGTTTAGTAGCCATTCTTCTTGATTGGGAAGGCTCACCATACTCCACACACAAATTCATTATAAGCCCTCAATATTATGCCCATGTACTTCATCAGGACTCTTCCTTAATTGGGCCGTTTCTCCAATGTCGCTCCACCAGGTGCCAAAAATCCTGCTGGCCACGTTGACTCATTTTTCTATTTTGCATTCTCATTTTGTATTTCTTATGTTGTGAGCTGCCCTTGATCTTTGAAGGAAGGGTGGCATACAAATTTAATAAATAAATTTCTATACATCTTTTTCTATCTTCTCATTCATATTCCCTCTGATTTTATTCATTTGTTCTGCTTCTCTAAATATAGAGAGCACCTATAAGTAAATATAGATTTAAAATGTCTCTGTGTGTGTGTGTGTGTGTGTGTGTCAGCTCTTCAGTCAGCACTTTGGTACCTCCCCCTAAACTGGCAGTGGCAATGGCCAAATTTGCATAACCCCTTCAACCCCACAACAGGAGCCCCGTGGTGAAACCCAGCTCCAAGCCAGCCAGCCCCACCACTGTGAAGGTAGGTGCCAGATTCTCACCTGCAGATATCTCCGCTGGAAGATTCTGCTTCGGAGGTCTTGCATCTTCCTTCTGAAGCCATGGCACGGCGAACAAGCTCGAGGTGAACAAGTCCCCTTTACTACCTGAAGCCTCCAATCTTTCCATGCAGGCTGCAATATCAAGCAAAGGTGGTTTAGTAGCCATTCTACTAGATTTGGAAGGTTTCTTACTCGCTACCCACTCTGTGGCCTCCAGCGGACCTCATGTCTGGGCCTCCCTCCCGTTTGGAAGAATCCTGAGGCTATTTGGTGGGCTGCTTTTGAGTTTGGTTTCCTTGCCTCCTGCTCCCTTCTCAAGATGCCATCACAATCCCTCTACTATGCAAGTAACTGCAGGAGGGGGCATACACAGATCCTAATCCGACCCACAAACAAACTGGATAATTACACATTAACCTGAGACCTTTTGCATGAAGAGCAAGTGCCCTCTTACATTTTAATTTTATGTCAGGGGTTTGTACGCAGGTGCCTAGCTGTTCCAAAAATTCCTACATTACAGCCCTGGCCCTAAACCTGGGTAGCTAATCTCTGGCACTCCAGAGGCTGCTGGACTTCAAGTCCCAACAGCCCTGGCCAGCAAGGCTAAGAAGCGAGGATGATGGGAGTTGCAATTGAGCAGCTTAGCCAGTTTAGCCAGCCAGCCACCCTCCCTGCCCAAATATCTTAGGTCACCGATAGTCAAGAAATCTGCTCCTTTCCTTTCAGAACGGAACCCTTGGGCTCCCAAAATCTGTGCCACCTGAATTCAAGTCCCTATAGCAGTTGCATACAGAGCTTCACAGCAGTCTGCTGGATTTGCTATTCCTTTCGCTGCTCCTTTTACGGCTGACGTAGGAAATCTCCAGCCAACAAGCTTATTCTGTTCCGGCACAGGCGTCAGTTTGACCTGTGACACTGTTTTCCCCAAGTCTCACCCACCAACCTCACACCTGAAGTCCCATGCCATGGAGTGGCAGATCACCTGCTTTGTGTGCAGAAGTTCCCAGGTTCAATCCCCAGCAGCATCTCCAGATAATAATAATAATAATAAGATTTATATACAGTGGTATCTCGGGTTACATACGCTTCAGGTTACAGACTCCGCTAACCCAGAAATAGTACCTCGGGTTAAGAACTTTGCTTCAGGATGAGAACAGAAATCGTGCTCTGGCATCGTGTTGGCAGCAGGAGGCCCCATTAGCTAAAGTGGTGCTTCAGGTTAAGAACAGTTTCAGGTTAAGAATGGACCTCCAAAACAAATTAAGTACTTAACCCGAGGTACCACTGTACTGCCTTTTAACAAGTGATATCAGGATGGTTCACAAGATAAAAGAACAAATAAGTAATTAAAACAAAAACAACGAAACAACAACTATTTATTTCTTCTACCCTGCCCATCTGACTGGGTTGCCCCAGCCACTCAGTGCAGCTTCAACAAAAATACAGTGTCAAACATTAAAAGCTTCCCGATACAGGGCTGCCTTCAGAATTCCCATCTCTTTGACAAGCGACAGGAAGGTGTTCCACAGGGCAGGCACCACTACCGGTAAGTCCCTCTCCCTGTTTCCCTGTAACTTCACTTCCAGCAATGAGTGGACTGCCAGAAGGCCCTCGGAGCTGGACCTCAATGTCCAGGCCGAGCAACAGGGGTGAAGCCACTCCTTCAGGTAAACAGGGCTGGCGGCATTCCATGCCTGAAACCCTGGAGAGGTTCTGCCAGTCAATGAGGCAATATTACGCTAAATGGACCAGTGGTCTGACTCAGGATGATGCAGCTTCCAGCACCAAAAGGTCCCGGGTTCAGTTCGCAGCATCTCCAAAAAGGGCTGGGAGAAACTCCCTGCCTGAAGCCACCAGTCCGTGCAGACCATTTTTTCTCAAACCTGAATTCCCAGCTGCCATTGGACTACAACCCCCACCATCCCTGATCACTGGTCCTGCTAGCTATGGGTGATGGGAGTTATAGTCCAACAACAGCTGAGAATTCAAGTTTGAGGAATAATGGTATAGAAAATACTGAGCTCAGGTGGATCCAACATTGCCAAGAGTTGAGCTCTATGCCTTTCTGTGTGCCCAAGTTATTCTTGCCCAGCTGCAGGAGGATAACATCTGGAGGCACCAGCCGCTCCCAAATCATGCATGTCCTCCTAACCCAGCCACACAACGTGCAGCCTGTGACCCAGCCCAAGGTGGGATTCTCTCCCGGACGCCAGCATGTGCTTCCTTGCACACAACTGTGTCCAGAAAACCTTACATGCAGGGGCTGCAACTAAACAGAAACAAAGTCAACGTGATGCCACCACGTACCCCTTTGTGTGCAGTCTATATAGCTCAGTTGGTAGGCCATGAGGCTCTTGATCTCTGGTGCATTTACAATCCTCTTCAACAGGGGTCAGCAAACCTTTCCAGCAGTGGGCCATTCCACCGTCTCTCAGACCATGTGGTGAGCCGGACTATATTTGGGGGGGGGGGGAGTCAGAATTCCTATGCCCCACAAATAACCCAGAGATGCATTTTAAATAAAAGGGCACATTCTACTCATGTAAAAACACACTGATTCCCAGACCATCCGAGGGCTGGATTGAGAAGGCGATTGGGCTGCATCCGGCCCCTGGGCCTTTGGTTGCCTACCCCTGCTCTTCAATCACCCAGACTGGTGACCTGCAAGCAAATCTCTGACTCCCCTCATGTCCAAGCAGTTTTGGACTATGTCAAGAATAGAAGATCCTGGTGCCATCCAGGTGCTGTTAATGGAATCATAGAATTGTAGAAGTCCCCAAGAATTCTCTAGTCCAACCCCTGCAATGCAGGACTCCCAGCTCCCATCATCCCTGATCCTTAGCAAAATATCTAGGTTTGATACTATCCACAAACTATCTGCTAAAGAGCACTAAAGGATTAGAAATTCTCGCAAGCCTTTCCGTACACAGTTACCATACTTGGAACACATGTAGCTTCCTGTTCAGCAAAACCTCAAACCACAATATAAGCAACATGTGCTCTGACACAACCCTGATCTGACTTCATTACTTCCGTTTCCTTGAGAATCGCTTGCTTCTCCATCAAGCTGTATTTGAAGCACAAGAGATCCATCCACAGCAATGAGAACACCTAAACAGCAATGCGCCAGCTCTCCTGGTACAGCTCTTGAAGCCTCAACTAGCATTTTTCCTCACTGGCCCAAGAGCCAGCGTAGTGAAGTGGTGAGAGTGCTGGACTAGGGCCAGGGAGACCCGAGTTCAAATCCCCCCTCAGCTTTAAACTCAGTGGGTGATGTTGAAGAAAAAGAAGAGTCTCAAAGCGGCCAACATTCTCCTTTCCCTTCCTCTCCCACAACAAACACTCTGTGAGGTGAGTGAGGCTGAGACTTCAGAGAAGTGTGACTAGCCCAAGGTTACCCAGCAGCTGCATGTGGAGGAGCGGGGAAGCGAACCCGGTTCACCAGATTACGAGTCCACTGCTCTTAACCACTACACCACACTGGCTCTCAGGATTGTTGTGGGGTGAAATGAGGAGGGGGAGAATCATGTATGCCACGTTCTCTCATCGGAGGATAGAAATGTAGCCATAAAGCAGTAAAATCACATATCATTGTGTATTCGGTATGCCACAAAAGGAACCAGTCGACCGGACCAACGGATTGCAGAAAAGATCCCTGCACCCTAGAAGCAACAGCACAGGTGTGTTCACCACTACCAGAGAAGCCGGCTGGATCTCAGGGCAGTCCTGAACCTGAGCAGGGACTGTGCATTATATCACCAATGCAAGTCTTGACGGATATCTCCAACGCAGAACAACCTCCCTCTACAGCCAGACCCACCCTCAGCCCCCTTCCCGACAACTCCTCACCTGAGCAAGGAGGAACGACTCCTGGCACCACTTCCTGACTGCTCTCCTGCTTCTTTTCTTTGCTTCCTGCAGGAATACTTAACTGGGGGCTTGGGCCAGCCACACTTGGGCTTTCCCGCACACTTGAGGCCTCCTTGGAGGCTAAGGCAGCTTGCACCACCTGGGTTGCAACTAGCTGCATCATGGAGACAAGGGATGCTGGATCGATCTGCACAACAGGGGGCAAGCTTGTTCCTTGGGTGAGTCCAGCACCCACTGCACCTCCAGGCTGCAGCAGCGACAGGGCCTGCATGACACTTTGTTCTACAAGAGGCGTCAACGACAAGCGCAACTGATCTTCACGTTGGCGATCTCCTTGTTCCTGCGTTGCTGCCTCCTTCTTGGGAAGCTCCTGATGGCCAGGGTTTGTCTGCAGTGGATGGTCTGACTTGCTGGGTGGTTGTTCTGCCTCTTCAGATTTGGATGGAGGTTGCCGGTCTCCTTGTTCCTGCGCTGCTGCCTCCTTCTTGGGCAGCTCCTGATGGTGGGGATTTGTCTGCAGTGGATGGTCTGACTTGTTGGGTGGCTGTTCTGCCACATCAGATTTGGATGGAGGTTGCTGGTCTCCTTGCTCCTGCATTGCTGCCTCCATCTTGGGCAGCTCCTGATGGTCGGGATTTGTCTGCAGTGGATGGTCTGTCTTGCTGGGTGGTTGTTCTGCCACATCAGATTTGGATGGAGGTTGCCGGTCTGCTTGTTCCTCCATTGCTGCTTCCTTCTTGGGCAGCTCCTGATGGCTGGGATTTGTCTGCAGTGGATGGTCTGTCTTGCTGGGTGGTTGTTCTGCCACATCAGATTTGGCTGGAGGTTGCTGGTCTGCTTGCTCCTGCGTTGCTGCCTCCATCTTGGGCAGCTCCTGGTGGCCGGGATTTGTCTGCAGTGGCCGGTCAGACTTGTTGGGTGGTTGTTCTGCCACATCAGATTTGGCTGGAGGTTTTGCCACATTAGATTTGGCTGGTCTCCTTTTTCCTCGTTTCCTTGTCCTGGTCTTCTTCCTGGTCTCCTTTTGCTGGTCTCCTTGTTCCTGCGTTGCTGCCTCTTTCTTGGGCAGCTCCTGATGGCCGAGATTTGTCTGTGGTGGATGGTCTGACTTGGGTGCGAGTTCTGCCACATCAGATTTGGCTGAAGGTTGCTGGTCTCCTTGTTCCTGCGTTGCTGCCTCCTTCTTGGGCAGCTCCTGATGGTCGGGATTTGTCTGCAGTGGATGGTCTGACTTGTTGGGTGGTTGTTCTGCCACATCAGATTTGGATGGAGGTTGCCGGTCTGCTTGTTCCTCCATTGCTGCTTCCTTCTTGGGCAGCTCCTGATGGTCGGGATTTGTCTGCAGTGGATGGTCTGACTTGTTGGGTGGTTGTTCTGCCACATCAGATTTGGATGGAGGTTGCCGGTCTGCTTGTTCCTCCATTGCTGCTTCCTTCTTGGGCAGCTCCTGATGGCTGGGATTTGTCTGCAGTGGATGGTCTGATTTGTTGGGTGGTTGTTCTGCCACATCAGATTTGGCTGGAGGTTGCCGGTCTGCTTGTTCCTGCGTTGCGGCCTCCTTCTTGGGCAGTTCCTGATGGCCGGGATTTGTCAGTAGTGGATGCTCTGACTTGTTGGGTGGTTGTTCTGCAGCATCAGATTTGGCTGGAGGTTCCCTGGAGCTTCCTGCTTCTGCAGACGATGCTAAAGAGGGGGAGAAAAAGCAAGTGGCTCATTATTATTATGATTATGATTAGCAGTAGTATTGATTAAATTGGTATACCGCCCTCCATCCATACATCTCAGGGCAGTTCACAACATAAAAATACAAGATTTAAAAACCCAAAAGATACAAAATGGAACCAATAACCCCCCCCCCCCCGCAGTTCATCAACGCTCTATTGCAACAACTTCAGGTCTACCTTTGGCAACAATACTGCAGGGAAGCAGCAGAATATCTCCCCTGATCCTTGGTCACTGCTGAATTTGCAACAAAGTTCTACCCTGCATAGCATGAGTGCAAGAAGATAATTGTACTAAGCAACTGTAAAAAATACCAAGTGGGTGGGGGAAAACTCCAGAGGAGTGAAATGGCTGAGATCAACCAACAACCTATTTTGAAATGAGTTGCAGAGTCATTCACACAATCCAATATAGGAACAAGCTTGGTCTCCTTGGCAGGCATTATATTGACACAATGACAAAGCCAGGAGAAAAACCCCAGAACAGAACAAAGTATTCACTGAGCCAAAGCCACTGCAACACGCCTGCCATTATCACACTCATAATCCTGCTTACAAAAAACCAAAGGCCAGTTAATGAAGCATCTGTAACATCCACCTTACCTAGAGATCTAGTTGATTTTCTCAGTTCTCTCTTCTGGCTAAAAGAGCTTTGAGAACTCGAGCTGGGGGAGCTTGGTCGCTCTGAAGACCTGGACCTACATCTGGGGCTCCTAGATCGTGACCGTTTGCTGTGGGGCCCAGGGCTCCTAGATCGTGACCGAGTCTGACTTGAGGCATGGCCAGGAATTGAGTGCTGTGGAGCGTTCGGGTTAGAACTGGTAGAGCATGGCATTGGAATATGTTTTTCCTTCTTGTCGCCTTCATGTCTGCAAAAGGCAGAAAAAACAGGATTTGAATGACTTCTCTTTTTCAAATGTAAAAGGAGAAATCAGATCTGCCAAGATGTTATTTTTGCAAATGGAAATCAACTAGAAATAGGAACTCTCAGGGTTAAAGCTAAAAGCATCAAAAGTCTACAGAATACGGCTGATGGGCCTGCAGCATCCAATGACTAAAGGAACTCAGATGACGGGAACAGAATGCCCAGCTTCATACCAGAGAAACTCCGACAGCTCCTACATGTACAGGTCAGGGACAACCAGTAACCTGGGGTGGAAAATATTGTCCCGGGGGGGGGTACTTTTTCTGCAGCAGTGTTTCTTGTTACATAGTTCCTAATAAGCATTGAACGGGGGCTAACTGCAGATACTTGGCAGTTTTACATTTTTGAGTTTTCTCTACTAAATACAATGAAGGACCAGAATTAGATCACAGATCACTTTCTTGGGCATCAGAAAATGTCCCAGTGCAGAATACCCTCATACACAATTTCCCATTCAAAATGTCTCCAAAAACCCACACCATCGGGGACAACAGGGAAATGTGATTACTGCAGCCTAATCTCATTACTGAGTATTCATGTTGAGATTGAAAGGTTACCTCTGTAATGAAGGGCAGTCTTCTGGATTCCAGTCAGGATACCTGTTTCAAGAAAAGCCCGCAAAACAGCTGTATTATTCCTTTGACACAGTACATGTACTCCATTCCATTATCATTCAGGCAAGTTTCTAAAACTGAAAATTATTTCTTTTGTCCAAATTATTAATCTCTTACTACTGATCTTCTGGGAAAGTTTACAGGTGATTCCATGAGGATTCCCTGACTCTTGGACCCAGTATTCCAAAAGCTCCCTGGCATGAGATTCAGGTCCCAGCTCCTCAAAGAACTGGTTTGTCCTGAAGCCACACCTCATAAAACTCTGCTCATGCTCCACAGGCATCTAAAAGCCACAGAATGCAAGATGAGATGCCTCTGAGCTTCTGCCTTCTTCCCTGGTTCAGCTCCACAATCGGCCTACAGACCACTTATACAAATTCAGGCAAAACACAACCTAGAGCAGGCACCGTTCCTTCAAAGGTGAGCTCCCACAACTTCCTTGGCTGAGGTTTGTGGCAAGGCATGTAAGCAATGGCTCTGCTGCTTTTAGCAAAGCCCTGTGCTATCCAGGCAGTCCTTTTCAAACCATTTCAAATCCTCAATCTATTCCCAATAAATTAAAATGAAAGGCCTTACTGTTGGCGTAGCTCATCACATTTCTCGGAGTGTGCAGCAGTGCGCACGTGCAGATTCCAGCCCTACAGGGAGAGAGGGAAGAAATCAGCATGAGAAAACAAAAAAGCCTGGATGCTAGATGAGAACAAAGTGTCACCTAGTCCAGCATCCCTTCTCCTGCGGCAGTCCGCCAGATGCTTCTGAGAAACCCACAGAAGGGCCCTCCTCTGCTGCTGCTGCTGCTGCTTCTCCCAGCAGCAACTAATTTTTTAAAAAAACACATAGCGGTATATACACTTTTTATAAAAATAAAACACTAAGTTCCACTTAGTGATATGCCCAATACCCATTGATGGAGCTTCCATCTATAAAACTGCATAATCTCGTCATTTAAGGTCATGAGAGTCCGTGGCAGTGCTGAAAACTAGCCAGGTGCCAAGCACATTTTGCACCTAGCTACCAGGCACTTACAACCAAGTGGAGATGCCTGGGTGCCAGGATGGCGCCTGATGTCTCCACAACCTGGAGGTGCATGCCTGGGGATCCTGGGATCGTGATAGTCAAAGTTCTTAACCTGGCTCAAGGTTGTCGCTTGAACTAGCCAGATGTTTAACTGAGAATCAATCACAGTCAGTCCATCATTAGTAAAATAAGACTTCAGATCCATCTGGCCCCCAAATGGCAACTAGACATTCCATTTTGGCAACTGACACCTTGGTTTAAGGAGCCATTTGTCACCTAGCTTATATATCTGAGTTTCTACAGCAGAGTAGAAACACACTCACTTGATCTTCAATCCTGTGTATGAGTTTAACACTGGACAATGTTCAATACTGTGCAATGCATTTAATATTAAAATAGACAACAGCAGCTCAAAGTTAGATAAGACAAGAGTCTCCAGACATGGTGTCAGGTTTGAATCCCACCGATGTCAAATGGGCGTTCTGGACGTGGGGATTCATGAGGCCCTGAGGTGGCAGAGATGTCTCCTTGGGGATTAGGGGAGGGGAGATATGCTGCAGTGATGCTGTCGAACAACATTTGGCAGTCACCATGTTGACTTCCCCAGGATAACATCAACCACTCCTCATAGCGTTAAGATCTGCTTGAAAGCCAGAGTGGAAAATGCACTCATCCTGGGCTCAATACAACCGTGTGCACTTTTTTCCTGCAAAAACAAAGAACTCACTGTCATATCTGCACATTCTATTTTACACAGAGAACACACGTGTGGAAGTACTGTTGGCGACACAGCATGATAATCGTTCATCATTGACGGAGATGGAGATCCTGAAGACTGAGGCATCAACGAAGCCGCAGGTGTTGTTGCGGATTGAGCTGCTGACGGTACACCAGGTCCTGCTGAGGGAAGGTATGATTCTGTTATGCAACACAGATGGATGCCAACGAAATTCCAGGAGAGAGGGTGCCAAGGGCAAAGGCCACCTCGAAGCTTGCTCCTACTGGATATCTCCTTCCTGCCCCCCAAAAAGATCATTTCCCATCAACTACTCTGCGCAGGGGACAGTAAGCAAACAATGCATCGGGGTCTGATCCAGCTGAACCCCTCCCATCCTCCAGGGCCATTCTGAAGATCCACAGTGGTGTAGTGGTTAGTGTAGGACACAGAGCTGGGAGGCCAGGGTTCAAATCTCCACTCGGCCACAATGCCTGCAAAGTGACCTTGGGCCAGTCACTGCCTCTCGACCTAACCTATCACACAGAGCAGTTGTGAGGACAAAAAGAGAAGAGGGAGAGCCATGTACGCCCCCTCAAGGTCCCTGGATAAAAAGGTAGGATAGAAATGAAATTAATAAATAAACTAATAAATAATTCTGCCAGACATTGCCCAGTAGGCAGGATACTGATGGGATTCTATACTATGGTATCTTTTTTTGAAAAAAATGTAGGTTAATGTCACCTGTAAACCGCATTGGAAGGATTCGGATCCTGAAAGGCAGGATATAAGTAACTGTAACAACAAAAAACACCCCCTCCCCAAAAAACCTCCTTGCTTATAGTACCCATGGGTGTGTGAGAGGGCAAGATATCTACGGTGCTTTCCTGGAACCCAAACTGTCGTCTTTCTTCTCCACCAGTGTTTGTAAGAGCTTAAAAAGAGCCCAGCTACCTGATCACGCCAGCAGCCTATCTAGCCCAGCAGCCAGTTCTGCAGAGATCACAAGCAGCACTGCCCGCTTCTGTTCTCCAGCTACTAGTATACAGATGTGCCCATCCTCCAATCCTGGAGGTTGCATCCCTCATCATAACAAGCAACCATCATAACAAGCCTTACTCTCTGAATTTGTCTAATCCACTTTTGAATTCTTCCACATTGGTGGCTGTCACTGCATCATGTGGTAGAAAATGCCATAGTTTAACCCTGAAGTCTTCATGGGATCACTGGTTAGCCTGGTTTCTACACACTTGCTGCCATATTCATAACTGGACTTACTTTTCATCTGGGAATCAGATCCACCATGTCCACCAGAGGTTTCCTCTTCTTTGCCCTGAGATGAAGTGGGCAACTGACGAGCCTTCTTGCGCTCAACGATGTCCCTCAGAATCATAGCCATGTTTTCAGGCTTCAGCTGATCATCTGAATAGTGGCCAAATTCCTCCAAATCTTTAGCAGATAAGCCAAAGTTTGAGAGAATTCTTGCAGCACTCTCTTCTGTGTAATGCCTCTGATTATCTGCAGCATTTTCTGAAGTGGGCTGAATTGAGCTACAATTACCAGGTGGCAATGGATCATTCTCCTGACTGTTAGTGCCACATCCTTCCATCCCAGAAGATGACTTTCCTGGCCCTCCAAAAGTCCTACACTGCCTTTGGTCAGGTGCATTAGGTCCTGAAGACATGCTCTCTTTAGGATCACACATATTAGGACAGGGGCCGCTCATATTTGGCTGCGTATATTTTCTGCGTTTCTTTCTGGGTTGCCATGTGTCATCTGGACAAGGATCTTCGGTCCATGGGGTCATATCTCCTCCGGGTCCCCACGTGTCATCTGGACAAGGATCTTCGGTCCATGGGGTCATATCTCCTTCGGGTCCCCATGTGTCATCTGGACAAGGACCTCCCATCCACGGGGGCATATTTCCTCCGGGTCCCCACGTGTCATCTGGACAAGGACCTCCCATCCATGGGGGCATATTTCCTCTGGGTCCCCACATGTTACCTGGGCAAGGACCTCTCATCCATGGGGGCATATTTCCTCTAGGTCCCCACCTGTAATCCCAGAAATTTCCCTTCTTCTGTTGGTTTTTCTTTTTTTTAGACTTGACCATGGCTAATTACACCTATGACCAATTTAAGGATGAAGTGTGGCAGAATGGTCAGAAGCAACAGGGTTCAACCACTGAGATCACTTGGTCTTAAACTGAACAAGCTGCAGAGGAGGACACTACAGAGGGAAATGCCAAATCTGCAGCAATTCACAGCAGACACCACCACCAAGCTGAAAGTAAAAACACAAAATGTAATCAGAAAGGAAGGAGGTGTGCGGAGGCTTTCCAGTGTACTGCACTGTGCGTCGCATGCATGACTGTTGGCCTGCTGTCCTTGAGGCCAGGGTGGCTGACCAAGAGAAATTGAGAGAGGCAGAGAGGATGAGGCATTTGGGCATTTTACTACTGGGTTCTGAGGCCAGAATGATAGCTCCTATGCTGTTGTGGACAATGAGGCTCCCCTAGAAGAACACCAAGCTAAGGAAGAGGCAAGCAAACCCTTAGAAGGGGACCATTCCTTGGAGGATGTGCAGTTGTCCTCTTGTGCTGAAGATAGTCCTCCAGGGAGGGATGGAGGAATCCTAACAGCCGGTGGTCTGATAATTAGGAATACAGATCATGGTATTATATTAGGGTAGCTATCAAAGTTGTGGGTGGGTGACACAGCTTTGTGATGCTTTCAGTCCTACTTGGATGGCCATTTTCAGAAGGTAGGAGTATTGTTCAGCTCCAGTGCGTACATATTAATACTATTATTATTTATTAAATTTCTGTATTACCCTTTATCCGAGGATTACAGGGCAGTTGACAATAAAACAACAACAACAAATTCCCCACACATAGTTTAAAAGGGCATCAGATGTCAATCAGCCAAAGCCTTAGCAGAAGAGGAATTTTTTTGCCTGGAGCCTAAAGTAAGGAAGCAACCAGGCAAGCCTCCCTGGGGACAGCATCCCAAAAGTAAGAGGCCTCTGCAGAAAAGACCCTGCTCTCATGTTGCCACCCTCCAGACCTCTTAAGGAGGAGGCACACAGGAGGACGGCCTTTAGATGTCTTCTAAAAGTCAGATAGTTGTTTACTTCCTTAACAACTGACAGGAGGTTGTCCCCCAGGGTAGGTGCAACTGCCAAGGCAGACATCCAAGGGTAGCCCTGTTTTTGATGGTTGAGGTCATTTTGTATTGGAGGCCCCCCAGAGTCTCTGGGGGAAGCCAGATATATTATTATTCTTATCACAAGGCCTCGTTCCTGGTCCATCACTGCCAGCTCAGACCCCCCCCCCCCCCCGGGAAAAGATGTGACGCTAAGGGATATTTTTGCCCTGACACACATCACATTATTTTATCTTATTTATAGTATTTGTTACTCAGCTGTTCACCAAAAAGGCTGCCAGAGTGGCTTGCATGTAATTATCAGAACAAAGCAAACCACTACCTTCAGGCTCACAAACTAAGAACAAGAAGTGTGAAACACAAGGGAAGAGCTTCACACTTAGAACTGGCCTTCATATACTTGCAATCAAAATTATTCAACCCCCATTGCAAACTGGGTTTATTATCAAAATTTACAATTTATAAGCTGCAATTTCAGCTGAATTTGAGAAAGGCACTTCAAGCATCCCTTCCGATGAGTCATTTCTATTGCTTTTGTTTGATTTGCTCATGGCAAACAACTGAAAGTCTGCAAATTTTGATAATAAGCCCAATAATAATAAGCCTTGGGGGTTGAATAATTTTGATTGCAACTATCTCACCAGTCTCCTCTTCTCCAGACTGAACATACCCAGCTCCCTTCTCAGGATTGGTTTCCAGACTCTGGGTCACTCTTTTCTCCACACAATCCAACTTGTTGATCACCTTCTTAAATTGTGGGGCCCAGAACTGAACACAGGATTCCAAGCGTGGTTGGGCCAAGGCAGAAATATGCCCTCCAACCTTTCTCTAATGAAAATAGGGACGTCCTATGCCATAATAATTTTACTCTTTATACCCCCCCCCAATCTGACTGGGTTTCCCCAGCCACTCTGGGCAGCTTCCAACATATAGAAAATAGAATAAAAAAACATTAACTTCCCTCTACAGGATTGCTTTCCGACGGCTCTGGGGTCAGATAACTCCATACCCTCCAACATTTCTCCCTTCCTAAGGAGACGTCCTAAGGGGAAACGGGACATTCCAGGATCTTATCAGAAACTGGGAGAGCTTTTGTAAATCTGGAACTGTCCTTGGAAAACAGGGACACTTGGAGGGTCTGTAGTAGTAGTAGTAACAACAACAACAAAACAATAAATAACAATAACAACAACCACAAGGCAGCCCTGTTTAGGGAAGCTCTTAATATTTGATGAATTATTCTTTTTTTAATATTTTGTTAGAAGCCGCCCAGAGTGGCTGGGGAAACCCAGCCAGATGGGCGGGGCATAAGTAAATAAATTATTATTATTATTATTACTACTACTACTATTATTATTATAACAACAGCTCCACCCCCTCCTCCTCCCCTCCATTCCGGCTTCTGCCTGGCAACTGAAAAGGCCTACCCGGGGGCAGCCAATCAGGGTCCGCCCTTTCCCTCCCTGAGGATTAGAAGCCCCGCAGGCAGAGGACGAAAGGTTCTCCCGCCGAAGACGACGCCTCGGAGCCAAGGCGGCGAGCGGGGGAAGGAGAACGAGGCCTCTTCAGGCGCGGACCCTGCCTCCCCGGCCGCCCCCATCCCCGGCCGCCATCTTGCGCCGCTTACCTCAGCCGACGCCTCTTGCCGCCGCCGCCGCAACCGTCCTCGGAGCGCCACACTGCGCGTGCGCGGCGGGCCCCTGGCTGCGGATTGGCTAGCGGACAGAGGGGGCGGGGCCGAACGAATGCGCGCTCGCGCTCTCTCTCGCTCTCTCTCTCAGGCCCATCTGGAGAAGGGCGCATGTGCGCTCGGCGTCTCCTTCCTGCGCGTGCGCTCTCGGCGCCGCCGCCCCTGCTCCTGACTGGTGGAGCCTCCCTAGCCAGAGGCAGTCTACCCCCGGCGGCCGGATGGCGGCGTCTTCTCTTCCTTACCTCACGTACGAAAGGCTGTTGACGGCCATGGGGTATTCGAGTGTTGGTGGGTTTGGGACCTGGAAGAGACCTGGGTTCGAATCCCGGGGTGCTCGGGCCCAGCCACTGCCCCTCAGCCCAAGCTACCTCACCAGGGTTGTTGTGGGGATAAAAAGGAGGAGGAGGAGACTTACGCACACCACCTTCGTGGGAAATAGTATTGGTTTGTTTATTAAATTTATATACTGTACTGCCCTTTATCCGAGGGCCACAAGGTGGTTTAGAGACGAAAGGTGGGATATAGGCAAAAGGAATGAATGAAAGAAGTATGCAGCTCCTAAGCTAAGATAAAATTAAAGCTAGGATAAATTAAAAGACGCCTGCTTCTTGGGAGAAAAACAATGACAAACCTGGACAGCATCTTAAAAAGCAGAGACATCACCTTGCCAACAAAGGTCCGTATAGTGAAAGCTATGGTTTTCCCAGTGGTGATGTATGGAAGTGAGAGCTGGACCATCAAGAAGGCTGATCGCCGAAGAATGGATGCTTTTGAATTCTGGTGCTGGAGGAGACTCTTGAGAGTCCCATGGACTGCAAGAAGATCAAACCTCTCCATTCTGAAGGAAATCAGCCCTGAGTGCTCACTGGAAGGACAGATCCTGAAGCTGAGGCTCCAAGACTTTGGCCACCTCATGAGAAGAGAAGACTCCCTGGAAAAGACCCTGATGTTGGGAAAGATGGAGGGCACAAGGAGAAGGGGACGACAGAGGATGAGATGGTGGGACAGTGTTCTCGAAGCAACCAGGATGAGTTTGACCAAACTGCGGGAGGCAGTGGAAGACAGGAGGGCCTGGCATGCTCTGGTCCAGGGGTCACGAAGAGTCTGACATGACTAAACGACTAAACAGCAACAACAAATTATATATATTTATTTACATCCCTTCTTTTTACCCCGGCAGGGATTCTAGGCAGCTTACAGTTAAAACAAGAGCTGAAAATATAGGGGGGGAACAATAATTAAAAACAATTAAACATTAATGGAATTATGCATGTGTGATATTTATTTAAAAATTTAAATATATTAGTCATTGTCATAATAATAATAATTACTTGTACCCCACCCATCTGACTGGGTTGCCACAGATTACAGTAGAAAGAGCATGGCCTCAGCCCTTTCATTAAAAGCAGTCAGTTCCCAAAAGCTTGTTGGAACAAAAAGTTATTTACCTGCCTGTCTAACCTCTTTAGGCAGGGAGTTCCAAACTCTGGGAGTAGCCACCAAGAAGGCCCCATCTTAATTAATTAACAAGATTTATAATCTATTGTACTGTCCTGGTATCAGGCACTTGTGCCTTACAACATGATCCAAAAAAACCCAGAGTCATTACACAACAAGTTGTTGTTTTTTAATTACTTTCTTTGGAACTGCTTTACTTGTTTTGCCTGATTATGTTGTTGGTACCTGCCTCCAGAGCTTGTAGTGAAGAAAGATCTTAGGGTAAGAAATCCTATAAATAAAATTGAGCAACCACCACATTGTTTCCTATATCTGTTTGTTGATTCACTTTGATTTATGGCCTAGTGGTTTAGGAATTATGATTCGTGACATTTACACATTACAGAATTTGCATTGAGCTATATGTAACCTGCCCTGGAACCACATGCTAAGGGTGAGCTCCAAATGCCTGTAAATAAACCAACACGGGAACCTGCAGATAACGTAAAGGACTCAGCTGCGTAGCTGCAAATGAAACGTTTTAAGTGTGTTGTAAAGTGCAACATGGGACGCGGGTGGCGCTGTGGGCTAAACCACTGAGGCTAGGGCTTGCAGATTGGGGTGAGCTCCGTGTTGCTTGGTCCCAGCTCCTGCCCACCTAGCAGTTTGAAAGCATTTCAAAGTGCAAGTAGATAAATAGGTACCACTCCGCTGCTCTGGTTCGCCAGAAGTGGCTTAGTCCTGCTGGCCACATGACCCAGAAACTCTGCAGACAAACGCTGGCTCCCTTGGCCTATAGAGTGAGATGAGTGCGCAACCCCAGACGTCCCCGACTGGACCTAATGGCCAGAGGTACCTTTACCTTTACAGTGCAACATAAAAATGTGACACTAGATGGCAAAAGTGAGCTATAGCAAATTCAATGTATTTTTCAAAATGTTCTCCAGCCGAAGTTTCCGAACACACCTCAGAAAGTGTGCAGCACATTAAAGTCATCCAGCCTTGATGCAACTCCTATGTGGGGAACCTTTGGCTCTCCAGAGGTGTGGGATAAATCTGCCTCCTAGAACCAACATGCTGTCCTGCCAGGTATGGCAAGGTCATATTACCTCACCTTAGAAGGATGACCAAATTCTTTGTTCTCCCACCATGTGAATGCTACCAGGCAGAAGGTGTCAGCTGAATGCTCCAAGCTTCAACCGCATGGCTTAAACAAGCCATTTTTGTGATTCTATAAAATAATCTAGAGATATTTACCCTTTTGAAACTTAAGTTATACTGCCTGCATTTTCTTGCTGCTATATGGAAAATCAGGTCTGCAAAATTCACACAGACAGATTGCATTTTTAGCAGGTTTGCATGCTGTTTTTCCACCACGGTCCTCAAAGCTGCTCACAGTGTCTGCCACAGTCATCCCACCAGAAACTGGTGTGCATCTCCAGAGCTCTTTCCGGGAGGAAGGACGGGATAAAAACTGAATGAATAAACTGCTGAACGATGAGCAGTTTTTGGCTCTTTCTTGAAATCTTCCTGTTCCAGTTGGTCATTACAGATATTCTGTAGCTGAGAAATACAAAAGTGTTTGCTCTGGCTTCTCCTCTGCCCTCCTTGTTCCCTTTTCCTTTTGTGACATATCAGATTATCAGATGGAGAGGGATAGAGTATTTGTTTGGCTCAGGAGTGGGGTTAAAACAACAGCAGCCCCGTTTTAAATAAAACCTTATAAACACAGCAGACAGAACCCCCCCCCCCCCAGTGGAGCCAGTGGATGCAGCCGCAGCAAACGAAGAAGGCATTGTTCTCTGCACTCCCCCCCCCCGCGTCCATGGTTCAGTCCGCAGAGGCCTTTCCGGATTGGCTGAGTCCCAACTTTGAGCGGCAGGTACTTCGCCCAATCCATGCCGGCGCCGTTCGCGGTTCGGTTCGGCTGAGAGCCCAATCGCCGTCGCGCGCTGCCTCCCCACGTGGGGGACGCCTCCCGCTCGCCGCCTTTCGGAGCCGAGGGGCGGGGTCGGAGGGCGGGCTTACTAGAAAGAGCCCTCGCCCAATCAGCGCTCGAGTGCTCGACGGGTGCCTCGCCGCCTTTGAGCGGAAAGCGAGCCAAAGCGAGGGTAGGCGGGTGGGAAACGCTCCAAGAGAGATGGACGGGGGCGGCTGGCCAATGGGCGCCTAGAGGAAAGCAGGGAAGGCGCGACGTCGCGGAGAGCGGCCAATGGGAGCTCGGCTCGGCGGAGCGCCCGTCCCCTTCCCCCGTCGCGGGCCGCCGAGCGTGGGCGGGGCGGAGGTGAGTGGCGGGCGGCGCGGCCAATGGCGGGGGGGAGGCCTCGCGCGCGGCGTGTCTGAGGGAGAGCGAGGAGAAGAGCGAGCGCGGAGAAGCGAGGGCCGGAGGAGGCGACGGCGGCGGCGGCTGAGGAAGCGGCCGGGGCAGGCGGGCAGCGCGCGGAGAGCGGCCCTGCGGGGCCCACGCCAGGTACGGCGAGAGGGAGGGCGGGGGGAGGCTGCGCGGCGCCCCCTCAGGCTCGGGCCTTCGAGGAAGACCCTCCTCAGCCCCGGCGGATCCCAGGGGTTCCCCTCCGACGGACGCGCACTAAGGGCCGGGGGAGTCCAGAGGTTGAGAGGGGGCTCCTTTCCATTCTTCTCCTCCTCCTCTGGGCCCGGAGGGGCGACATTACCCGCCCCCCCCCGCCCGTTGGCCAGCTGACCTGTCAATCTTCACCTCACCCGTCCCCCCGACAAAAGCCCCCCCCGTCCTCTGCTGGGATCTCGGGAAAGCGGGGGGGGGGCGCCTCTTGTCGCCCACCCGGAGGGGGCTCGGCTCGGCTGTGGCTTCAGGACTCAGGAGCCAAGGTCCCATAGGAACCCCCCATATAACATAGTTAAGGGGCGCCCCCCTCCCTAGGGTGTCGTGCATTGCCATTCGAATGGTGCGCACGCGCGGCGTCTTGCGATCGATTATGCGGGACAGGTGTCCCACCCACCCCCAGGATTTTATTCAAGTGGGGCCCCCCCTCCCCGCCATTACTTCACCCACGCGCTTGGATGCAGAGAAAGACCCAGGGAGCTGCTCTGCTCTGCCCACTAGGGATGCTGTCCGTGGGGAGGGGGCGGTTCAGGTCTGGCCCTTCCTTCTGCCGGATGGAGGGGACGCAGGGCTTGGACGCCCCCCAGCAGATGGTGGTCAGGCTTGGAGGAGCCTTTTGGGTCAGGGTTCCCCTTGCTGGGCTTGCGCTTCCCATCAGCTGAATCCTCCCATCTTGGAATATGCGAGCCATAAGGATAAGGTGGGAATCTCTCCCCTCACCCCCACCCTCTTGTGTGTGATGGCAGCTCTTTGGGCATATGAAAGCACGAGAAGTTGGACGGTAGTCCCATACCCCCCCCCAAAAAAAAACAATCTCCAGCCACTTCTCTTGTAAACAATAACCACGGCAAAACTTTCTTTAAGCTGGCCTGGCTTTTGCTGACGGCAGGAAAGCGCCTGGCTGGGAAGGAGTTTTCTCTAGTGTTTTATGTTGCTTCATTGTGTCTCTTTAAGATGTTGTAATCGCCCCTTGCCACGAGGGTTGGGCTCCGAGGGTGGGGCAGGGGAGCCGACCAAATAAACAGGTATTGGCCGCTTCCCTGGGGCAGGGGAGACTCTGGCGGAGCCCAGGAGAGGTTGATGCCAGAGACTGCCTGCTTCTGTCACTCCAGCCCCGTCAGCATGAGCGAGGACAAAGAGATGGGTCCCTGTCCCAAATTGCTGAGGCTCAGCTGAACTTGGCTCTGGTGCCCCTTTGTTTGGGCAGAACTTGAGTTGAAAGTTCGGAGAAGCCTTGGCGTGGGAGTCTGGGGTGCTCTGCAGCAGGGCTGGCCTGTAGCCTCTCTTCCGCCATAGGGCGGGTTGTTGCTGCTGCTGCTTGCCCTAGTTTGCGGGAGGGACGGCAGGCAGGCACACCCCAGGCCTTCTCCAATGAGGGGGCCTCTCCTACCTGGCAGGTCAGGCGTTTTTTCTGCCTTGGGGTGCCTTGTCCAGTTTATCCAACCCGACTTTCAGCACTCCAGTTCTGCTTCTAGCCAGCCACTTTGCAGATTAAATTGTTGCCTTTCCACCTGCATTTTGCCTTCCCACCCCCCTCCAGCAGAGAAGAGGAGCTGGGGCTCTTGAACACTGAGTTTGCAAAGGGCACCCCACCCAAAGGGACTAGTGGTTGCGATCTGCTCCTGAACCATGGCCACACTTTCTCTTGTAGGCACAGAGGGATAATTTCAAGAGCCTTGGTGAAGTGAGACTCTTACAGTGGGGGCTGGTCCGCTAGGGGTAACTTTCCAGTCAGTGCTTGGCAGCGTAAGTGCTTCCTTGGCTGTGCTGCCCTTTAGGCAGATTGTCAGTGAATGAAGCTACAGCCCCTCCCCAGTTCCTTGCTCTGACACCTGAAAGCCACCTTGGTCCATGCAAACCTGCCCCCTTGCTTACCTTGTTTTCTGGTTTTGCAATAGATAGTTCAGGTTACATAGTCCCAAAGATAAAGAGCACCATGGGGGGGAGGGCGTTGTTGGGATTTGGGTATGTCAGTTTCTGAGTTTTCGTGCACAGAGCTCTTCCTTGGGCATCAATTATCCTGTATAATGAAGAAACATTCCTTTTCCTGTGGCAGCTAAACCTGGAGCATTCTACCCAGCCTTTGTGAACTTTGGCATGGGGGCAACCATTCAGAGTGGAGTTCAGTGGGATTACTTGGACTTTTCCTTCCATAGCAATTCTCTTTTTGAGACCTGGTGGTTGGGTCTGAAGTGTTTCTTTGGCCATCTCCATATTGAAGCTTGGCATGTTTATGTGAGTCATCCATAGACCACTGTTTGCTTCTGCCTTCTGTGGGTTAGAGGTGGATTTGTGGACTGGAGAGGAGTGAAAGACTAGGTCAGGAGGCCAGATCTGCTGACCTTGGAATCTCTCTCTCAGCTCTAGTTACAGGTAGGTAGCCGTGTTGGTCTGCCGTAGTTGAAACAAAACAAAACAAATAAACAAATTCCTTCCAGTAGCACCTTAGAGACCAACTAAGTTAGTTATTGATATGAGCTTTCGTGTGCGTGCATGCTTCTGAAGAAGAAAGCTTATACCAATAACTAACTTAGTGGGTCTTTGCGGATCTGCCATTCTTTCAGGGCAGGGGTGCATTCCACTTCTCCTTGCTGCTGTTGGGTGCAGTTCTTTGCTTCTTCATGAGATGGGTGGATTTGATGGAATCCAGGTTCTCGTTTCCTCTGATATCATGCCCCTCTGGAAGCCAGCACAGATCCTTTGTGAATGAGGACTATGGAAGAGCTGCATGTCTGGAGTCATCACTGTTCCCTGAGCTCTTGTGACTGGCATGTGTTCCACATGTTGGTGTTTGCCAGCAAGCCCCAGTCTGAGGGGTGGGGTAAGGTGCTGTGGCATGAGCTGGGAGAGGCTTAGCCTCTGTTTTGGTGCCTGGCACCAGCTTGGATGCTGCCGCTTCTGGGAGGGGATACGCATATCCAATTAGGAACCAGTGCTGGAAGTCCTTGCGCAGCCCGACACTTGCCAAGCCAGAAAAACTTGTACTTTGTTCAGCACGCGCCGAAGGGGCCGCTGAGCAAAGCATGTGCGTCGGACAGGTTTGCAAGGGCAAGCCACAACAGTGTGGGAACACTGGCGGCTTCTGGGCCTGTCCAGAAATAAGAGGTGGGGAAAGCATTGAAAATTCTGGGCTTCAGAAGTTCTAGAGTGAAGATTATTGGAATAAGCAGTGCTCATCTGACTAGCTTGTGTTAATATCCTTCAGTCACCCGTTTGGGTTTTGCAGATTTGACAAGGGCCAGGATAAACACTATATTTTTCTTAGATCAGGGCCTAATGATGGAGTTTCTAGCCTTGATGAAGTCTGAGTGGAGCATTTAACTTACCTAGCTCTTGTCTGTTTCAAGTGGGACAGGTGTATGAGACCTTTCTAGTCGTGCCTCTGATGCAGTAGCAGGAGATGGTTTTGCTCCCTAATTATTCTTTTGCGGCCTTCATCATGAAATTTCACAGGAGAATTTCGTGTTTTTTAGATTTGCTTTTTATTAGTCCAGCAAAACTTGTTTTTTAAGGGGATGCTGTTTTTACAGAAAAAGTTACTGCAGCAAACTGAATAAATAAAAAAATTGCAGCAAACTGAGCAGCTGCTGAGATGCAAAGGGATTTTAAAATGAAGCAACTTTCGTGCCAGTATACAGTAATGTGACTGACAATCTTTTGGTCATCTGCTGTATCAGACCTGTCAAATAACCTTTTGCTTTGGGGCCACTTCTTGCTACAGTAACTTGTAAGTATATTCAATTCAATTGGAGATTGCCTTCCAGAGAGCATGTTTCAGGTCATAGACTTAATTTTCAGTATATTGTTATAACTTGCCCTGGGACCTTATGATGAAGTTTGGGGAGGAAATCATGTAAACATATATCTGTATAAATGTATATGTAGATATATGATGAGCAAGAGAAGAGGCGGCTGTTTGAGCCAGAGCAACATAGCAGAGGCCATTGAGTTGGTTCAGACGTCGCAATAAACCAGGATTATGATGACAGGAAGGGGTTGAGCAAGCCTTGGGATTTGTGTGCTCCTTTTCCTCCTCTGGTGCAGGCACAAGGAGGAAAACAGAGCTCCGTTTTTTCATTAATCACAATTGAGCATTGTGTCCAAATCCTTCACTCTGGTCAATATTAGCCATGGTTTGTTTGAAACAAACTTCAAACCATGGGTTGTGAAGTTCACTTGTTTCAAACAATAGCTAAGTTTAATTACAGTTTTCAGGTTTGGCTGCAACATGAAATTGCAGTTAATTAAGAACAGAAGTAAAAGCTTTTTCTCAGCTGTGGTGGGGTGGGGTCAGATGGGGGAGCATGCAGTTTGTTACTGCCATAATAAACAATGGTTTATCCTAGGACTGGGGGAGCATCTGTGCTTCTCCAGATGCTGTTGAATCACCACTCCCATCAGTCCAAACCTGCATGTCTGACGGTCAGGGGAGATATATTCCAACCACAAATTCCTCATTCCTGATTTATCGTGAAGTCTGAATAGAATTGGGTCAAGGGGTTCAGAGTGGAGTAGTGGATTGGGAGATATAAGCAGCAGTAGTCTGGCCAGGCCAGAGGGGTGGTGTCAGAGCCTAGCTGTACGTAGCCATCAAGTGCAACCCAGGCAGGTGCACTAGGAAGTCTCTTGCTGCCTAGGCAAAGTCCCGACTTGAACAGGGAGCCATTACATCCCTTCCAGTTGGGGAAGGTCTGTGGTGAGGTGGTGGCGGTAGTCACTCCTGTTACCTGACCTGTTTCTAACCAGGGAGACACTCTATGGAGAGTCTGTGGCTCTAGTGGCTCATGGTGTGGGCAGCTCTGCACTGCCCTCTAGGATCGCAGCAACTAAACAGGTAGAAAACGGGAAGATGGGATTCACGGATGAGGAACGTAAGCAGATTGGCAAGAGGAGATGCTGCAAAGGGACAGGCCAGTGTGGCAGAAGGCCTTCCACCCTCCTTCCATCTGCTTGCCCTTGGGGTGGGGATCAGGGTTGGCACTGCTGCCTCTGCCATCTGCCCTTAGTTTTTCTTCTAGTCAGATGCTTCTCTGACTTTTAGGAGGCTTGGAGTGGCCGTGTTGGAGAAGTCTTGACCTACAACTTTGGTCAGCTTTGCCCAGTCTTTTCAGATGCCTATCTCTTTCCACCTCCATGCCCCCCTTTAGCCCCATTGTTCTACATAGCTGACAAGGAGTGGCTCAAGGCCAGAGGAGGCTGTGCTGATTCACAGTGGCGAATGCAGTCATGCCCCACAGCTGTAGTCCAAGCAGCTGGTGCTCCCAGTGATGTGCCACAGCTTCTAAGAGGGGAATGCAGGAAAGCTGCTGGTTCTGTGCATGGCCGCACATCTTGCTGACCACGGACGTGGAACTATCTGGAGCCTCCCCTCAATCCCTGGGGAATTGGACCAGTGGGCATGAATCTAATCCCAATGAACTCTTCCCCATTCCATGAGATGTTGGAAATATTCTTGGTCTTTTGCATCCTTCCCTGGACTTCCTTGCTGGGCTGTGGTGATCTGGCACTGTCCAAACATTTGCCATTTTGGACTTTGTGCAAGCAGAGCATTAGAGCTTTTTGAGGGGTGGGGTAGAGCTCTGTTCATAGTAATGAGCCCTCTTTCGTTCTAGCCCTTTGTGGGGAGGAAGAAGGCCATATTTAGTCGGTCTCTTATTTGATCCTATAAGTGTAAAATTGGGTTGGTCCAATACTGCAGGAGAACTTTGGTTATACACTTGAAGACTGCCTTTCCTACTTTCCCCCTCGGTCTCTTAAGATGAGTAGCAAAATGGGGCAGTGTCATTTGCTGGGCTTCTTAAAGGAAGGGTGGGCTAGCACTGTAATTGAGAAAATGATGCCATTGCCTGTTGCTTCTGTGTGCCAAGATCAAACGGCAAAGAAGAAGGAATTCATCCCCACATCAGTCAAGCTCTCTCTCTCACCTCCCCCCCCCCCCAGACTGTCAGAAGAGCGATCACTTCAAAAGAACTGCAGTATCACTTTTGCTTAGGCCCGGTTTCATGACCACTCTTCCACATGGAGTTACCTGGTGTCAGATTATAGTTCGTTTGGTTTATCAAACTGCCCCAGGCCCCACCTTTTCTGTGAAGCCTCTAGCAGATTTTCTGCATCCTTGAGCTTCCTCTCCTTGGGGTGTGAGCACATTGCTGGCTGGGGCTGATGGGAGTCGCAGTCCAAGATGGTGGGAGAAGGCTGCCCCAGAGAGTGATTTGATTCAGCATGCTAATTTTACTTGTTTTTGGTGAAAAAAGCTAAAAACCTTCCTAATGTTGCATTTGCAATTGGCGTCTGTCCAATGACCATGCTGATGACCTGATGATGTGCATCCTGCCCCACTAAATAAACAAATAAACCAGGGGGAATCTTCCACCCCAACTTACGTCTGGTTGCATCTCCTCCACATGCTGTTTCTCCATTGTGGAAACTTTCAAGCTCTCTCCAGCCGGTCCACTGGTGTCTGTGGACTTCTTGATTTGGTCACCACTGGTGCCTCAGTTCTGTGAGGTTTGATCATGCTGTGCATGTGCACTTTTTATTGAAACAAAATGTAGCCACCAAATAGAAGTAAGCTTGGTGGTCCTTGTAGGCGTCCGTGTTCGTTGAAGCGGATGGCTATTTTGCCCCGTTCTGCTTCTCCAGAGTATAGAGGCAGGTGGGAGACTGTTGTGAGTGCCGGGTTGGCTGGCCTGTCAGTTGAGCTCCCTTACCTTCTCCATTGGGGGCAGGTCTTGGGCGCCTCTGCTTGGTGCGTAGCCCCCCACCCCCAACTGAGCCTGTTCTTTTGCATGTCCCCAGGACTCGCTCCCTGCCTCTTCTTCAGGTTTCACAGGAAAACATGTATCAACACGGCTGGATATTGTTACGGGAACATCCCGGCGAGCAGCTGCCTCTTCCTTGGCTGAACTCTGCAAATTCTCTCTCCCAGGCCGAGGAAAGTGATGGAGGCAGCCGGTGCATTCCAGCCACCTGGCCCTGTTGCTCCTGGGCATGGGGGGGGGGCTACCAGCATGCAGAGCCTATTCTCTCGCAGCATTGTGTGGTGCTCCTCAAAGCCCTGGTTCTGGGAATCGTGGGCGGAGGGGAGGCTCGACACCTATTCCAAGGCAGTCGGATTGGGAAGTAGTAGCTGAAATGGTCTGGCTTGATACAAGCTCTTCTTCACTTTCTCCTGCTTTCCCACGTTAGTACATGTAAATATTGAGCCTGTTATCAGTGGCTGGTGACTTCCTGCATTTAGCTGTCGTATAGCAAGCCTCATAGCTTAGTGTTGACAACACTGAATGCCAGCAGCTCTCCAGGGTTTTAGGCCAGGGTCTCTCCTGAGACACAGGGGATTGAATTTCGGCCCTTCTGCATGCCAAGCAGATGCTCTGCCAATAAGCTGCTCCTCTTTTCTAAAAGCACGGTTCCCTTTCCCCCTGGCTGAATCTGCTATTTGTTTATACTCTCCATAGGAAGAGGCTTCACGGACTGCTCTCTCAGGCCTGCCTTGGCCACTTCCTAGACATCTCTCTGTTTGGCTTGCTTGCCATCTGCTTCTTTTCCTCCTGAGGTGACCTCTTCGCGTGTCTGCCGGGGGGGGGGGCACCCACGTAAGCTCCTGCCACAACAGATTTGTTAATCTTTAAGCAGTCACAGGGCTTGGTGTTTTCTTGCCACAAGGGAGTGACGCTGCTTCCCCTCTGGAACTTGTTCCCCATTCTGTGTGGTGCTCTGAATGCAGAGGTGTGCTTGGCCTCACAAGGACCAGAGTGATCCCTTAAACTGGGGGGAGGACCCAGCGGCCATCAAGATGGTGTTGGACTACAACTCCCATCATCCCTGATGTTTAGTCATGCTGGCTGAAGCTGATGGGAACTGGAGTCCAATAGCATATAGAGCGTGTCAGGATCTCCTTGCCTCTATTAAATATGCTGCAAGTGACCAGGTCAGCCCCAGGACTTTGACCCTGTGAACATCTGCCTGCCCCATTGACCTCCTGCTTGTATTGGTAGTATTGCCTCTGTGGGGGCTGGATCAAACCTTCTGTCAGGAATGCTGTGTAGTTGCTCCGTCTGGGTCTCTCGGTTGGGTTGCTGTTGATCTTTATTATTTTTCTGCTGGCTGCACAGCAGCACGGCCAGTCCTAGAATGTGGTCTGCCTGTGAATCTCCATAAGAGAGCTCCCTGTGTCTTCTGTCTCTAAGCTAAACTATGGAACTTGCTCCCAGCTTGGATGGCTTTAAAACTTAAGTTAGACAAAATCATGGAGGAGAGGGCTATTGGTGGTTCCTAGCCAGGATGGCTCTGCTGTGCCTCCATGCTTGGGGGTTGCAATGCTTCTGAATCCCAGTTGCTGGAAACTGCAGGAGGGGAGAGTTGCTCTTGTGCTCAAATCCTGCTTTTGGGTTTCCCATAACTGGCATCTTGGTTGGCCACTGTGAGAACAGGATGCTGGACTAGATGGGCCCTAAGCCTGATCCAGCAGGCTCTCCTTACGTTCTTAAGAGAATCAGGAGAGCTGGGTTGCTGATCAGGCCCAGGGCCCCCACAGCCAACATCCTGTTTTCATAGTGGCCATCCAGATGCTTCTCCTGAGAAGCCCTCAGGCAGGATCTGACCAGAGCAGCCCTCTCGCCTCCTGTGGTTTCTGCAACTGGTCTTCAGGGGCCTACTGCCTTCACCAGTCGAGGTAGAGCAGAGCCTTCATGGCTTCTTGCCATAACCTCTCTCCCCTCCATACTGTCCTGGTTCTTGAGAGAATCCTTTGCATTGTGAAAGGCCTCAAACATTGCAAAGCAGAGAAGCAGATGTGTTGTGCTTCATTAGGCGTGCCTGTCATTCTTTACCCAGTCCCTTGGGAGGGTCACTAATGTCTGTGGCTTCTTTTTTTGTACTTATCCTTTTAAGTAGCGTGGATGAGATTTCTTCCTTTTATATATTCTTTTGAATGAGTCTTTCAGGTCTTTTTTATTACTCTTTTTGTAGCTGGGTTTAGCCCTTATTCCTATTTTTTTACATATGTCATTTTGGGACATCTTGCATAACTAGTATGTTTATTTATATGTTGCTATCAATGTTCATGGTTGTTTACTGAGTCAATAGACACAGATGAGTCCCTGCTCAGGAGTATACAGTCCACTGTAGCATTGCAAGGGCTTAGGCAGTGGGTCACCCCTGTTCCTCAGTGAAGCATACAGAAGAGCAAGTTCTGCTCTTTGAGTCATACCGACCTGCCAAGAGGGTTGTAGGTGAGAGGAGTAAGAATTTTGAAGTGCACGCAGCCTGAGAAGTACTAGGAGAGTTCAAGCCAGATCCTGACTTTACATCTAGTCTGTCCCAGAAACTGAACCCAAGTGGATGTAGAGGGTGGAAGACTTGGTTGCTCTTGGAAGCTGGTATGACTGCACCCAAATGAGGTCCCAGACCATTCCCCTTGATTTTTCTTTCATGTAGGAAGAGTATATCTGTCATTTGCTCCTCTGGGGAAACTAACGGGCTAGTTGGGGGCACTGCCTGCCCTCCCCCCCTGCAACAGGAAAGGCTGGCCTCCCAAGAAACTCTGCATGCCTTGGTGTGTTTAGAGGAACCTCATAAATGTCCTTGCAATATATAAATGATTCTCTGCACACATCCCGAGCTTCCTATTAATGGGCATATTGTTGATTAATTATGACTTGCAAATTGCAGGGTTTAGTGGGCTGTGCCCTACACTTCAAGGGCATAAATAGGGATTGTTATTTTTTGTCCTGCTTTGCCAGTGACATAACTGCAACCCACCATGACCTACTCTGATCATGGTCTACCCCATTGATGAACTAGGAACAGGAAGTTTCCTGTGGCAGGCAAGATTTAAGTGTGTGTTCATTTGTGTGTGCTGTCTTCTAGGTCACCAATAACTAAGTGAGGTAAGCAGGGCCAGGTCAGAGTCCCCCTGCAAGACTGCTTAAATAGAATTTTAAAAAGCGAAAATTACCCTTCCTTTCTTTTGACCTGCGTGTGTCTTCCTGCTGCTTCTCCAGAGTAGATGGCTGCGACCACAGGTGGTGCTCTGTTTCTTTGTGACAAAAATTGATTGTCTATCAACAATACTCGTCTTTAGGCACTCATCTGTTTCGGGAATAAGTCCTGAGTGTGTATCCTATTATTAAAGAAGCATTTTGCTTGGAGGCGAGAGGAGTGTCTTTTCCAATGAGATATGCGTAGTCCTTTGGTGATTTAGTTGCCTTTCCTTGGTTCCCAGACTCTCAGTTGGGAGTCGTGGCAACCTGTTTGTCAGGCACAGTAGTGATGGTAGACTTCTTTATCTTGGGGAAGTTACATGACGTTGGTAGTGGCAGAATACAGCAGGAAGTTTCCAGCATCACATAACATGGAGCAGAAGCCAAGAGGCATCCTCAGCACTGCATGTGAGCAGGCTAGGATCCAGTGCAAGTGGCTTGGGTGTTAGCATCTCAGAGGCTAATATTGCTCTGTGTGTCTTGCAAGAGTGTTGCATTCCAGAGCAAAGGGGAAAGGGGGTGTGACCGGGCCTGTTGAAGCCTCTGTTGTGTTTATTGGTTTATATAAATCAGATTTACATCATGCGCTTCATCCCAAAGGAGTCTTGAGTGGGAAACACATCTGAAATAAATAAATAAAAATATTTAAAATTTCTTAACAGGAGTGAAACACAGCAAAACATGAAGCCAGTCATGTGTGTCTTCGTAGGCTTGCCTATCCAAAAGTTTTCAGCAGCCATATAAAATAATAAAACAATGGCCAATAGGCAGGGGCTTCCAAAGTACAGGTACTGCCCCACTAAAGGCATAAAACTCCTGACAGACACAGAATGAATGTTGCCTGGCACTTGTTCTGTGGATCAGTTGAGTCAGCATGAATGGGCTAAGGTGATCCCTTAAGTCAACTGTTCCCAAGCAGTTCTGTGTACTATGGGCACTGGGAACACCTTGAACTCAACCCAATGGCAGACTGGTAGCCGACACAGATCTTCAAATGTGGGCATAGTATGCTGGCAGACGTTCAGTCTTGAAAGCAATTGTTTTGCAGCATTCTGCACTAACTGCAGTTTTCAGACCAAGCACAAGGGAAGCCCCAAGCCATGCCCCTTCATCTGTGAGTGGACTGTGGTCACTTTCCGCAAGCCAATAAGGCTGCAAGCCAGTAAGGCAGGTCAGCATTATCCAGAGCAGGAGAAAACAAGCTTGCTCGATCTTCCATGTGGCAGCCATTTAGTTCAGAGGTTTCCAACCTTTTTGAGCCCACGGCTCCCTTGAGTTCTGTGGCTCTGCTGTGGGGCTCAGGAGCCCAGTTAGGTCACCCCTTGCCTGCAAAGCTGGCAGCCTCTCACCCTTTTTTGAACACCTTCCTTTGCGGAGTGTGCCCTCCTCTCCTCTCCCCTCTCCTTGGGAGATTCCCTGGGCAGCCGCTGCTGCTGTCCCTGGTCTCTGAGCTGCCCCCCACCCTGCCCCAAAGAGAGGTGCTTCTCACAGGCACCATTCATCTGCAGAGCTTATAGCCAGGGCTGCTGCAGTAAATGTCTGTGCAAGCCTTTGGGAGGCAGAGATGCAAGAGGGCACCAGAGGAGGGAGGGAAGGAAAGAGGGACAGAGGCCAGTGTTGCCCGTGGCACCCCTGACCAGCATTCAAGGCACCCCAGGGGGCCACAGCACACTGGTTGAAAACCACTGCTTTAGATATTTGAAGATAGCTATCCTATCTCCTCTGTCTCTCCTTTACCAGGCTAAACATACCCAATTCCATCAACTTTTCTTCATATGATTTGGTCTCCAGACCCTTGATCATCCTGGTTGCCTTCCTCTGTACATATTTCAGTCATTCAATAGCCTTAAATTGTGGTGCCCAGAACTGGACACAGGACTTCAGGTGTGGTCTGACCAGGGCAGAATAGAGCCGGATTATGACTTCCCTTGTTTGAGACACTAGACTTCGGTTGATGCAGCCTAGTATAGCGTTCACTTTTTTTGCTGCTGCATCACACAGTTGAAAGGGGGCAGTGCTGCTAAATCCAAGTGATTAGAAAAACACCGCTGAGTTGGCAGTTCTATCAAAACCACAATACCTTGGCAGCTTGGTTCAAGTAGTGCTTTCTGTACTCCTCCCCCACCCTAATTATTTCTGTAGGGGAAGTCTGAATGAACTCCGCTGCTCAATCCATACCTTCTCACAAGTGTGTCTCTCATTGGGTTGATCTTTTAGTCAACTGGAAACCATAGCTGTGTTGGGATGGTGACAATTTTGTTAAGAAGAGCATTTAAAACATTCGCATTGTATTTAACAGCATTCTTGTTGGAAACATTAAAAAAATACAATAAACATAGCAAACATTTAAAAAATGCCTCCTAACAAAAAAACCCCACCTACATATGAACATGGAGGGCAATCTTTTGTGAAGTCATATTTTCCTCCCTCAATATTTATCAAGGGAAAGGAACTCCTGACTGTCAATATAACATGAACAATAATATATTACTGCTATTGACTGCAGCAGCAGGGAAAATACTCCAAATCTATTGATAGGTTTTGCTGAAACTTCACTGATGTTTTCCAACAAGAAGCGAACTTCTTTTCAGTTTGAGGGTTTGTAGTTTTTCATGGAAAAGACTGATGCAAAGAACTTCCAGAGATTGTGTGGGTTAGGGTTAATATGAAATGATTTACAGTGCCTTCTAAAGTAGTCTTGCTCAACTTTTGTATGTTTTAATTGGCTATAAGGTACATTGAGCTTATCTTTGACAAAAGCTTATAAGAATTGTAGCTACCGTATTTTTCGCACTATAGGACGCACTTTTTCCCCTCCAAAAATGAAGGGGAAATGTGTGTGCGTCCTATGGTGCGAATGCAGGCTTTCCTGAAGCCTGGAGAGCGAGAGGGGTCGGTGCGCACCGACCCCTCTCGCTCTCCAGGCTTCAGGAAAGCCCCAGCCCCACAAGGTCGGGGGACAGAGGGAGGCGGAACGCCGCCATCCCGCTGTCTCCCGAAGTGGTTTGGAGGCTGACGGCGGGGAGACCCCGCCGCCGGCCCCGCAAGCTCCGGGGACAGCTGGGAGACGCAGCGCGTCTTCCTGCTGTTCCCGGACCTGATCTGAAGGCGGGCGGCGGGGAGAGGCGCTTCTCCCCGCTGACTGCCCCGCAAGCTCCGGGGCCCGCTGGGAGGCGCAGCGCGTCTTCCCGCTGTCCCCGGACTTGATATCAAGGCGGGCGGCGGGGAGAAGAGCGCTTCTCCCCGCTGCCTGCCCCGCAAGCTCCGGGGACAGCGGGGAGACGCAGCGCGTCTTCCCGCTGTCCCCGGACTTGATATCAAGGCGGGCGGCGGGGAGAAGAGCGCTCTCCCCGCTGCCTGCCCCCAAGCTCCGGGGACAGCGGGGCGACGCAGCGCGTCTTCCCGCTGTCCCCGGACGTGATATCAAGGCGGGGGGCGGGAGAAGAGCGCTTCTCCCCGCTGCCTGCCCCAGCTCCGGGGACAGCTGGGAGACGCAGCGCGTCTTCCCGCTGTCCCCGGACCTGATATCAAGGCGGGCGGCGGGGAGAAGAGCGCTTCTCCCGCTGCCTGCCCCAAGCTCCGGGGACAGCTGGGAGACGCAGCGCGTCTTCCCGCTGTCCCCGGACCTGATGTGAGGCGGGCGGCGGGGAGCTGAGCGCTTCTCCCCGCTGCCTGCCCCCAAGCTCCGGGGACAGCTGGGAGACGCAGCGCGTCTTCCCGCTGTCCCCGGACCTGATGTGAAGGCGGGCGGCGGGGAGAAGAGCGCTTCTCCCCGCTGCCTGCCCCCCAGTAGTCTTGCTCAACTTTTGTACGTTTTAATTGGCTATAAGGTGCATTGAGTTTATCTTTGACAAAAGCTTATAAGAATTGTAGCTACCGTATTTTTCGCACTATAGACGCACTTTTCCCTCCAAAAATGAAGGGAAATGTGTGTGCGTCCTATGGTGCAATGCAGGCTTCACTGAAGCCTGGAGAGCGAGAGGGTCGGTGCGCACCGACCCTCTCGCTCTCCAGGCTTCAGGAAAGCCCCAGCCCCACAAGGTCGGGGGACAGAGGGCGGCGGAACGCCGCCATCCCGCTGTCTCCCGAAGTGGTTTGGAGGCTGACGGCGGGGAGACCCCGCCGCCGGCCCGCAAGCTCCGGGGACAGCTGGGAGACGCAGCGCGTCTTCCTGCTGTTCCCGGACCTGATCTGAAGGCGGGCGGCGGGGAGAAGAGCGCTTCTCCCCGCTGCCTGCCCCGCAAGCTCCGGGGACAGCTGGGAGGCGCAGCGCGTCTTCCCGCTGTCCCCGGACTTGATATCAAGGCGGGCGGCGGGGAGAAGAGCGTCTCCCGCTGCCTGCCCCGCAAGCTCCGGGGACAGCGGGGAGACGCAGCGCGTCTTCCCGCTGTCCCCGGACTTGATATCAAGGCGGGCGGCGGGGAGAAGAGCGCTTCTCCCCGCTGCCTGCCCCCAAGCTCCGGGGACAGCTGGGAGACGCAGCGCGTCTTCCCGCTGTCCCCGGACTTGATATCAAGGCGGGCGGCGGGGAGAAGAGCGCTTCTCCCCGCTGCCTGCCCCCAAGCTCCGGGGACAGCTGGGAGACGCAGCGCGTCTTCCCGCTGTCCCCGGACCTGATGTGAAGGCGGGCGGCGGGGAGAAGAGCGCTTCTCCCCGCTGCCTGCCCCCAAGCTCCGGGGACAGCTGGGAGACGCAGCGCGTCTTCCCGCTGTCCCCGGACCTGATGTGAAGGCGGGCGGCGGGGAGAAGGCGCTTCTCCCGCTGCCGGCCCCCAGCTCCGGGGACAGCTGGGAGACGCAGCGCGTCTTCCCGCTGTCCCCGGACCTGATCTGAGAGGCGGACTGCGGGGAGAAGAGCGCTTCTCCCGCTGCCGGCCCCACAAGCGCCTGGGGGGGAAATAATTTTTTTTCCTTTATTTCCCCCCCAAAAAACTTGATGCGTCCTATGGGCCGGTGCGTCCTATGGTGCGAAAAATACGGTAATTGACTCAGTGATACAGCAGGTTTTGGACACCTATTAAAGACAGTGTGAGTTGGGTCAGGGTTGGTTTTGTACATGGTTGTGTGAGAGCTTCAGATTCAAATCTAGCACCAGCCACATTTTCACTAAGTACAAGTGTGTGACTGCCCTCTTAGCGTGTGAGTCTTCCCCTTTGTTTATCTGCTTGAAGATTCCTATCTCTGTTGGTTACTGCTCAAAGCTGATTAAGGAACAGGGATTAACATCTGATTTTGAGACTGAAATGCGATCTAATTGTGTGGCAACCTAAAGATTTTGCAAACCTGGCTGATTTGGCCATCTGGTACGGCTGTGAACCTGCACTTGGCTGATGGGTGAGCAGCTTTTTCAGGACGCTCTGATGGTCTACCACCTTAAACAGCCGCCATCTTGGGCCAGAAGGCCGAGGAGTCGTCTGGGGGATTCACTGACCCTGTCTTTCAGACATAGTGTTTGAGTAGCACAATGGGCCTAGATGTGGGAAAGCTTGTCGCCATGTTTGAAGGATGTTAGGTGATTTGCTCTTGTGGTTAAAGTTCTGCCAGATACTTATTGAAAACTGTCTCCCCCCCCCCTTTTGCTTCCCTAATCTTTTAGCCATAAAAAGTTCAATGAAACCCTACTTTTAAGTATTTCCAATGAAAATTGCTACTATAGGCCCAGACAGGCTAGTTGGTGTTTCTTGTGGACTAGCAACTTGAGTGGGCTTTTTTGCAAGGCTGAGTAAAAGGTCCTGGTGGAAAGTGGGGTCTGCCTCTGTTCCCCCACTGGCTTGGTGTTTCCCAAAGGCAGAGTTTTGATCAAGAGCTGTTCGAGGTGGGAATGGCAAGGGTGAGGTGAGCGGAGAGGCCACCTGCGATTGGGTTCCCGTTTGAGCTCCTATAAATAGCTTTGAGAATCGTTCAGTTTGTTGACTGGCTGATCATTTACAAAAGGCACCTCAGCTTGGCCCTGCCAAAGGGCAGCTCTTATTCCTCCATAGAGGCTGCAGCAGCAGCAGGATCCCAGGCCTATTCCAGCTGCTCAGGTTTGCACCCGCCACAACCCAGTCAGTTGATGCCAGAATTCTGGCATGTCGGAAATGTCACAAGGGGTGGATTGGCTCCTGTATGTTTGCCTTCAGAGTGATGAAAACATCTATTTTTGTGGGGTAGAGGGGAGGGGAGGTATAGCTGGAAAAGGAAGCTTGTCCAACTTGGTTGCCTGGGGCGAGTTCAGAATTCGCTCCAGGTAACTAAGCAGAAAAATGCTTTCTCTTTTATTGATTTTTTAAAAAGAACTCTTTTACTGCTTTCACATCAAAATGATACCAAAGCAGCAAACAGTAGCAGTTGTCGGTGTTCATCGAGAGACAGGGAAGTGCACCTCCGGAGATGAAGTCAACCCACTGCATCAGCAGCACCAACGGGACCTCCCTGGGGCACGTGCCTGGGCAGTGTGTCTGGAGGTCCTGGGTTGTCCAGACCCGCCCCCCCTAGCTTTACTGATGTGGTCCAGAGGAAAGCAGAACAATACTTTTGGCACCAGCTTGGCTGCAGGAGTTGCCAGAAGGCACCATCCAACCACCTTAGGGACTCCGCTCCAGATTTGTGTAGGGTTTACTCCTGAGACTTTTCTTCTCTGAAGATATCCCACAAGGAAATGGAGGTTTCGGGTCAGAGTTTTCCTTCTAGCTGGGCTCCCTTCCCAAGTTGACGAGCCCCATCTGACCCTCACTTCCCTCCACAGCATGTGCAGAAACCACCTTCTTGGACCTACTATTGGTCTTGTCTCCTCAATCCACAGGAGCCTGTCTTGGCATGCCGGGGAATTTCCTAACCCACTGAGGGTTTGGGACCTATCGGCTACCCTCACATGCTTTAGCCAGCGAATCAAAGCTGCCCCTGGGTTGTGGCCACTGTCACATGCTGACAGCTTTAGGAGCCATGGGTGAGTTCTGAGTGAAGTGCGGGGACCAAAGGTGAACAAACTACCCCAGTAGCAAAACTACAATAACATTGGATCAGTAAGTAACACCTAAAATACCAATACGTTAACCATGGAAAGTCTAGGTGCCGGTGCACCACAAATGAGTAGCATAATTCTGTATGGACTAAGAATTTTGGGTGCATTTGCAGAATACTGTTTGGGGAGGCAACACAGGAGGAGGAGCTGCCTGGTTTTATCAATCTTGCTGCAGAAGCCCTGTGTCCTTTAAGTTAAACTGCCCACCTTTGTGTAACTGGGAGGGGCAAGGATTAAACTGACTGTCCTTGCCCCATAGCCCGCTTCCCTGCCCGCCTCTGTGTCTGTGCCTCTTGGCTCTCTGTCCAGCAGCCTCGTGCCTTCCAGATCTCTCAAGCGGTGGTTAAGCCTTGCACATCATGCTGTTCACTGAGCAGCCATAAAATGCATGCCTTGCTTCTCTCTTTAATTAGAAGGTTGCATGTGCTGACGCTGGCAGCATTTCAGTCACCCAGGAGTCCTCTGCCTCTCGAGCTTCCGAGGCACCTTATAAAGATGCTTCGTTTTCTAAGTGCCTTGGTTGCCTGCTGAGAGCTCCCCACCCTGTTGAAGACCCTTCTGTGAGATGGCTGTGCTCCTGAGCATGTGTGCTGAGGTCTCTGAATTTGTGTGTGGGCTCTGTGCTGAGATTTTACAAGGAAGTCTGAACCTCTCTAGAGGAGCCACTTCATGAACATGTAACTCACTGTGATTCCATTAGAAGAAGCTTTTGGGGTAGGGTGTACTGAATCCCCACTTTTTGACTGTAGGTAGTCCAGCTTGGCCTTCGCTCTGAGGTTGTCTGGGCACACATTCAGAGTTCTTTTCTGCAGCCATAGGACTAAAATTCTGCTCTTGGGGTGGGGAGCAGGGGAAACCTTTTTTTCTGAGTGCTGAAGACACTGCCGAGTACTGAATTCTGCCTTCATGCAAAACTGTGGAATCCAAGGATCTGGCATCAGGTCTGGGATCCATGGAGAGGCTTTTTATTATGGGCTGTGATTGCATCTTGTGTTGGTAGCAAATAAATGTTTCACTTTCCTCCATGGCAACGAGCATGTAAAGAGCAAGACACAAGGCCAGGGTAGGATGCCTGGTTGGGATCTTCTGGGTCCAGCTATGGGAAATGGTAGTTTTGTTGGGTGATCTGTTTCCACGCTTAAAGTTAAAGCTCTGCACATCACATCCTTGGCTGGCAACCCTGCTCCAGTAGCAGTCGCGGTGAAACTGGAGCAACTTTCTTTTTTTTCCTTTTTTTTATTTATTGAAATTTTCAAAGTGTTACAACAGAAAATAAAAGTAGAAGAGAATACAAAATAAAAATAGTTAACAAAGTAGAAGAAGAAAAAAAACCAAACCCCTTCCAACCATACGAATACAAATTCAAAAATAAGAAAAAAAGACAGAGAAAAAAAACAAAAATACAATTTAAGAACATTTAAAAACAAATTCATTATTCTCGAATCCTCAACTGTCATTACCTTCTTTCTTTGACCTCCTCCTCCCTTTCTTTGTATCCTAGTTATTAATTATCCCAGCAAATCCTTTCCATATTTCATAATATTCTGTCATTACATTACCCTAAACAGTTTTAATCTTATCTTTCTATAAGAAAATAAACCTTAAAGCTTAAAACTTAAATCTTATCCTTACCAACTTCTCATAACCATAATATTCTTTCATAATTCTTTAAACATCTTTACTAAAGCCGAGTAATTTCATTCCAACATTTTTCTGACATTCATCAATTTTATAAAACAGTTCTAATGGTAGAGAAAAGAAATACAAACAGATCCAATCTTCATCCAAGGTCCCTTCCTCCTGGTTCCGGGTTTTGTCAGTCCTTATTATCCCATCGATCTGGCCCATTAACCTGGCAACTTTATATCCGATGCCCTCAAGTCTCTTCCATGTCCCTTTCACAGCTCTTCTTCATATTTGTAACTGTATTTTCCCTTGTCTCCTGCTCGTGGTAACTCCAGCTTGGCAATATTTTTAACCCTTCTCGACAGATCAGCCCCTTTTCCATATTCAGCACTGAATTCCATATGGTATTTAAAAGCATGTTTCAAAGACCCTCCAAAATAAAGAGCCCCCACAATCCCAAACATCTCACGGCCCATTGCCAGATTTGAAAAGTCCAAACATCCCAGCATAGGGGGGTCAATCCAGCCCCCATTTCCAAGCCAAACCAAACTTTTTCTTTCCAAATCTGGCTTTTCCAAGTTCATTTGTCAAATCCGAAAACTCATATTCCTGTTGGGCCTGTTCTGTCAGGACACACTCCTGATTTAATTCCTGGGTGGGCTCCACATATTTTCCCACTGTCTGTTCAAAATTTCCCACTGCCTGTTCAAAATTTCTAGTCGAAGTCGTCATCAAATTCACCTTCTCATGTAACTGTTCCAGTAGGGCATTTGTTTTGTAGAAAGCACACAACAAAGCTTCTGAATACATTGTCCTGCAAGGTCAAATGCCTATTCCCACGATTGTAATCTGTAAACAGCTGCCGGCTCCCTGGAGTTGGTTACAGTTTCACAGTCTCCCTCTAGGGGGGAAATTTCTATTTGATCTTGCAACAAAGTTTCCCTTTTTTGAGATACTTTGTCAATATTTGTTCCTTTGAAATGCGAAGGGAAACAGTGGAATCACTATGTTTCTCTTCTTTTAGCTATCTGTCAAAAACGTTTGTCTCTGGTCAATGAACTTCAAACGTCAGTCCTGACACCCCGCTCCAGGATCAGGACGGAGGAGAGTTGCTTTACTTTAAACTCACTTTAAACAGTCCAAAAAAAGATCCCCCTTCTTCTCCTGCTGTCGAAGGGGGGTTCCACAATTTTAAATGATGAAATCCAATCCTTTAAAAGCGATTTTCTGAGCTCTAGCTTACGTTGTCTTTGCTTTATTCTGTCTACAGAAGAACGGAAGGCTGACTTCCTGTTTAGACCTTCCCGTTCCGTACCAAATTAAAATAGATTTTTAAGATCCAATTCTTTTCTGCTCGCAAGTCTCCATCTAATGTCCAGTTGTTCAAAGTCTAAGTACTCAAGGGTGCTTATTTTAGAGTCCAAATTGTCCCAGGAAAAAGGCAGCGCTCTCCGGCAATGGCTATGCAGCTTCGCTCCACGGAAATAGCAGTTGACTCACAGCACCGCGCCACTTCCCCCTCTTCACTTCGGAGCCCGTTAGTGGGTTCCTTAGCGAGTTGGGGGGGCGCTAAAGGTGCCCGCCGAGTCCCATGGTCACAGGCTTCATCCGCCTGTGATTTTTGAAAGGGTCCCCGCTTCGCCGTAGCGGAGAAGACCCGTTTCCCGCGGAGCTAGTCCCTCCAGTTCAGAGGGAGTCCGCCATTGCCGATGGCGCCACCCCGGAAGTCTGAAACTGGAGCAACTTTCACAGGCCCACTCCATAGCGGAGCAGCCCAACACCCTGCTTAGCCCTCCATGGAGCCACTCAGACATTTCTGAAAGTCTTAGAAAACGAAGCCCTGGTCTCTATAGTTCCTGGATCCGAGCCTCAGACTTGGAAGAAGAGAAACTTCCTCAAGTCGCTCTGGGAAGCCATCCCACTGGGGGCTGCCTTGGTGGGCTCCCACCCAGGCATTGGGCGAGGCTGGCATTGGTCGTGGTTACCTGACGCTCTGAATCCTCCATTCCTCAAGAGGGCGAAGCGCAATGGGCACAGGGAAGGAGGAGCAGCAACAGGTCACCTCACAGCCAGATTGACGGTTGCATTTTGCGATTGCCGTTGGTGCTTGTTGGGGTCTGGAAACCACTTTGAGACTCTCCTTCTGCAAAGCAGCATGCAAGCCTTTTTCTCAATCAGTTGGTCTTCTCATGAATGGTAGAAGGGGCTCCATACGTTCTTCCCTCCTCCCCAGTTTTTCCTTACTTCTCAGCTGGAAGCTTAGGAAGCCTCTCTGCCCTGGTGGGCCAGGGCAGTTCAACTAATCCCGCCTGCACCTATAAAAACAGCCACGCTGTCTCTTTGGTTTGCTCCTGCTGGCTGCAGATGGCCTTCTGCCAACCCCACCCTGCCCAACTTGCCCTCAGCTGCACAGAAGCTGTGTCTGACGCAGCTCCTTAACTCTGAATGACAACCAACCTCCCCCCCCCCCGCAAACTCTTCCATTTCTCACCAGCTGCTGTCCTGTTACCAGGCAGCTGAGTTTGCTACGCTCTGTCTTCTTTTGGTGGTCTGGTGGAGGAAGGCTCCCCCCCTTGTCCTCGGACTCCTCTGGATTCCTGCCAGGTGCCGACTGGGAAGTCCTTAGGCTGACCTATTTCCCCATGCAAGGCTTGCTAAGCTGCAGTGCTGCTGCAAGGCTGGAGGGGAGGATTTAGCCCCCTCCCCTTTTGCAGGAGCAGTGTCCTCTTCCTCTCCTTGGCCAAGAGCCAGCCAGCTCCCTCCCGGGGTCCCTCTTGCCATTTATCTCATCGGCGCGTGGTGTTTTTCCACGGCCTCTCCGGGTGACGTGGTTCCTTTTCTCCTGCCAACTCCCGCTCGGCAGGGACTCTCTTCTCCGGGGCCTCGGCGCAGACTGGGCTGATTTACAGCCCATATGGTGGGAGACGCCGCCAGCTCCCAGCTTTTGTTGCTCAGCACCTGGCAAATGGCTGGGAAAGCCTTTTGGCTGCTCAGGAAATGGCTGCGAATCCCGCGGTGGGTGGAGCCCTTCCGAAAGAGCCCCTGGGCCTGGGTGGCTACTTTGGAGGAGGAGCATCCTAGTGTCAGCCCGCTCCTTCCCCCCCCCCCCGTTTTAGTCCAAAGGGACAGTCATGAACTCCTAAAAGAACTGGAACTTGGGACCAAGGTTCTTCTCAAATACTGTGCTTTCATCTGACCTGAATATGAGTGGTGCTCTGCCTATGCTCAGAGGCACGGTGTTTCTCTGGTTTTCAAGACAGGTTCCCTTAGCTAGGCCTTAGCAAGGCACGTTCCAGGTGCAGGAGGTTGAAGTCGCCCGTTAGTGCCTTCCTGTTCACACACTTTGAAGCCAAAGGTGCTATTTGAGATTTCTGCGTGCAAAGCAAGTACTGTCTACTGGAAGAGAACTTGAACTGCGGGCTCTTGCCTTGGAAGCAGTAGCAAAAATTTGGGGGAAACCCTGTGGCTCCAACCATTGACCAGTGGCTGAGGAAAACCTGTCACATAACGGCACTGAATGAAATGGCCTGTTACAAAGTATGGAAAGGAAAAACGTGGGCAGTGGAGATCTTTCTAAATAATTGGACGCTGTCTTTGGGAGGGCACTTCTGAAGATGTGTGTGATGCAGTCCCAAAGGCTGTCTGTTCATAGGAACCGACCTGCACGTGGCCTGCAGAGACTGTTCAAAGCAGAAATTTTTACTTCTGCTCTTTTTCCTGAAATTGATAGGCATCGTTTGCGTTGGAACATGCAGCTTGGACCACATTCAGAGGCTGAGACAAGAAGGCCTCCTTCACCCATTGCCCCAGCAGGGCCCCCTCGCCTGCCGGCATCCAGTTGTTGAGACTGGTGCGGCCTCTGCCCATCTTGGGGAGTTCACTCTGGCAGGAGATTTTGCCCGTCTTTGCCAGCGCCTGGAGTTCACCAGCCCAGCCTCCATGAATCTTGTGGCTTTGCTTGATCAACTGCTCATTTACTCAGCAGAGAGGGAGAAATAAGGTGGGGCAGGAGGCAGTAGCCAGTGGTTTTGGCAATCTGCCTCTATGGAAGTACTTTCTGCTCAAGCATATAGGACTTGGGAAACCGATAAAGGGCTACTTTGGGCAAGTTTTGTTATGAAATGCTTTGTGTATCTGTCAGTTATGTCCTAAGGCCAAGTTTATACAGGAGCAATGGAATTTTTAAGAGATTTTAGAGATTAGAGATTTCATTTTAGTTTTGGTAATTTCCAAAATCCAACACAGGGCCTTTCCTGTGCATATGGGAAAGACTGTAGCTCAGTGATAAAGCATCTGTCTTGCAAACACAAGGCTGAGACCCCTGCCTGAAATCCTGGAGAGGAACTGCCAGTCTGTGCAGACAGTACTGAAGTAGATGGGCCAATGGTCTGACTCAACATATAGCAGCTTCTGATGATACGTACGGAGGTGAAGGTGGATGAAAGAGAGAGAGAGAGTCCCATGTGAAGCAGTGAACTTCCTCTTCCTGCCCACGTCCTGTCAACTGTACAGACAAAAGCTAAGCCCCCTGAACCCACAACATCTGAGGCTGCCGGAGGCTCAGGCCAGCACTTTGATTCAGGGCGATGGCTCAGCCAAGTCAACTTTGCAACTGGATCTTCAGTGTCAGTCTGTGGTTGGTTGCTTGGTGTCCGTCTGTCTCGGGAAACAATGGAGGAGTGTGCCTTTGAGGGTGAGGTCAAAGGGTTGGAGAGTTACAGCGCCTGCTGTGGCTGTAGAGACCGATGCAGGAGAGACATGTTTTGTTGCATCTGGGGCAGAAGAAGGTGTCTGGTTGTGCTGCTGTAGATGGGCCAGGGTGTTTCTTCTCTCTGCACTCCCCCCAGCGGTCATTCCTCCTCTGGTCGCTACTATGGATGCATGACCTGACTGCCTGCCTCCAGGCACTGTGATCATCTGCAAGGGATTCCCACATGGTGGGGTTGTTTTTGCCAGCCTTCATGTCACATTGGCAGACATCTTTGTAATGCAATCCCCATAGAGCACGTTCTTGGGGATCCTGCCATCTTCCACTCTGTGGACATGACCAAGGCAGTGTAGACATCACTGAGACAGGAGTGCAAACATGCTGGGAATGTGAGCTTGGGAGGAGCACATCTTTGTTTCAAATTCTGTCCTGCCATGTGATACCCAAAACCCTCCTTACATGATGCATGTGGAAAGCATTGAAGCATCATTTCCGACAGTTATAAGGTGCCTACGACTCACTTGCATAAAGCCGTGTAGAAGCACTGGCAAAAACAATTCTGGATCTTGCAGAAGGGTCCCTCAGATGAGTAAAAAGCATGGAACCAGGGCTTGCTCAGCCTGGACAGTCAAAATACCTTGTCCAAATGTCTTCTTGAAGAAAGCCATGTGGAGTTCATAATGTGCCCTGTGCAGAGGGCTCTGGTGAGAGAATAGGCCTTGTGCAGTTTGGCTAGAAAATAATGATTTTGCATGCAGATCTTTTAAACGCGCAGGCATGGAGCTTGCAGCACGAGGCTGTTGCAACATCCTCTGGGATTGAACCTCCAGCCACACCCTCCCTCCCTGTTGGAGTATGCATTTGGTTGGTGGCATGGAAAGGGGTTGGGGGTACTGCAAAAAGGGGAGAACCTATCCACGTACTTTTGTGCGTTTCCCTCTGCTAACTTTGGAGCGCACATTTTGTGGTCATTTGTGTGCACCTTTAAAGGCCCCCCTTTTCTAGAGGTCTCTGTGTTCCCATTTTACAGAAGGGCAGTTGAAGCTGAAAGGGAGTGAATTTTCTGAGCATGCATAGCAGAGATGGGGTCTTCAATCCAGCTGTCCCAGTTTCAAGTCTAGTTACAGCTATGCATCCCTCCTACCCACCGAGAATACCCCAAATGTTTCTCCCGGGGTGGATGGGGAAGCACTACAGCTGGGAAGTGTTGGTGCCTAGATGCTGCTCTCCCTCTCAGCCCCCCATGTTGTCATTCTGCTGTCGTTTCCTTTGCCTTGTGTAGTTTTCACTGCCAAACTCTCTCAAGCTCTCACGTCACCCAAGCGGTCCATTGGGAGTTTGGCCTTTCTTGCGGCTGCTTAGTATGAATAAATGTTTGTGTTTGGATGGTTTTGTCATGGCCTTTGGCTAGCACAATAAACTTATTGAACGGAATACACGTTATTAATGAAAAGTATTGTTTGATTTGGAACAGGGCATCTGGTTTTCTCTAGCATGGAAACTAGTTTTGGTGGGGTGGGGTGGCCAAATCCAACCCTTGTCCTCCTTTGCATATTATTTTCCACCAGGATAGGGTTTGGGCTCTATGGCCCTGCAATTCGGATTTGTGTAGGACAGTATTATTTGCTACATGGCATCTTCGCTTGCCTGACAGTGTTGGTGCTGCAGTCCCGATGTGTTGCTGGTAGCTTTGGTGTTTAAGAATTTAGGAAGAGCCTGCAGGATCCGGCCAGTAGCCTCATCTGTTCCATCTTTTCCAGCATTCTGTTCACACAGTGACCAACCAGATGCCTGTGGGAAGCCCTCAGGCATGTTTCTGTACCACGCAGGGTGCCTTGCAGCCATTCCCCCATGAACTGGCACAACAGCTCTGTCGTTGCCTTGTGAACTGCTGCAAACTCAGAACTTGCCTTCAGGCCCCTCCGAAGACTCCGTCTCCCTCTGATGGTCCCACTGCAGCATGTTGAAGCGCTTGTGTGAATTCTCAAGGTTGGACTTCTTACACATACAAAACTGTCCCCTGCACATAAGAGAACCACCATGCCAGAGAGGGAGACACCAGTACAGCCCTCCTCCCTGGCATGCTATTACGTATTAGTATTATTATTTTTTAAATTTGCCTACCATCCTATATCTGTACTCTAGATCTCAGGGCAGTTCACCAAGTTTTCGTTGTGTGGCAAGAGAGAAAACAAGGAGAGGCAGGCATTTGTCTGAGCTTCCAGTTGCAGTGGTTCACAGGTTGACCCCCTCGGTGGCCTTAAGCGTCACGGCTGATCAAGAGGCTGCAGCTGAAAGCTTTCTAGGCTGCAGTGGAGCTGGGACTCTAGCTTGCTCCTTGGCGCTGCATAGTAGACTGTGCTGGATTGTTTGGGGCCAAAATCTCATAGACAGGGCCTTGCAGAGAGACTTTTTTCAGGCTGAGTGAAGCACTTGGAGTGGACCGGGGTGGTTTGCATTATCAGTGCTCCTCTGTTACATTTTTGGGGGCTAGTTCCTGGCTCCTCCTTGCCCTCCGCTACCCAGTTAACAGACTTGGAAGTATAATTTCTCCTTCATCACTGTCACTGCCCTCCTTGCTGTGGAGAAGACCCTCTTTTGCCTGTGTCCCCCCTCATCACGGTCAAGACCAGCTTAGCCTGAGGCAATGCTCAGGAGAAACTCAAGCACAAACGTCCCCTGGTGTCACACTTTCTTATTCTGTCTGGGAGAGAGTCTTAACCCAGTGATCCATCATGCTCTGGTTACCTGTAGATGACTTGAATGCACTGCCCATTGGACTGTCCTTGAAGACAATGCAGAATACAGCTTGAGAACCCAAGGCACTAGTGCTGAGCAGCTGTGTGGCTCCTAATCTCTTTCCATGCTGGTGGATCCTTTTCAAAGCCCTGTGTCAACTTGCAGGCTTGCCTGTCTCCATGGGATCTCTCTCACTCACGGGCACCATTCTCAGGTGTTTGCAGATGCAGCGAGTGGTAATTAGGGTGGGTAAGAAACGTATCTGTCGTGACTCCCAGTGGTGGGATTCTTAGCAGTTCCCCTCCCCATTATGGATTTTCTTTGCACGTCTTGCCACAAGAGAGGCATAACAGCCCCATCCTGGGCATGTTTAATAGGAAGCAACACTCCCCTGAGTTCAACAGGGCCTGCTCCTTTCTAGTCCTACAGAGTATCACAGCCTGACATTTTGCCTTTCTGCTGCTGCTCTTGCCTCGTTCTTCAGGGGTTGCAGCTGCCGTTGGCTGTGCCGGCAACCACTCTCATGGTTTCTGTCACAGAGGCAGACAGCGGACTGCTTCTCTTCCAAGTTCATGGTTGGAAGACGGTGATGGATGGGCCAGCATGAGGGCATCTTCTTTTCCACTCTGGGAGGGTGTAACCCTGTATCCCATTTCATGGGAGAGAAACCCCTTGAGTTCAAGTAAACATGTAGAAGACTGGGTAGCTATGGAATCTCCTTCTTTCTCGTGTGTTTCCTGTCTCTGGCTCTCATCTCCCAGGCTGATGGATGCTCATTGCAGGACTTCAGTGCCCTATGTGCAGTCTAGTGTATAAGAGAGCCAAGTCAGTACTGTGGATCTCTTTCTCACTTACCCCCACCCCAGTGCCAGCAGAGATTCTCTTCTTTCTGCCCAGGAACAGGAGAAATCTCTTCTTTCCAGACATCCAAGCTTTCAGAAATTCTCAATCCCTAAGCAGTATTTCTGTGAAGCACCATGACCATTATACTGGGGGCTGGGGTGGCATCTGCTGTTGGCTCCTGAGCTGTGAAAGTGTCCCGTATTCTTTTCCCTATTCCTAACGCATTTTTTGTCTTCCCTTCTCAGATTCCGTAATGATGAATGGTTCCAGCGTGGCAAACACGACCACGACTGCCACCACCCCTGCAAAATCCAAGGAGGACCAGGTAGTGAACGGGCATGATGAGAAGGAGAATAACCCCTTTGCCGAGTACATGTGGATGGAGAACGAAGAGGACTTCAACCGGCAGGTGAGGCAGTCAAGGGGCTTGCTGCAGTTGCTGACTCTCCAGTCTGTTCCTTGGTACGTGGTTTATAGGCCAGTTTTTATGGGGCAGCCTACAGGGATTATGAAAAGCGAAATGCCGGTAGAGTACAGAACACCATTAGAAAATCAGGAATCACTTAAAAATAGATGCTCGGGCTGGCCGCCTGCTTTGTGTCGTCCTCGCTCACAGGTTGGGGCAGCCCACACTCTGGATAGGGCAGGGGGTTGGTGTTTATGACTTTCCATAAGAACTAGTCCAGCATCCTGTTCTCAGGGTGGCCAGCCAAAATGCCTCTTCTGTGAAACCCACAAGCAGCATTCAAGGACAAGAACACACTCCCCTTTTGTGGCTTCCAGCAACTGGTATTTGGAAATATTACAGCTGTGGAGGCAGAGGAAAGCTGTCATGGCTAGTAGCCATTTCTGGTCCTCTCCTCCACGGATTTGTCTAATCCTCTTTTAAACCCATCCAACTATGGGGCCATCACTGCTTCCTGTGGGAGGGAGTTCTGTAACTCCCATGTTGAGCAAGAGTCTAGCCCTGTCTGTAGAAGTGGCATGGGAGGCAGGAAGTCTGCCATTAGAACCTCGCCTCAGCCTTGGGCAAGTGGCTTTCCTTCACCTGCATTAGTAATAGAAAGAGATTTGCCTACCTTAAAAAAAAAAAAAAACCATGCCACTAAGATGTGGCTTTAATCAAGGGGTGTGTTTAGGCTTCTTTGAAAGAACTTCATCTTTGGGTAAAGACCAGGCTGACAGATGGCGGAAGGAGGGAAGTAAGATGGAGAGGGTACAGGAGACGTTGGACGGGAGGAGAAAGGAGATTTTGGGGACACTAAAACATCCATTCCTGATATTTAGGAAGCCCCAGTCTCTCCCTCATCTCTCTGATGGCAAGCCTCCACCTGCCTCTGTGGCTGCACGACAGCTAGGAATTTGGTCTTTATGAATCTATTCATTTTAGATTATCTTCAACCCACTTTTTCTACCCCTGAGGTGGCTTCCGATTGCAAACTTTAGAAATGGCAGGACTCAGTAAAATCCAGCAGCATTAAAAACCAGGGGAAGGACCACCCAACAGATGAATGCTTTCTCAAAAACAGAGGAGAAAGGAGTGGTGCCGTGCTTCCTCCAGGACGGCAGCCCAGAGCTTTTGGGCTACTGGCCTCAAGGCCCCTCTCCTGGCAGTCCCAAGTTCTGGCCGCCTCTTGGGCTCAGCCTGTAGCTGCCGTAGGAACTCCCACAGGAAGAGGCAGCGGTGCCCCCCACCCCACTGGCTCCAAGGCCACAATGGGCTTGAAAGGTAAGCAGGAGTGCCTTGAATTCCGCCTGGAGAAGGCCCAGCAGCTGCCAGCACAGCAGTTGCCAAACAGACAGGACGAGCTCCTCAGCATGGAGCATTCGCTGCACTTCTCAATACCTCTTCTAGGGCAGAGCTGCTGCAAAGGCTGGGCTGTAGGAGGTGGCAGGGAGAAGGACCCTGCAGCTTGCCGCCACTTCTCTTTAGGATGCATGCTCCTCTTCCCTGCATCTGTTGCCAGAGTCCTTGTGTCTGTCTCTGTCCTTGCCTCTCCCCTCCCCGGCTGCTTTTGCTCCCTGGCCACCTTGGCTCCCTTCCCTTGCCCACTCCATCCCTGCTGAGGAAGCGCCTTGGAGAGGACCATAGCTGAATGGGGCAGGGCAGGCTCTATTTATTTATTGCATTTATGCCCCAAAGGCTCCCTGAGCAGCTTACGTGTAGCCAAGACAGACGCTACCCACAGGCTCATGATCTGAAAAGAAACCTGACACGCAAGGCGAAAGGGACAGGGAGGGAAGAGGAAAATAAAGACCCGGGCACCAATTTCCGAACAGTTGCTCCTCCAGTGACCAGCTTGGCACAGTTCAGGGACAGGAAGGTGCTTGATGGAGCTGGAGTAGAGCGCATTAAATGAGCCCCGTTGCTTCCCATCTCTCTCCCGCTTAGGCAGTCTGGCGGAATGGGCCTCCAGTGGGTCCCGAGTTCAATCTCTGCCAGCATCTCCAGCAGAAAGGTTCAGCTGGCAGGTGATGGGGAAGCTCTTTTCCACCTGAGGCCCAGGAGAACAGTTAGCAGTTGGGGGAGACAGTACAAGGCTACCTGGATCAGGGGGGCTGAGCTGCTGCGACGCAGTTCCCTATATTCCTGCCTCTGGACTCTCTTTTGTGCTTGACCATTGAGGATGAGCTGGGGGGCAGTTTTGGTGAGAGCTGAACCCTCAGACCTTACAGCTGAAGCTCCCTGGTTCTTATCTCAGCTGCTCTCGGCATCTCCCTTCTGCTCTGGGAGGTCTGGAACTGCTTAGCCTGCTGCGCTCCAAGCCTTGGCGGGGCGGTTTTGCTGCTTCCTGTCTTCTCGGGGCCTCTGTCCAGCTGCCAAGCTTGCGATGTGGCAGTGTGCAAGGAAAGCCTCCACAACAGGAAGGAATCTTGCTCAGGGATGACAGGAGAAGCCCCGCCTGCCTTCCGAGGGTCTCATTGGCAGAGGAGGAGGCTTCAGCCGAAAACAAGAAATCCGAAACCCTTCCTTCTTGGGGGTGAGCAGACCAGCCCTGCTGCTTTCCTGGAGCCAGTTGAATCAGTACTGAGCCTCTTCTGTTTGGGAGGGCAGCCTCTGGGTGGGGCCCAGAAGCAGATAGGAAGGCTTGCAGCAAGACCACTGAGAAGGAGGATGGCAGCTCCTGCAAAATGTTCTCTGTGGGCAGGGCAAGCCACAGAGTCACCAGGAAGACATTCATTCTCCTTCTTTTGAAAGAGTACAAAGGCAGGACGTTCTGGGGAAGTGGAGAAGCCCCAGGATGGAGGCATGCATGGAAGTGCGGAGAGGCCAGGCGTGCCCCTGTGGCATAGGGTCTGGTTGAACTTTAAGCTGGGCTCCTAAACTGAGTGGGTGGGCTGGCTGGCTGGCTGGCTTTGGGCTAGTTGCTTGCTCTGTTGCCCGTAGGGGAACCTGACCCACAAAGTGGTTGTGAAGGTGGAGGGATTGTCGAGCATTCCGTGTTCAGTGAGAAACGCTGCAACCGTGAGAAGTTGGCCTCTCAAGGGCTTCTTGGCATGCCTGCATTGTGACAGCTGCTGGGATGAACGAAGCGTCCCTGGTCCAGGAGAGGCCGCTCTGTGGCTGGTGCAAATGAAAGCCACAAAAGCCGTGGGATTTGCCGGCTGGGACTTCCCTGCTTGCAAATGCAACTGAGCTTCACAAGCAGAAGGGGAGCTGGGGTCCAGGGTACTGTTTGACAGGAAGTGTGAAACTACTCCTCCCCGGTCTGAGGCCTTCCCAATGGTTTGGACCGCATCTCCAGCTGTTTGGACTACATCAGCCTTATGCGGCTCAGGATCCCAACCCCTGGAGGACAGTCTCCCCCACATGAACTGACTCAGACCCTGCAGCCTTCATTGGAGGCTTTCCCCCATCTGCCTCATCCGCCAGAAGAGTAAAAAGGGGCAACACGAAAACAGGCCTCTTCATTGGGCAACACACACATCCTTGAGGAATGCTGTCTCTGGGTAATCTTGCCTGGCACCAACATGCTTCATTTTCAGGCACTGGCCTAAGACATGTTTATTTAGTCCTTGGGCTCAGTAGGACAGTCATACCTCGGGATAAATGTGCTTCAAGTTAAGTATTTTCGGGTTGCGCTCCGTGGCGACCTGGAAGTAACGGAGTGCGTTACTTCCAGGTTTTGTCGCGCACACATGCACACACGGTCAAAATGACGTCATACGCATGCAGGGAAGTGGTGAAACGTGATGCGCGGACGCAGGTTGCGTTCGCATCCCGGGGTACCACCATAGAGCATGAGACTCTTAAACTCAGGGTCGTGGGTTCAAGTCCCATGTTGGACAAGATAGTCCTGCATTGCAGGGGGTTGGACTAGATGACCCTTGTGGTCCCTTCCAACTCGACAGTATTCTGTTCATCTCTGTTGTGCTGCTCATCTTTTAATAGGGTGGGCCAGGCATTTTCCTTCTTACTGTGCTGTTGGGTGAGCATTTGAGGGGTTTTGCACTGCACGATGCTTTTTAATTTTGCTTTTGCTTGATTTCTGTGCTTCATCATCTTTACTGAGAGGTATTCTTTTCGTCTAAAGCAACTTAGAAATACATTAAATAAGTAACAAATACAAAAGGATGGTCATGCTGCTGGGGCTGATGGGAGTTGTAATCCAAAATGTCTGGTGAGCGCCAGGTTGCTCAAGGCTGTGTTGGGCCCTGCTTGTGTGGAACAGTTGGTGGTAGCCAGGAGGCCTTGACCAGTTGGCCATGGCTGGGGCCTGTGCATTTCACCCACTGTCCAACATACAATCTGAGGTGAGGCTTGAGAAACCATGTTCCTAGTCCTCCTTGGTTTTTAACTGTGTTCCCTGGTTTGGGCTTTGAGGAGGGAGGAAGCACCTGGAATGAGGACGTAAGAGCCATGTGGCTAAGTCAGGCTAAAGGTCTTGCTCACCCGGCATCCTCTTTTCCTCTGTGGCCTGCCAGGTGCCTCTGGAAAGCCCACAAGCAGGACAGGAGCATGATAGCAGCCCCTTTCCTCCCACCCTTGTTTCCCAGCAACTCACATAAATGGGCATACTGGGGGGTGCGGCAAGTAGCCATTCACCGCTGGATCTTCCATGAGTATATCAGAACCATCCAAGTTAGTGGCCGTTATTATACCTTGCAGTAGCTCATGTCAGAGTTTGGCTTTGTGAAGGAGGTATTCCTTTGTGTCATAGAGTTAAGAGAGTTGGAAGGGACCCAGAGGGTCATCTCGTTGCATCTCCTGTAATGCAAGAATCACTGCTAGTCTGAGTTTTCCAACATGCGCCTTCACTGGGTGACCACAGGCATTAATTAGTGTTATAAACAGAGGGACAAAAAACACTCCCTAACCACTAGGAAACGGTGTTTGTCATGCCCATTCACCCAACGGAGTGGTATAACAATAAATAAAAGTGGTGGCTGCAGCAATACAGCGGAATTAATAACACTGGAAAACAAGAAACACATTGATTTCTGCAGCAAATTGGCAGTCAAATGGCCGTGCCGCTCTGTCTAGGGAGTTTTCCTTCCAAGTCAGTTGGGAAGACTCTCTAGTGCAGGCTTCCTCAACCTCGGCCCTCCAGATGTTTTTGGCCTACAACTCCCATGATCCCTAGCTAGCAGGACTAGTGGTAAGGGATGCTGGGAATTGTGGTTTCAAAACATCTGGAGGGCCGAGATTGAGGAGGCCTGCACTAGTGTCCAGGGATAATATCCTAAATTAAGGTAGCTGTAGAAGGCAGCAGCTGTTTAACTCACTACTAGTAGCATGTTAGGGGCTGCATCCTGCAGAACAGCCAAATGTCACATAATCCCAGCCAAGAGACCTTCTAGCCTTCAGTAAACAGACACGGCTGTAAAATTGGAGATTAATAGTAATGAGGAGAGGGGAGGGAGGCAGCAGCCCAGTGAATCCACAGCTAAGTCTGCATTTGACTGCTCGTTGTCACCTGCCTGTCTCTGTCTTTCCCCCAGCTGAAGGTCAGGCACATGCATGCATGGTTGTGTTACAATGCCCCCTAATGCAGGATTAGTTCCCGGGTGGGGTGGGGTGTTTAGTGCTCGCTGTGATGTCTGTATTAAGCACATGTCGGGAAAATTGCAATGTTGTTGGTGCAGCTTCCATTCTCCATCCTCTCGGGGACGAATGCCAGCAGTGAGTCCCAAGTGCCACCGTGCGCCAGCTTGAAGTACAGCACCATCTGCAGTTGGGCTGACGAGACGTGAAATCTGAGCTTGCTCTTGCCCTGGCAGCTTGGTGATTTGAAGGTTGACATAATTGGGAAGGGAAGGGAAGGGTGTCTCTGGCCTTTTTTCTTGTTTTAATGGGCTCCACTGAGAGGCTAGAGCTCACACACAAGTGTCTGTGAAAACCTTGGCTTGGCAGCCCCGAAGACTTCTGGACTTTGATGAGTGAAACTTAATGAAGAGATGGATTGCCCTGTGCAGAAGGAGGGATTAGAGAAAGGCATTGTAAATGAAGGGATGGCTGCCAGAACGCCACACAGTGCATCTGTGGAGTAGCCATACTTTAAAACACAATACTGTGTGCATCTCTGCTCACCCTCCAAATAATATTGAGAATGGCGTGGGAGGAGTGGATGGAAATCTTTTTCTTCCCTCCTAATCCTGGAACAGGGACACAGGTGGCGCTGTGGGTTAAACCACAGAGCCTAGGACTTGCCGATCAGAAGGTCGGCGGTTCGAATCCCCACGACGGGGTGAGCTCCCATTGCTCAGTCCCTGCTCCTGCCCACCTAGCAGTTCGAAAGCACGTCAAAGTGCAAGTAGATCAATAGGTACCGCTCCAGCGGGAAGGCAAACGGCGTTTCTGTGCGCTGCTCTGGTTCGCCAGAAGCGGCTTAGTCATGCTGGCCACATGACCCAGAAGCTGTACGCCGGCTCCCTCGGTCAGTAAAGCGAGATGAGCGCCGCAACCTCAGAGTCGGCCACGACTGGACCTAATGGTCATTACCTTTACCTTTAATCCTGGAACAGCCTTCCCCAAGCTGGTGTCGTCCAGCTGTTTGGGGCTTTAGTTCCCATTGATCCCAGTCAGAACATCCCATGCTATAGTAGAAAACAGCTGGAAGGCAATGTAAGCTGCCCATTATGGGAAATTGGATCCGAGCAACAGAGCCCTCTCCCCTCCTGGGGTTTCTAGCAACTGACACTCAGAAGCATTGCTGCCCCTCACAGTGAGGCTGAGCGCAGCCCTCTCCTCCTCCATTAATTTCTCTAACCCTCTCTTAAAGCTGTCCAAGTTGGTGGCCCACCCTGCCTCCTGCAGAGCAAGTGCCGTGGTTTAACAATGTGCTCCTGTCTACTGAGAGAGGAGAGTCCCTCAAAGACCCCCTTGATAAAAAAAATCCCGAAGCTTATCTGTTAGGGTTGGTGGGCAAAGACATACCACATATGAAAAAAACAATTTTTTATATGCAATAACAGCTGCCAGGGTAGTAATTGCCACTAAATGGAAATCTCAGGACATACCAACAAAGAGTGGATTTGTAAATTAAGTACCGTATTTTTCGCTCTATAAGACGCACCAGACCACAAGACACACCTAGTTTTTGGAGGAGGACAACAAGAAAAAAAATATTCTGAATCTCAGAAACCAGAACAGCAAGTGGTGAAAGCAGCAATCCCTCTTGCTGTTCTGGCTTCTGGGATAGCTGCGCAGCCTGCATTCGCTCCAGAAGACGCGCACAGATTTCCCCTTACTTTTTAGGAGTCTTATAAAGCAAAAAATATGGTATATAGAATTGGCAAAATTAACTTCAATTATAAGATACCACTCAAATCAAAAGTTAAGAAAGAAGTATTTCGAAGATTATATGTCAAAATATTGTTCTAAAAATAACATGCTAATAGGCTTAGAATAAAAAAAGTAAGCAATAACAAAACCAATAAAGAAAGAAGGAAAAATCAGAATGTAACAAAAATAATTTATTATCAAATGCAATGAAAAAAGGTAGAAAGAAATATAAAGAAGTCGAATTGCTGCGGAGGGAAGTAGAGGGTGGGTGGTGGGTTTTATAATGTATAATTAAGTAGCTGTTGTAATTTAGATTTTTTTTATGTGAGGGAATCATTGGGAATTCTGGTTATTATGTATATATGCTAAGTTTCAATAAAGATCTTTCGGGGGGGAAAAACAAGTTAACCAAAGTTTTGCACTGTAAAAAAAAAAAGAGTGCAGAATTAATTCATTGCGAAACGGCAGCCACTCACTTGGGTGGCTTTAAAAGCGGTCAGACAAAGAAGGGGAGAGGCCTGCCATTGGCGATTCGTGACTGACAAGGGAAAACACAGGTGACGCTGAGTATCTGGAAGAGCAGGGGCTAGCTAGGAGCTGCCCTCCTTGTTTGCATCAGGTTTCTCCAAGCTGCATACCTCTTTGTGGCACTTCTGAATGTCAGCTGACATTGGCAAGCCGGGGAGGAATCCCAGGCCATGGTCTGAAGGCCGTTGATGCCTCCATGTTGCTGAAGCTAAGCGGCTCTGGATGGCCACCTGTGCTGCTGCCCTGGGTTCCATGATGAAGGAAGGGATTGTATAAATACATACTATTTTGGGGTTGGTGCAGTAGCTTTGACAGGATGACAAGCAGTTGGAGGTACATCTTTTCCTATGTGACCCTCCCTTGTGGATCTGCTTCCTGGCCAGGTGGAGGAGGAGCTTCAGGAGCAGGAATTCCTCGACCGCTGTTTCCAGGAGATGCTGGATGAAGAGGACCAGGATTGGTTCATCCCGTCCCGTGACCTGCCCCAGGGCATTGGGCAGCTTCAACAGCAGCTGAACGGGCTCTCGGTCAACGACAACACCCACAGCCACGTATCGGAAGACATTTTGGTAAGCCCTGGGACAGGGGCTGGAAGTTGGCATGGGGACCTGGCTCTGTCGGTCGGTCACAGATAAGGGGCAGGGATGTGAAGCGGGAGAAAAAAGGTGGGCAGAGTCTTCCTCGGTGCTCCCACATTTTAGAATCCATCCGCAATCAGAGGGGCAGCAACTGCTATCGATAGCTGTCATTTTAAAACTGTTTTTATGGACAATTTTATGAGAAAATCTGGCTGGATTAGGCCAGGAAGAAGCTGAGATATCAATACCTCAACATGGGAGGCACGCAGGGAGGAGTAGGCAGGGAGGAAGGGGGTTATCGAGAGGGCGTAGAAATGAGGAACAGCCCAAGAGATGAGAACTTCAGTATTAGAAGAAAGGGCAGGGAAGGGGTGCAAGTACCAAGAGAAGAGCCCTTGTGCAATGATGGGGAAGGGAGCAGAAATCCTGGTCTCTCTCCAGCTCCTACTTTGGAAGGTTACAGTGGGTTGGGGAGCCCTGCCAGGGTTTGTTGCACCACCATGATCTTGGAGTGGGGACCCCTACCTGTCCTCATCCCCCATGTGGTTGCCCTGGAGGCAGTGGGCTCCCTTGCTCTCAGGCACACTTTTCTGGCCCAGTGAAAATCAAGGAGGTCCTGAAATCCAGCCATTTCCCCAACTGGTCTTCCCTGAGCTCCCTTGGGGCTTAGGTGCTCCTTCTCATCCGCCTGTCCGTCTCTATAAACTAGTAATAAATGACGCACCACACGGGGCCCAGTATTCCGAGCCACTTTCCAAAGTAAAATATGTACTGGATTGGAATTGCCACCTCTTTTCTGGCTTAAGCGCATTCTGCTTTTATAATTTTTCGGTCCGTTTGCCTCATTTTGTTACGGCTCTTAACTTCAACAAATAACAGTGATCTAAACTTTTAAGTTATGGATCGTTTGATGTGGGCAGGAAGAGGGTGGGCTCTCAGGAGAGGGGAATGGCGGGAAATGGGCCATTTGCATCCCTGAACGGAAGGACAGGTGGGTGAGAGGAGGGAAAGCCAGTTAAAAGCCGAGGAGCAACCTGGGGGGGGGGGGGTTCTTTCCTGCCTGCAACTAGCTGACCTCTCTTTCCCCCCTTCTCCCTTTCAGAGCAAAAGCACCTTAAACCCCGACGCCAAGGAGTTCGTCCCCGGAGTGAAGTACTGAACCTTCTTGCAAAGACAATTTCTTTTTGCCCTGGATGGGGGTGGGGGGTGGGGGTGGGGCAGCAGGACCCGCAAGCAGCGGTGGGGCAAATAGACTCCTGGTGGGCAAATCGGTGGGACTCTTTACGCTACTTCATCCCTCTTTTTTCTTGCTGCGTCGGGACACTTTGAGACAAACTGACGAGAAGGAATGCCCACCACGGGACTCAGCACAGATCCAGACGGGGCACCTCCTTGGTTTTTCTTGTTTTTCCCCCCTCTCACCTTTTCCTGTTTAACAGCAGCCAGCCTAGCCTGACCGCCAGCAGGGTCTCCTGCCCGCCCACCCGCCTCCTCCTCCCCACTGGGCAGCCCCTTCGCTGGGCATGCTTTGGACACTTTGCAGGCCCTGCTGCGTGGTGGGGAAAGGCCCCCCCGGACGTCTGTCTCTCCTTGGTGGAAGTTCTCAAGCTGGGCAGGCCAGATCTGCCGCCAGCCAGCACGGTGCTTCTGCTTCTCCTCTTCCGCCTGGCTTTGGAGCACCTCCCTTCCTCTTGCCCTCTCTCGCTCAGGCCGGTTGCTATTCCAGCAGGTGGGGTTGCAGCTCAGTGAGCCTCAGCCTGCAAAGTGACCTCTCCTACCACCAAACCCCTGGGGGTCTTGAAGGCAGGGGAGCGTGAGGGCTTGGGGGAGTTGGCTCAAACCTCATCCCCCTCCATTTGCAAGCACGTGGCCTCCCGCTGAGGAGGCAGGGGGGTCCCAGGACGTCCACAGAGTTGTTGAGGCACGATGAACCATTTCCTGGTCTTCTGCATCACTGTTTTTCTCTCTCAGCTTTCCTATCCTCCCCCTCCTCCTCCCTGCTTTGGCCCCCAACTAAAATAATCAGGAACGACAGGGTACATTTTCTCCACCTGGCAGCTGTTTGATCCAATGCAAACAAAGGACCTCTCTCCCCCTGAGGAGGGAGGCTTTGGGCTCAGGAGCCTTTGGCAGAGGGGGTTTCTGATCCCGGCAGGTTTGTCTCTTCTCTCCAACTGGGCCCAGTTCCCTCAACATCCTAGCTGCTGAGAAGTTTGGGGAGCTGTATTTGGGCTTGTCTGCGGACCAGAAAGAACAGGTGGGCCACACCAGCCGAACAGGCCCTAAACAGCTTGCAAAAATCCAGGCACATCCAACAGCACAGAAGGAGCTTCTCCCCAACCTCTGAGCTTCTGGGTTGTCCGGTATCTGCTCCCACCTTCAGCAAAAGACCCAAGGCAAGGCCATGCTCTGCGTCTTACCTGGGAGAGCAGGGAAGGAGAGCTAGGCAGGAGCTTAGAAAACTTCCCTATCTCACCCCATCCCTACTGCCAGGGGTCTTTTTATCCAAGTTTTGTCTTTCCAGGGCTCCCCCATGGAGGGAAGAATGGTGAGGGAATGTTTTGGAGTTGCTGGGGGGATTTTTACAGCATGAACACACCTAGCTTCATCTGCAAAAAAAAGGGAGGGGCAGCAGTTCTCCATCAGCATTGCCAGCTCAGATCCCAGTTCATGAGCCCCTTTGCTTAGCCCTCTTGCTTTCTTGGGGGCCATGGGAAGAAACCCCCCCCCATGGGCTTGTGGGACAGCTGCAGTTCAGCCAGTCTGGACCCAGGTACCCAAAGCAAGCTGCCAGGAGACGGCGGGGCAGAGACCTTCACTGCCAAGGAGGGCAGCCAGCTTGCCCCTCTCCTCCCCGTTTAAAATCTGGTTCCTGTTGAATGCATAGGGTGCCCCCACCAAGTCTGGCTTTTTTGGGGGGGGGGTGAGACTGACAGAAGGGATCCAGCCAGGAGCCTGTGCTCTTGCAGTTGCAAGTGAAAAAGCAGCTTAACTGTGGAGCTGTATGTACGTCAGGATCCCTTCCCCAGATTCTTTCTATGGATTCCCAGTTGCAAAGGCATATCACGTGTCAATCCACTTTGGAGCAGCTTGTCTTGCACAGCTACCTGACATCTTGGCGCATGTGCAGAGTAAAGAGTTCTCCAACCCAAACTCTTTGAGGGGCAGAGGCCAGCCTGGCTTTCAGTGGTCACTTGTCCATTTGCCCTTATCTGCCTGCATTTGGCATTTGTAGAGAGGGGCAGAGGCAGCTGGCTCTGCTCTTGGTCTTACGAGACTTTTTTAAAAAGGAGGAGATGGGCAAGTTCTCCATGATCCAGATTTCTTCAAAGCCACATTTCAGGCTTGCTTATTTAAATAATCAGCAGTATAATTGGACAGAGCAGATGTGTGGGGCCATATCCACTCTTCCCCATTCCCTCCCCCTTTGCTCTTTTCTCTCTTCTCCCCCCCTCCCTTGCAATCTCTGGTTTCTTTCTGAGGAAGTCTTTGCAATTATGTTCTGTCCATTTTTAAAACAATGCATTCTTAAAATAAATTGGTTTTGAGCTGGGTGTGATGCAGAGTTCTTTCCAATTTCTCCCGATGGGAGAGGGGAGTAGGTGGCATGGATAAAAACGTGGTGGCGGAAAAGGCTGGTTTCTCCTTCGTACCATCTCATGAAAGAGGGAGTCCAGGCTCCAAGGAACGTGGAGAATGATGGGCATTGGAATAAGGTTTTTTTTGGGGGGGGTGTTAAGAGGGCAGGATATAGAGTAGGACTTTTGCACATTTCTCTGTCTACCATAAGGACTACCCTGGAACACTTGCACATGAACATAAGGAGAGCATACTGGATCCGGGCAAGGGCCCATCTAGTCTAGCATCCTGTTCTCACAGTGGCCAAGCAGATGACTCAGTGGGAAACCAGCAAGCAGGATTTCAGCCCAAGAGCAACTCGCCCCACCTGTGTTTTCCAGCAACTGGGACTCAGAAGCATTGCAGCCCCCAAACATGGAGGCAGACCATTGTGGCTAGGAGCCATCAGTAATAGCCCTCTCCATGAATTTGCCCACTCCTCTTTTATAATTATTTAATATTAATTAATTGTGCCAGTGTGGTGTAGTGGTTAAGAGCAGTAGACTTTTAATCTGGTGAACGGGGTTCACTTCCCTGCTCCTCCACCTGCAGCTGCTGGATGACCGTGGGCTAGTCTCTCAGCTCCACTCACCTCACAGAGTGTTTGTTGTGGGAGAGGAAGAAAAAGAGAATGTTAGCCGCTTCGAGACTCCTTCAGGTAGTGATAAAGTGGGATATCAAATCCAAACTTTTTCTTCTTATACTTGTACCTCACCCACCTGACTTGAGTTGTCACAGCTACTTTTGCAGGCTTCCAACAAAATATAAAAGAAAACAGTGAAACATCCAAAGCTTCCCTAAACAGGGCTGCCTTCTAAAAGTCAGCTAGTTTTTTATTTCCTTGACATTTGACGGGAGAGCGTTCCACAGGACGGGCGCCGCTGCCGAGAAGGCCCTCTGCCTGGTTCCCAGTAACTTCACTTCTCAAAATGAGCGAACAGCCAGAAGGCCCTCAGAGCTGGACCTAATGCTCCTTTTAAAGCCATTAGGTTGGTGAGCATCTTCAGGAGAGAGTCGTGACCTGAAACATGACAATTATTGACCATCCCCAAACTGCTAAACTGGCTCACGAACTATCCGTCCCACAGTGACAGCATCTTTATGCAGGAGAGCACTTGGACTTTTGCAAATACGAAAGCCAAATCTTTGGGTTTGAAGCCTGAAACGAGGTGCTGGGACATGGCTTCTCAGCCTGCTCCCATAGAAACCTGCCCCAGCCTTGTCAAAGCCCAAATCAGTAGGGCAGAGCTTACAAAACTGTGTCACGACACATCAGTGTGTAGGTTTGCCACACAAATGCTCCTTGCTGTCCTGGGGCTGGAAAGGAGTCACTTTAACCTCCGGTTTTTGCTAGTAAATCTGAATTACTGTGTCATGAAATGATGCCGGTCTAAAGAGATGTGTCACCAACACGAGTTTGGGAAGCTCTGCAATAGGGGTCTACTATCCCAACCACAAGGAAAAGCCCCTCTCTGTGTCTCTGTGCAGCTTGGAGGAGAGGAATTTCATCAGCAACTCACTAGGTGAACTTCCTTGACGCAGGCAGGTGCTTGTTGCTGACAAAACAGGCTGAATGAGAGTTTCCTGCGACATGCAGCCCACCAGACCAAGAACACTGCTGCTTGATGGTCTTGCTTTGTTTCTTTTTTTTAATGAACGTTACGAAACATGCCCCTACAAAAACGTCCTTCCGAAGCAGAACAGGCAGTCTTTGAACATTTAAAAAACGGGTCCATGGCATGGAGAGAAAGAGAACGAGAAAGAGCAGGACAGGTCAGGTCATGGGGTGGGGAGCATCCTGCACATCTAGGCAAAGGAGTGTGTGTAGAAGACATTCACGTTGGCTGCGTAGTCCAGGGGGAGGGCTTGGCCAATGTGCTTGGCCCCTAGGCTAGCCCCTCCCAGTGCCGAGGACTGCTTCAGCTTCAGGAGGCTGAACCTGGAGAAGGCACTGCCGGGCTGTTCTCTGTGTGCCTGGTCGAGGATGCGGATGAAGCCTGGAAGAGGAAAAGAGGCAGGGAACAGTCATTCGGAGGACACCAATCCCTAAAGGTAAAGGGACCCCTGACCATTAGATCCAGTCGTGGACGACTGGGGTTGCAGCGCTCATCTCGCTTTATTGGCCGAGGGAGCCGGCGTACAGCTTCCGGGTCATGTGGCCAGCATGACTAAGCCACTTCTGGCAAACCAGAGCAGCACACGGAAATGCTGTTTACCTTCCCGCCGGAGCGGTACCTATTTATCTACTTGCACTTTGACGTGCTTTCAAACTGCTAGGTTGGCAGGAGCAGGGACCGAGCAACGGGAACTCACCCCGTCGCGGGGATTCGAACCGCCAACCTTCTGATCGGCAAGTCCTAGGCTCTGTGGTTTAACCCACAGCGCCACCTGCCCTACCAGGTGCTAATTCGGTACCCAGATGGACACTCCGCGCAGGCAAACGGGAGGCAGCACAGGAGCTGTGATTCCCGTATCGTAGGGGGTTCGACTAAATGATCCTCGGGTCCCTTCCAACTCTGCAATTCCACAACACTCTTTGCAGCAAAACATCCCCGGCCTCGCCAAAGAGGTGCGCGACTCTCGTCTGCCTTCATCCCCGACAGCCGCTCACCTCCTTTCATCATGTCCCAGCTGTTCCACACCGATCCAACGCACACGATGGGCAGTCCCAGGTCTCCTAGGAAGAGGCTCTGGCAGGGAGGAGAAAGAAGGGCACGAAAGAGCCTCTGAGGATTCATTTCTGACATTTATTTCCTATCCCCCCCCTTTCCTGCACGCAGGGCCTTTCCCAGGAAGGCTCCCATCCTGGGACTGCCCAAACCTTCCGCAAAGTAGCCCAGCACGCCAGCAGAGTTAAGGTGCCTCTGGGAATGTGTGGCAGGCGCCCTCTGGAAACCCAGAGAGAAGCACCCCTGACTCTGCATAGCAGGGGGTTGGACTGGATGACCTTCAGGGTCCCTTCCAATTCTACAATTCCCTTTACGGTTTCAGGTTTCCAGGCGAGATAAGACAAAGTCATCTGTACAAATAACCACACTGGCACCTTTAGGTGCGCATGCCGGTTATCCTGAGATTCCTGCATGGCAGGGGGTTGGGCTAGATGACCCTCAAGTCCCTTCCAAACCTACAATTGTACGATTCTATCAGGACAGAACTGGAATCTTGAAATAAGCCGCAAGGCAGGAAGCCTGCTTAGACCCCACCCAGAGAAGTGTGGCACCCCAACCCAACAGGCAGTGGTCACCTTTACCAACCTAGCTGGGGCGGCATTACCTCCAAAGGTATTTTTGGGGGGGGGGAGAATGTCGCCCCACTGTTACCATGTTAGAAGTAGCTCAGAGTGGCTGGGGCAACCCAGTCATGTGGATGGAGTACTGTTACTACTACTAATAATAATTAATAATAATTATGGAATTTTTCATATTATAACTGCTTTTCAGAGCACACCAGGGCTGCAGGATTGCAGTCCATCCAGTGGCTTCTAACTGCACGGACCAAAGTCTTCTCTGGACCGGCCAGCCAGCCTCTTGGTGACCGTGTCCTGGGGAGATCCAGCCCCCGACCCCTCTGTTCTGACCTGCCCCCTGCCGCCCCTTCCTTTCACAGCTTACCTGATCAACTTTTGGCAGCACAGCTACGATGTGCCGGGCCAGAACTTCTCCAGCCTTGTTGAAAACATAGCAGCAAAGGGGGTCCCCAGCCTTGGCTCCTGCATGGAGAGAGATTTTGCCCTTGTTTAATCGTTTCACAAAACTTGGAAGCCGCTGGAGTTTAGAAACGTGGCTTACAAAGCGACTAAAAAAATAACCTTCAGTGTGGAAGATACGGAAGATTAAGGAAAGCAGCCCTGGTGCACTGCAGGGTTGGTCTAGATCAGGGGTAGGCAACCTAAGGCCTGGGGGCCGGATCCGGCCCAATCACCTTCTCAATCCGGCCTATGGACGGTCTGGGAATCAGCTTGTTTTTACCTGAGTAGAATGTGTCCTTTCATTTAAAATGCATCTCTGGGTTATTTGTGGAGCCTGCCTGGTGTTTTTACATGAGTAGAATGTGTCCTTTTATTTAAAATGCATCTCTGAGTTATTTGTGGGGCACAGGAATTTGTTCATTTCCCCCCCAAAAAAAAATATAGTCTGGCCCCCCACAAGGTCTGAGCGACAGTGGACTGTCCCCCTGTTGAAAAAGTTTGCTGACCCCTGGTCTAGATCAGGGGTCGGCAAACTTCCGCCGGCGGGCCGGATTGCTCGTGTGCAAGAGCGCGTGCACCGTGCGCATGCGCACACAGCCACCGCTCTTTCCCCGCTGGCTTTCAGAGCCATGGCGGGAGAGGAAGAGGTGTCTGCAGCTTCCTATTGGCTGCGTCCCGGAAGTCAGTCGGTTTAGCTCCGCGCGGGGACTGACCCAGCGGGCGGCAAGGGCTGGGGAACGGTTTAACGACCCCCGCGGTCCGTAGTTTACTGACCCCTGGTCTAGATGACTGCTTGGTCCTTCCCGACTCAGGGCAGGCCTGACGTCACCCTGGCGGCTTCCTAGGGCAGCCCTCCTGGTGGGCTCAAGTGGGGAATTCAGAGGGTCTCCACTAAAAAGTTCCTGCGATGCCTTTGGGGCAGCAGGAAATTTAACTGGCAGCTCCCAGACTGGCTCCCAGCCAGCTCCCTTTGGCCAAAGGGCAACCCGGGTCAGCATCTGAAAATGGTGCCGCGGAAGTCACAGCCCCAAACGCAGCAGCAGCGGTTTTGCTTGCATTAATTGTTTTCCAGAGGATTTTTCAGACCAAGAGGAACAGCCCTTGTCCGCAGACATGGGGAGAGTAACTGGCTGGTTTCAAGCACGGAAATGATTTGGGAAGGAAGGAAACTTATTGCGACGGTTAATCGTTCCCGTTATGAACCCTTCGCCAGCAGGTCCCAGGGCGAGTTTGAAGCAATTTGAAATCGAGAATTAAAGACAGCTGAGCCAAATCGCAATCATAGGAATAGTGTTGGTCCTGAAACCGACCTGCCCTCTTTGAAAGCATGAACCATTTGGGTCAAATGAGTGTTATTTCAGGCATCTTCATGATCCTACAGGAAGATCTGCAAGAAGCCCCAGGCAGACTGAAAGCTGGAAAACGAGTCTCCGACATCCGGGATGCCATTTCCTTTTCAAACCAATGAGAATTTTTTCCTTCACATAAATTCTTCAGAGGTGCAAAAACAATGAGGCCCGGCTTTCCCCAACCTGCTGCCCTCTGGCCAATTTGGACTACAGCTCCCATCATCCACCTGACATTTCTTCTCACAGCGCATAGTTAGACTGTGGAACTCCCTGCCACAGGAGGCACCGGTGGCAACCAACCTAGAAGGCTTTGAAAGAGGATGAGCCAAATGCACCGAGGAAAGGGCCAGGGATGGCTGTGAGCCAGGATGGCTCTGCCACAGTTGGAGGCAGCGATGTTCCTGAATGCTAGTTGCTGGAAAGAGCAGGCGGGGAGACTGGCTCTGGGGCCAGGATCCTGCTCACCACAGGTTTGGCCACAGGGAGAACAAGATGCCAGACTAGAAGGGCCCTGGGTCTGATTTCACAGGGGTCTTCTTATGTTCTGCCAGCACAACAGACCACAGGACCATGGCTCTCCCTGTTGCCTGCGGAACCAATAACTGGAGCCTTTGAATGTAACTGCTGTGGTGACCACCTTATGATACAATAATCTTTACTGTCATTGTTCCATACAGAACAACGAAATTGAAAAATCTACATCAGACATTCAAAAACCAACAAGCCTGCTATCCCAGCCTGGTTAACCCCCTAAAAACTCTGATACCCCATAATTGAATACAATATACTCCCTTAGAGACTACCTTAAAGGTAAAGGGACCCCTGACCATTAGGTCCAGTCGTGGCCGACTCTGGGGTTGCGGCGCTCATCTCGCTTTCTTGGCTGAGGGAGCCGGCGTACAGTTTCCGGGTCATGTGGCCAGCATGACTAAGCGGCTTCTGGCGAACCAGAGCAGCGCACGGAAACGCCATTTAGCTTCCCACCCGAGCGGTACCTATTTATCTACTTGCACTTTGACGTGCTTTTGAACTGCTAGGTTGGCAGGAGCAGGGACCGAGCAACGGGAGCTCACCCCGTCGCGGGGATTCGAACTGCCGACCTTCTGATCGGCAAGTCCTAGGCTAACTAACCAGTGAATTAAACATCTGGAAGTGGTGTGGGCTGTTTCCTGTCCCCTGCCCAGTGACCCACAGATAGCAGCCTAACACACAATTCATGGCTTTCTGTTCTTGGCAAGATACAATTTCCAGGACCCAGGCCTTGTCTAAATAACAATAGCATGAAATAACAATACAGTGCTACTGGGCATGTGCAGAGTTCCTTTGTCCTGTAACTGAGTAATAGGGCTAGGTTGTTGGTTATATATGTTGTGATCTTTTCTGTGAACCGCCCTGAGATAGGGCGGTATATAAATAAATAAATAATAATAATAATAATAACAACAACAACAACAACAACAACTCTGAACTCCACCGAGGTCTCTGGGCAGAGGGGGCTACATTTTGTTTTTGTTTTTCGTTTAAATTGCTGTTATTTTTTACCTATGTCATTTTAAACTGTGATATTAATGCTGTATTCTTAGTTTTAGATTTTGATTTATGTGGAAATTGTTTCACATTTGGTTGTGTATCTTTTTAAAATGTGGTTTATTCATTGTTTATGGCCTTTGTAATTATGCAAATCTTGTTATGCTGTAAGCCGCCTTGAGCATTGTTTTTTTAACTGGGGAAAGGCGGCATACAAATAAAAAATGATGATGGTGATGGGAAGTTCAGAAGCATGGTACACCCCAAGCCAGCTCACCGCCCCCACCCTCCCCAGATACCTTCAGCCAGCTTCTGGCAAAACCCTGCAAACTTGGACTTCTCAAAGGTTCTGTAGAGGTGAGTCAGGAGCCCCATCCTGTCCGTCACCTGCGGGAACAGGAGAAAACAAGTTCAGTTGCATGCAAGTCATCTATGATTTCTGCCCTGATCTCTGACTCGGAAGGATCCCCCAAAAGGATCCCCATATAAGCTATGCACCAATACTGATCTGAATCGTCCCTGGCTAACACATCTTTGTCTTAGATTGCAACCAAGGTGGATTTGAATCACTATTTAAATCACTGGTCAGTAAGACTTGATTTAAATCATTTTTTTACAGAAAGACTCATTCTTGCTGGTATAATCTTAATATTTACAACCAGATGAAGGTTTCATTTTTGGAATAATAAATTTTCTGAGTAGTTTTTATAGTTTTATCAAAAATTACCCATTTGGTTATACTATTAGAAATACATAGACAGATAATTATGAAATTATTGTGAGGTTTAATAAGTTAACTGTTGATATTTGGACAACTTTTCTGCTGTACTTTATTGGAAGGAGAAAAATCACCATTTTCTTAAGAACAATTTAAACAATTTATTTAACTAAAACAGGAAACTTTGGGAAATGGGAAACGCAGAAGGAAGCACAATGCAGAGGCTCCTTTCACGCCAGATGAAACAAGCCATAAAAGCTGTCATATGACATGAGAACCCTAATGGGCCAGGTGGACTTTGGCAGGTGCTTAAAAGGGAGCAAAGAGGCTAATCATTAAACGGCCGGACCCAGCCCCAGCCCGGAGCAAGCGAGGAAGATGGAGGACAGACGCAGGGCATGTACTTCTGAACTTACGAAGAAAAATAAATCTGAATCTGGAACACCACTGCATTTTTGCCCAGTCACCATAATTTATTCTGCTACTGAAATTCTGCTTCTTAAACACAGAAGTCCTCTGGAGATGATTTCCCTGCCCCCGCCCCCCAAAAATATTCCCCCACCTTGCGTCCAAGCCTACCTTTGCAGCCTGGGAAAAGCATCAGTTAAGGATGCTCTATAGAGGAGATAGTTGCACTTATGAACCTATGTTTGACTATTCCAGAGCAAGTTCCTCCCTGGCTCCAGCAGCCACAAAGAACATTTAAGGTAGCCTTTGCCAAGTCGGCGCCCTCCAGCTGTTTTGCGCTATCAGCCCCAGCAGGGCACAACCATGTCGGCTGGGAGTTGTAGCACAAAATAGCAGCAGGGTGCCAGACGGGCGGATGGGGATAAAAGGGGAGGCAGAGCCAGGAAGGGGGCACCATAGGAGAGGGAAGGTCTCCTGTTTATGACCTACTGAGAAATACAGAAAAGGTCTCAGAGCACAAACAAGCCTCTTGAACATCTGAGCTATGATGGCTCTGGTCTGCTGCCGCAGATGGAGACAGTAAATGTTCCAGAATCCCAGTTTCTGGAAAATGCAGTCGATTTTGGTTTCAGTGGGCTGTGTCTGTATTTTGTCCCTTGTCAACAACCCGAGATCTCTCTCCCATGATCCCAGAGCCAGTGACCAGCCTCTCGCGCCCCCAACTCTCACCATGAGTCAAACAAAAGCACAAATTGGGGTGGACAGGCGGACCACTAGACAGGCAGTTTACCTGGAAGTAGTCAAACATGGCTTGCTTGACGTAGCTGATGTCGTGCGGAGGTGTTTTGAGGTTGTCCAGGCTGTCAAAGACCATCTTCACCGCCTGGTGAGCGATCCAATAAGCTACAGACACCAAAAGAGGATATTACGCCCGGCACTAGGGATGTGGGAAGATTCAGGACTGAGAACAGGAAGGGCTATGGAACTCCCTGTCACCACCACACTCCAGAAAAACTCACAAAGATGTATAAAAATAGATCACCAATTTGCTGGAGGTGTAAAGATGGTACAGGGTCATATATGCACATGTGGTGGGAATGCACAGCCATTAAAGAATTTTGGAACAACATCTATAATGAATTTTAAAAACTATTTAACTTTTCATTAAAGAAAAAACCTGAAACCTTCCTCCTGGGAATAATGTCACCAGAAATCAAAAAAGAAATTAGACCACTTTTTATGTATACAACAGTAGCAGCCAGGATCTTAACTGCAAGAAAATGGAAAAGTAACAAAACACCTACGATAAATGAGTGGCAGGTCCAAATGATGGAATACCTACAGATGGCCATGATGACAGGGAGAATTAGAGGTTATCCAAAACACAAAGCACAGAATGGAAATGGAATGGAAAATCTTTAAAGAGTATTTGGAAAAGCATTATAATAACAAATACCTCCTGGCAGAAATAGAATCATCCTTGTAAAACAACAAATATTTTTTTTTTTTATATCTGACGAAAACAAAGAAAGAAATGCAGTAACTTGGAACTGTGTGTGAAAAAATTGTAGAAATAATAATACAATGAGTCTAATCAGAAGCTAAATGTGTTTTCTTTTGGGTTTTTTTCCTTTTCCCCCTTTCCCTCCCCCCCCCTTCTTCCTCTTCTCTGTTCTTTATTGTGCCTCCTTCCTTGGTCTTTCTCTTTTTGATATGTTAAGAAAGAGATAAAGAGATAAAAGTGTAATATGAAAACTTCAGTAAGTTAAAAGTGATGTGTAATTTTTCTATTATTTATATATTGTTAAAGTTGATTAATTGTAATGAATTGATGTAGCAAGTACTGTGGTTTTTTCCCTTTGTTATTGTTGAATTCTAAATAAAGTACAGTGGTACCTTGGGTTACAGACACTTCAGGTTACAGACTCCATTAACCCAGAAATATTACCTCGGGTTAAGAACTTTGCTTCAGGATGAGAACAGAAATTGTGCTCCGGTGGCGCAGCAGCAGCAGGAGGCCCCATTAGCTAAAGTGGTGCTTCAGGTTAAGTACAGTTTCAGGTTAAGAACGGACCTCCACAACGAATTAAGTACTTAACCCAAGGTACCACTGTATTTTTTTTTTTTTTAAAGGAACTCCCTGCCACCAACCGGGGTGGCTTTCAAAGAGGATTGGACAAATTCATGGAGGAGGAGAGGGCTATTGGAGGTTCTGCCTCCAAAGTCACAGGCAGCAATGCTTCTGAACCTCAGCTGCTGGAAATCACAGCTTGCAGGCTCAGATTCTGCTTGGGTTCCCCACAATGGGCATCTGGTTGGCCCCCAGGGCTGATTCAGCAGGATTTTTCTAGGTGCTTATAAAGGAAGCTCTGAGGCCTGTGGAAAATTGCCAGAAGCCTCCCAAGCGTGACCATTGACCTCTGGTGCCAAGCCATGCTCTGAAGATCTCGCCACACCTTTCGATACGCAATGATACCATCCACGTGGCAAGGCCTTCCAAGCGTCTGGGCTCCCTATTGGCCACGCGGTCTGGATAATGGGGTCCAATCCAGAGGTTCTGGGGAAGATCTGCGCCACTCCTGAGATGTCCCTCTGTAAAGCCAAGTGGTTTGCTTCATCCCCAGAGAACCTGAGCCCAGCATCTCCTGAGCAAAGCACCCCACCGACCAGGCGTCCTGTCCTCACCTGACCCCTCGTCGCCCATCATGTGGCCCCATCCCCCGCAGCTGACCTGAGAGCCGTCCGGATTGATGAGTTTGCAGGTGGAGCCTGTCCCAGAGATGAGGACCACACCGCCTGGAGAGGAAGAGGAGCACGTGAGAAGGATGTACACAGCAAGTACAGACATGCACAAACTTCTTTCCGCCATGGGCGGCCTCTGTCCTAGAAAACGGAAATTCTATAAATTGTATACCAAGTGAGGGTGGTTGATGGGTCTCGAACCCTTGGTGAGTTGGGGGCCTCCTCTGAAGAGAGGCTTCGATGAATTGAGTGGACAAGACCAAGAGGGGGTCCAATGGTCAAGAAGGCCATTCCTGCACTTGATGTAGAGCGGTGTTTCTCAACCTTGGGTCCCCAGATGTTGTTGGACTACAACTCCCATCATCCCTGAGCTCTGGCCTTGCTAGCTAGGGGTGATGGGAGTTGTAGGCCAAAATCATCTGGGGACCCACAGGTTGAGAAAGGCTGCTGTAGAGGGAAGAGAGGGGAAATACTATCGGCCCAGAAATGGAAGGAAGAGTCAACCCCAACCAGAGAAGAATGGCAAATCAAGAGGACCGACTATGCCAAAATGGCGAGATGAACTGGGAAGCTCAGAAATCAAGAAGACAATAACTTTATAAAAGAATGGGGAAAGTTTATAGTTTATATACAAGACCACTGCAAGCAGGTCAAAACATTGGCAGGGTTTTCATGACACTTGTAAAGTAACGGACACAATGGATAATTCAGAAATAAAAATATTTGGATAAATATGGATATGCAATTGTAAATATTTTCATCAGGACGCATGGAAGGGATGGGGGAAGTCAGGAGATTCAGAGTAATCTCACTATTTAGATTTTGAATTGCTGTTTGTAGTATGTTTAAATCTTTACAAATAATAAACATTTTTGCTCCATAAGACACACCTTTTTCTTCATAAAAAGTAAGGGGAAATGTCTGTGCGTCTTATGGAGCAAATGGTCCCTGGAGCCGAATTGCACAGGGGCGAAAAGCAGATCATGCTCTTTTTTTTGAAGGAGGGAAGTGAGTGTTGAAACAAAGCCGCTGAATGGCAAGCAGCTCAGGATTTTTACAAATTCACCATCAGATCACATTGCATGTCCATGGCTACAGCCTGCACCAAAGAAATCACACACCCACTGTTGCGTGGAGCCGTAATGGCGCAAAAACGTGGTTACAAAGCATGGATCCAGGATTTTTGCATTGGGCTACCCATAACTCACCGTCAAATCACATGTCTGTGGCCACAGCATGAACCACAAAAATCACACATCCACTGTTTTGTTCAGAATTTTTTTTCTTCTTGTTTTCCTCCTCTAAAAACTAGATGCGTCTTATGGTCAGGTGCGTCTTATGGAGCGAAAAATACAGTATATAAAGAGAGAGAGGCAGGTGGGGATCATCCACCTGGGAAGGTAGCTCATCTAGGAGAAGGAAAATCCTGATCCTAAACCTCCGCTGCCTTGTGGGACATCTTCCAGAGAAGAAAAGGACAAGGAGTAAACTCTGCACAGATCCAGAGTGGAGTCCCTAAGGCTGTTGGCTAGTGTCTTCTGTGCCTCCTTTTGGCAGCTCCTGCCGCCAAGCTGGTGCCAAACATCTTGCTCTGCTTTCCTTTGGACCCCGTCAATGAGGCCAAGAGGGGGATCTTGTCATCGAGGCAGCCCAGAATCTCCAGATACACCGCCCAGGCTTGCACCCCAGGGAGCTGAATTTGGTGTTGCTCACGCTGCGCTTTGACTTCACCCCTTGTTTCTCAAGACAGACGGAGGCGAACAACAACAGGGCAGTTTCGTCCTCTTTCTGTGGTTCTTGAGATGCCTCCCTCGTGGTGCCAAGGGGCAGAGATGCTCAGTTCCCCTCCATCCCATCCAGCCCAGCTGTTTCGTACCCTGCCGGAAGAGTGCGCACGTGTACAGGGCACCTTCCCACTCAATGCGCACACCCTCTGCTCACCCGGGGCCAGACATTTTGGACGTCAATCCCTATCAGCCCCAGCCAAATGCTGGGTTGCAAGTGGGGCAGGGAGGGGGGCTGCCGAGCTCAGCCCCCCTTGGCGCACCTCGCCAGGTTCTGGACCAGATAATAATAATAATAATAATAATAATAATAATAATAATAATTTATTTATACCCCACCATCCCCGGCCAGAGCCAGGCTCAGAGCGACTAACACCAGTAAAATGACAGTAAGATGGGTGCTGGCCGGATCCAGCCGTGGTTGGGTGGTGACCTGTCCTGGATGCTTTAGCCAAGATTCCTGCATTGGGGGATGACCCTCGGGGTCCCTTCCAGCTTTACAATTCCGTGATTCTATCTTTGCGCGAAGACACAAAACCCATCCCTCTTACCGTGGTCGGTGGCTGTGGCCATGGCTCCAATGGCATCCGTGGTGATGTAGTAGTTTTGGCTCAGGCAGGGGAAGCGCGTCTTCATCTCCTCTACGAGCTTGCTGATGGCTTCCTTCTGCTCCCCTCCACTGAGAGAGAGGCCCTGCGCCAAAACACCCACACCGTCACCAGCCCAACCCTGGCTCAGCCCCAGACGCCAGCATCTGGGCCAGGGTGGGGGGGATTGCTTGTGAGGAGGAAGACTGTTTTCGGAAAGCCCACCGGAACACAAGACACACCTCAGTTTTCAGAGGAGTTGTGCTCCACCTGAAGCAAATTCTGCAGCTGGTTCTACCTGGGACTCCTCTAGAATTACAACTCTGGGGAGCACAGCAAGGTGTACCCCATAGTTTATTGGGGGGGTGAGCTGCCAGGCTCCCCAATTCTCTCTGGAAGAAGCTCAGCACTTCTTTGAAGCTAGACGCTGTGGGAAAAGATAGACTGCAGTGGAGAAACTTTCTCTCTCATGGATACCCAACCGTCTGAACCTGTGATTCCCAAAGCGCATGGTAGTGCCCCCTGGGGGGGGGATTACTGGGGGGGGCGCTAAGAGGCAACATGGAAAAACTGCATCACTGCATCAAATACAATCCACTTTCTTGAACTTATTACACTAAATAGTTTTAACCGGATTTCCAAAAAATGTGCAATTGGTCGCCGCTGTTTTGAATTGTGTTCCTAATCTTCCTCAGCGGGTTGGGCAAACCGCTCTTCTGAATAAGGCTTTTTAAAGGGTGGGGTTTATGAAACCAAGGGGTCGGGAACCGCTCATCCCATTGAGGAACCACCAGGGACCTTCTGGAGAACCTTGGGGACACAAACACCCCCAGACACGAGGGGTGGCTACTGCGGCTTGGAAGCAATTGCTGCTTCCCGGCAGAAGCAGCTTGGATCCTGCTTGCTGGCCCCTGGCCTGATCCAGCAGATTCTTATGTCCTAATGGCCAATGGGGACCCGCTTGGCAAAGGAGAAGATACTCACCAGGGAGCGCAGTGGAACCTGTGGATCAGCCCCTGCCTTGCCCTTGGCCTCGCTGACCATGGTGTTGATCCTCTCCAGGCATCTGTCTGCCCCAACCAGCTGCTCGCCAAGGGGAGAAAGCAAGGAGACCCCAATCAGCGCCGCACCCCAAACTTAAAGGCACAGACAGCCACACACAGACAGGCACCGCTTGCTCCCCTATCCTAGCTTTCTGGAAAGGAAGGAGAAACTCATCCCATCCTCAGTGGGCCCTTCCGGGATATGGGCATCTCCCTGTCGGGAGCGAGGCAGCAGTCTCCACCCCCATCATTCTACCCAGACACTGAGTTCCAGCTCCGAGGGCCTTCTGGCGGTTCCCTCACTGCAAGAAGCCAAGTTACAGGGAACCAGGCAGAGGGCCTTCTCGGTGGTGGCGCCCACCCTGTGGAACTCCCTCCCACCAGATGTCAAAGAGAACAACAACTACCAGACTTTAAGAAGACATCTGAAGGCAGCCCTGTTTAGGGAAGCTTTTAACGTTTGATGCATTATGGTATTTTAATATTTTGTTGGAAGCCGCCCAGAGTGGCTGGGGAAGCGCAGCCAGATGTACGGGGTATAAATAAATTATTATTATTATTATTATTATTATTATTACAGCATTCCACTTGGAGCTAACTGTCCCTTAGCAGATACGGGACCTGCACAGACTTGGCAGGCCAAATGAGCGCAGCCACTCATCTCGGCACACAAAGCTGCTCAGGGTGAACAACGATGTGCGATGCAGGGCTTCAAAAGGAGAGCGAGGCCCCAGCAGTGTGGTGTAGTGGTTAGAGTGGTGGGCGAGGACCTGGGTGGAGGACAGGGTTCGAATCCTCGCTCGGCCATGAAGCTCAGTGGGCCCGATCTCGGGAGCCAGTCAATGTTTTCTCTCGGCCCAGCCAGCCTCACAGGGCTGTTGTGGGGATTAAATGAGATGGGGCAGGAGAACTGCGTTTGCCACCACCTGGGAGCCAAAGGTGGGGTCTAAATGCCATGAACAAATCAATCAATAACAGTAAAACACTTGAGCTGGGTTGCTCCCAGGGATGTGAATATCCCGTCTTGCAGGATATGAACAAAGATTTATTGTGATCCTTACATTACTCTAGGAAGTTGTCTCTGTTGCTGCCTGAGATACAGGGGGGGGGATGAGGGGGGGAAGACATTGAATGATTTCAGTTTAAAAAAAGATCAACCCTAACTGCTTCCCTTTCTAAGAAGGACTTAGTCCCTTGTGACTAAGATATGGTTACCAGAATTTTTTCAATGAATCTGGGACACTTTTTTTTTTTTTAGATGAGTAGCAACAAGGAGTCAGTAGTGGGGATGGTGAGGCAAAAGACCCTGGACTCAAGCCATAGCTGTCAATGCTTCCCTTTTTTTAAGGGAAATTCCCTTATTCTGAACAGGATCCTCGCAAGAAAAGGGAAATGTTGACAGCTATGGCCCAAGCACGCATGCATATTGTATAAAGGTGCAAAGCTCTTCTTTCGTACACTGTGAAACATAAATGCGCAGAGTTTTTTAAAATCTGGGTAACAGCGCGCTGTCCGCCTGTGACTCCCAATCTAAAGCCTTCTTTCCCCTTTGTTTTGACAGTTTGGGGGAGGCTCAGGAGTCGCAGGCGGGCGGCCGTTGCCCAGGAGGGGCACAAGACGTGAGGTTTCTCTGCCAGGCAAGGTGCAAAGCCCTTCTTTCGTGCCTTGTGAAACATAAATGCACAGAGTTTAATAATAATAATAATAATAATAATAAATTTTTATTAAATCCTGCCCTCCCCAGCTGAAGCCGGGCTCAGAGTGGCTAACAACAATAAAAGTAACACAGCATTCTAAAATCAATTCATTCTAAAATGAATTAAATATCAAATTAATGGCAACCATTGGGCTAGAGTTCTGTGAGGTTTACAGAAGGAGGGGGTCAGACTGTGCCTTGGCCAAAGGCCTGGTGGAACAGCTCTGTCTTGCAGTCCCTGCGGAAAGATGTCAAGTCCCGCAGAGCCCTAGTCTCTTGTGACAGAGCGTTCCACCAGATTGGAGCCACAGCCGAAAAAGCCCTGGCTCTGGTTGAGGCCAGCCTAACCTCCCTGTGGCCCGGGACCTCCAAGATGTTTTTGTTTGAAGACCATAAGATCTTCCGTGGGACGTACCAGGAGAGACGGTCCCATAGGTACGAGGGTTCTAGGCCGTATAGGGATTTAAAAAACTGGGCAACGGCCAACCACCTGCAACTCCCAAGTCTCCCCCAATAAGTCAAAACAAAGGGGGAAGTCAGCAGGAGATCTGTAGCGCCAGACGTTCCCGGTTCCCCTTTGGAAGTGGCAGCAGCACATCATATGGGGACTTCTGGCGAGGAAAAATGGTGGGTGCCATGGCAGCGAGCAGCTCCTGAAGCCAGCCAGAGCCAACTGCGCTACCAAGCTGGCTCCAGGCTGCTGAGGCTGCCGCTGCCACGTTTCCTTGGATTTGCAAATCCGGGGACTGTCCCCGGGCACCAGGGACTTCTGGTAACCCTAGACTAAGAGGCATTTCCAAACATTCATATAGCTCAGTTGGGAGAACATAAGACTCTTAATCTGAGGGTTTTGGGTTCGACACCCACATTGGGCAAAAGATTCCTGCGTTGCAGAGGGTTGGACTGGATGACCCTTGGGATCCCTTCCGACTCTACTATCCTATGATTTTATGACCTCTGAAGCCACGGTGGGGCTACTTACCCAGTGGTTGGTGCAAGGCCCCTCGCCCTCTGCCAGGATCTTGCCATCTTCAGAGATCAGGACCACCTGGGAGTGGGTCCCTCCCCTGCGGTGGGGGGAGAAACAAAAGCCAAAATAGCCGAGTCAGAAGCCGCACGACAGGGGTTCATAAAATCATGCCTATCATGGAGAAAGTGGAGAGAGACGAGTTCTCCTCCCTCTCTCCTCGCACTAAAACCCGCGGTCGTCCGAGGAAGCCGGACGGTGGAAGATTCGGGACAGAGGAAAGAGAGGACTTTTTGAAACCTTGCCTTCCAGCAAGAGCAATGTGGAGAACATTACAATACACAAGAACAAAGAAAAGCACATAAAAAAAGATTTTTTACTCCCAAAATCCAAAAATTTTTACTCCCAAATCCTAAGTTCATTACATTGACAACAGACTTCCTCGAATCCCCTCTAAGTGAATTTCATTATATCACCTGTTTAGCAGTTCTCCAAATTCATATTTCTAATAATATTAACTTCTTTCATTTACCAACTTCTCCTTTATTAATATTCTAATCCTTAATATTTATAAACAACATATTCTTATTCTACCCCTCAGGCTATTTATTACTTCCAAGAAATTTCTCTTTATCTTATGTTACAATATCTAGCCAAATATTCTTTAAAATTCTTCCAGTCCTCTTGTGTCTCCTCTTCTTTCTGATTGCGGATTCTTCCAGTCAGGTCAGCCAGCTCCAAAAAATCCATCATCTTCATCTGCCATTCTTCTATTGTTAGTATCTCTTGCGATTTCCAGTTTTTGGCTAATAAAAGTCTTGCCGCTGTAGTGGCATACAAAAACGGTCTAATTGGGCAATTCCAATCCTATTATTCCAAGTAGAAAGGCTTCTGGTTTTTCAATAAATGTATTTTTCAACATTTTTTTCAACTCATTATATATCTTTTCCCAGAAGTCTTTCACCTTGGGACGCGTCCACCACATATGATAGGAAGTACCTTCTTTTTCTTTGCATTTCCAACATTATGTATCTGAGTTTCTAACACTGGCACAAGAGGATGCTGGGGAAAGATGCTCACGCCTTGAGCGTCGAGAATCTCGAAGCCATCTTTGGGCTCCATGTAAAAGACATCATCATCAACATCATCTTCATTTTATAATTTATACTCCTCTGGCTAGGTTCCTCCAGCCACTCTGGGCGGCTTACAGAACATATAAAACCTAATAAGGCATCAAACTTTTTTATTTTATTTTAAAGAATCAGATTTTCGTCAAGACTTCAACAAAACCTTGGCAGATGAAGATGATGGATTTTTTGGAGCTAGCCGACCTGACGGAAGAGTCCGCGACCAGAAAGAGGAGGATTACCAGGAGGAATGGACGGAATTTAAAGACTATTTAGTTAAATATGTTAAGTTAACTTAATTGGAAAAGCTTGCAAATATCAGGTAGGCTTAGGATTTAAATATGTAATGTGATTAATTAATATGTTTAATGCCAAATTTGAATGAAATAAAGATGTTAAGTGATTAAGTTAATTTCATAAGAACATTGGTTTTGGAAAACTGTTAAAATGATATACACTGAAATTCAACAAGGGGGATACGGGGAAGTCACTTAATAATGTTACTAAGATTGGTTTAAATATGCTGAGATTTATGTTTGTTTGTGTATTTGTTTGTTTAAAATTTATTGGAAAAGTAATAAAAAAATTTGGGGGAAAAAGAGACTTCGACACAATCTGCTTCATGCAGAGTTGGCGCGACAGCTGAGCAACACAACCCACTGCGAAGTCTCCACATGCAGCCATAAACACAACTGAGCAATGTTAAGTGGGGAGCTAAATGATGTTCTCTGCAGAGTACAAGCAGCTGGCTGTGCCGTCTTTTGCAAACAGATGCAGCCCATAATTGCAAAACTGGGCATGACCATTGAGCAACCAAAGTCACGCTGGGCTGGGCTGCTCCTTTTTGCATCACTGGGTTTGCAAGAAGCTGCCTCAGGAGAAGTCTGACAATTGTCCCATGCACTGCAGCACTCTCTACGCCATGGGTAGGCAAACTAAGGCCCGGGGGCCAGATCCAGCCCAATCTTCTCAATCTGGCCCACGGACGGTTTGGGAATCAGCATGTGTTTACATGAGTAGAATGTGTCCTTTTATTTAAAATGTATCTCTGGGTTATTTGTGGGACACAGGAATTCGTTCATATATTTTTTTCTAAATATGGTCCAGCCCTCCACAAGGTCTGAGGGACAGTGGACCGGCCCCCTGCTGAAAAAGTTTGCTGACCTCTGCTCTATGCCAACTGTCTGCAGGATTTCAGAGAGGGAAGTCTTTCTCGGCTCTGCCTGCTGTCAAGGACTGAACCCGAGACATTTTCTGTGCCAAGGAAATGCTCCAGCGCTGAATTATGGTCTCGTAAATCATCGTTTTTCATAAGGCTAGAAGCTATTTTTGTTCCCCATGCAAACATCCCAAAAGGGGTTTGGGTGTCCATTTGTGTCACCCAAGTGCATCGATGCACAGCCAAGCCACACATCTGCCTGTGACAGAGGAATCTCGTAGATTTGACAACTTTGCAGCGTATTTAGCGCTGAACAGTTGCAGAGATCCAGGCATCGCTCACATCTACCCCGTCTCCTTGAACACAACTGTAGCTGTGCTGGAAACCCCAAAATGGCAGAGACGCGTGCAACTGACAAGCCCTTCTTGCAGCCCAGCACCAAAGCCAGAAACCTGCGTGTTTAAGATCTAGAAGCAAGGAAAGCTCCTTGAAAAAGGAAAGTGGGGTTGTTTTATCATATGTGGTGGGATTGTAAAAAGGTAAAAGCCTATTGGGAAATGATAATGAACTGAAGAAAATATTGAAAATAACTTTTGTAAAAAAAACCAGAAGCTTTCTTACTAGGTATTTTTGGCCAAGACATACCAAAAGAAAAGAGGACTTTATTTATGTATGCTACCACAGCAGAAAGAATGTTGATCGCACAAAACTGGAAGACTGGAGAAATACCAATTAAAGAACAATGGCAAGAGAAGTTGATGAACTATGCAGAACTGGCAAAAAATGACAGACTGACTAAGAGAAAAAGACAACAGAGACTTTGAAAAAGAATGGGAACCGTTTATATTATACTTGCAGAAACAAAGAAAGTCAATAGACTTGATGGCAGGATTTAAATAAACATTCACACTGTTAGTATTAGAAAATGTTTCAAAGATAGAGAAATATTATGGTGTATTTACTTTTATCTTTTTAGGTTTGATATTGATAACTTTTTTCTGTTAGGAGGTAGCAAAGTGGGTGAAAGGAGAAACAAACCAGAAGTGGAAGTTGGGGGGAGGGAGGGAGGAAGGAAGGAGCACATAATAAATGTTAAGAATCTGAGGCAGGTGCTTTGTATTAAAAAGGCTGTTAGAACTCTGTCCTGCCGAAAGATCTATGCACAGCTCCACCCGGGTCTTTCAAAACCCAAGATTTCTCTGCCAAGTCTCATCCCTCGTGATAGCACAGAAATCAATAGTAATAAGAAAAAACCCACGAACTCTGTGCAATTTAACTTCCTGCATCCCTCAGTACACCTGGCAGGCAATCATCACCCTCGCCTCTAACCACCTGCCACTTCAAGCCACGTGAGACATTGGGGTAAAAACAGCACCCCGAAATGGAGGGCAAGAGTCAGTTCCCGTTGGAGACGTGGCCTGTTGAGATTGGTTCTGCGGATCACGCGGGAGATTTATGAGACAAGAATACACATGTTCGATTGAAACCCTCCAGCTGACAAGCTGGGCAGGGAGCAAAGCTGAGTTCTGCACCCCTCCAGCAACACCCACGGCCTCAAGAAAGCAGCCGAGACAGACCTTTCAGACAACCTCAGCACTAATTGGAGGAAGCGAAACTCTAACTGGGCAGCAGGCCAGTGTCTCTTGCCTCTGCAGAACACCCAGGTTCCTCCTCCAGTTATAGCCCTGCCCCAAGACGCACTTGCACTGTTGCCATCATCGGATTTCCCGGTTCCTAAGACATCAGCTTCCCTTTTTTCTCCACCTTTTGCTTCCACTGTTCTCAACCCAGGGTTAGAAAGCGATAGAGAACCCCTCAAAGTAAGAAGAATAAGAACCACATTTTAAAAGAATAATATGTCATAGAACAGGAATAAAGGGATCATAGGCTCTGTTTGGACCAGGGGCAGCCACCCAGGAACAACAACAACCAGAACAACAACAGCAGCAGCAACTTTGTTATTGCAATAACAACTTTTGAAGTATAGTTTTGGGTCGTCGTCCCCCCTTCACTTTCCCTTCTCTTTTTCTTTTTCTCTCTTTTATGTATGTCTCACCATGTTTAAGGTAAAGGTAAAGGGACCCCTGACCCTTAGGTCCAGTCGTGGCCGACTCTTGGGTTGCGGCGCTCATCTCGCTTTACTGGCTGAGGGAGCCGGCGTACAGCTTCCGGGTCATGTGGCCAGCAGGACTAAGCCGCTTCTGGCAAACCAGAGCAGCGCACGGAAGCGCCGTTTACCTTCCCGCCGGAGCGGTACCTATTTATCTACTTGCACTTTGACGTGCTTTCAAACTGCTAGGTTGGCAGGAGCAGGGACTGAGCAACAGGAGCTCACCCCGTCGCGAGGATTCAAACCGCCGACCTTCTTATTGGCAAGTCCTAGGCTCTGTGGTTTAACCCACAGTGCCACCCGCTTCCCTCTCACCATGTTTAGTGCACATATAATTATGTACTTTCTAACTTCCAATAAAGATGCCTGGCGATGATAGATAGATAGATTGATTGATAGATAGATAGATGATAGATATTAATGACAACGACAACAAAAGCTGCTTGACAGTGGAACAGATTCCGTTATTTATAGAATTATTTATTTGTTTATACCCCACCGATCTGGTTGCTCCAGCCCCTCTGGGCGGCTTCCAAGGCTCTGCATTGGTTGCTGGACTCCAGTACCCATCAGTCCCAGGAAAGGGTGGTCAGGGGTTGATGGGAATCTGTTGCCGCAGGTCCCCCCCCCCCGCTTTGGACCCCTCCCCTGGTGCCCTGCACACTCTCCTTTCAGCAACAGGCAAAGGCCTTTTCATTTGCCTCCTGGATATCTCTGTTTGGATCCCGCTTGCCTGCATATGACAGGTTTTGCTTTTTAAAATGATTTTGCCATAGCGTTTCAAACGGTGTCTGCTGCTCTGGGAGAGCAGAGGCGAGAGAAATGGAAAATTCATTAATCTGAGCACCTGTCGCTCTGTGCAAATACAAATCTGTGGTGCGCTTGGAAGAACAGCATGTGTGGTTCTGGGAAAGGAGATAGTAGAGCTGGAAAAAGGGCCACCAAAATATAAAGAATCAGAGAGTTGGAAGGATCATCTATTCCAGCCTTTCTCAGCCTTGGGTCCCCAGATGTTTTTGGCCTACAACTCCCATCATCCTGACCGCTGGTCCTGTGAGCTAGGGATCATGGGAGCTGTAGGCCAAAAACATCTGGGGACCCACAATTGAGAACCACTGACCCCTGCAAAGCAGGAATATGCAGCAGGATCAAACCTGCAAGGCTGGCGTTTTATCAGCACCAGGCTCTAACCGACGGAGCTCTCCGGGGGAGCAACTCTCCTACCAGGAAGGGTCACAGAGTTTGGGACTTTTTCATTGATAAAAAAGGCAAGGAAGAGGCAACAGGGCAGAAGCTTATAAAAGTATAACATGGTATTGAGAAAGCGGATAGAGGAAAGTTTTCCTCCCTCTCCCAGAAGACTAAGACTTGTGAACATCCCATGAAGGGAAAGGCTGGAAGATTCAGGATGGAGAAAACAAAGTCCTCCTTTGTGCAGAGTTGGACTGTGGAACTCCCTGCCACAGTGATGGCCACCAATTTGGATGACTTTCAGAGCAGGAAATTTGTGGAATAGAGAGCTATCGGCCACAATAGCTATAAATATAAATTATAATTGAAAATTATTATTATTACTGTGTTCAGCCTCTAATAATCGGTTGATGGGAACTGTAAGTGGGTACCCCCATCGTGGGCCTGTCCTGGGCGACCCTTTGGCCTGATCCAGCTGCAGAGCTCTTCCTGTGTTCCTAAGGGGGTTGAAGTATGTGGCTTTAGAGAGGATTCAGCACTGGACCTTTCCCTTGAGTACATCCAAGACGCATTTCACAGGCTGCATTCTAATGCATTTGCGGGGATCGGATGGCAGCCTGTCATGGATGCTTCAGCTGAGATCCCTGCAGCGGGTTGGACTAGAGGACCTCCGGGGTTCCCTTCCAGCTCTACAACCCTAGGATTCCCCGCATGCGGCGCCTGGCTGCGTTTTTGCCTTCAAGCCTCGCTGTTGGAAAGCCCTGCAAGCCGGGATTGCGAGGGCAGCTGCAGAAAGGATACGTGCAAGCGAGGAAGTCAATGAACGAACGCAAGAGGCAGGGGCAGCACTGAGAGCCAATAATAATAATAATAATAATATCACCTTGCCAATAAAGGTCCGTATAGTTAAAGCTATGTTTTTTCCAGTACAGTGGTACCTCGGGTTACATACGCTTCAGATTACATACGCTTCAGGTTACAGACTCTGCTAACCCAGAAATAGTACCTCGGGTTAAGAACTTTGCTTCAGGATGAGAACAGAAATTGTGTTCCAGCGTCAGGGCAGCAGCAGGAGGCCCCATTAGCTAAAGTGGTGCTTCAGGTTAAGAACAGTTTCAAGTTAAGAACAGACCTCCGGAACGAATTAAGTACTTAACCCGAGGTACCACTGTAGTGATGTATGGAAGTGAGAGCTGGACCATAAAGAAGGCTGATCGCCAAAAGAATGGATGCTTTTGAATTATAGTGCTGGAGGAGACTCTTGAGAGTCCCATGGACTGCAAGAAGATCAAACCTCTCCATTCTGAAGGAAATCAGCCCTGAGTGCTCACTGGAAGGACAGATCCTGAAGCTGAGGCTCCAAGACTTTGGCCACCTCATGAGAAGAGAAGACTCCCTGGAAAAGACCCTGATGTTGGGAAAGATGGAGGGCACAAGGAGAAGGGGACGACAGAGGATGAGATGGCTGGACAGTGTTCTCAAAGCTACCAGCATGAGTTTGACCAAACTGCGGGAGGCAGTGGAAGACAGGAGTGCCTGGCGTGCTCTGGTCCAGGGGGTCACCAAGAGGCGGACACGACTAAATGACTCAACAACAACGACAACAATAATAGCAATACCCCGCCCATCTGGCTGGTTTGCCTTTGAGGATCCAGCCCAGGTGAGGGCAAGGCTGGGGGGAAACAGGGACCCCGCTCCCATATCATGTGCGCCCAGGTAGGAGGCGGACGCGCCCCATCTCCTCCCCTCTGCCTGGCTGCAGGGTCCCTGGCCGGCTCCGGCCTCACTCACCCCTCCACGCCGCCGAAGATCGCAGCCATGGAGCCTCCGGGAGGGACCTGCCCGCCGACCCGCCCCGGACACCGAGGAGCCCCGGGGAGCGGAAGAGAAAGGAGGGCGAGAGCGCGCCAGGCGCAGCGGAGAAAGAGGAAAGGAAGGAAGGCGCCGCCTCTCGCTCCGCCTCCTGCTCCTCCCACGCGCGCCCGGGGCTATTTTGGGAAGCGGGGGAGGGGCACGAGGAAGAGGAAGAAGACGCCCCCCCGCATCGACCTCCCCCCACTTCTCCGCGCTCCCCGTTGCCCCGGGGCAGGGAGAGACCCCCGGCGCAGTTTGGGAAGGGGCTGCGTAAAAGCATCAGGGATTCTGGAGAGCTTTGGGTCCTGGGAACGCCTGGGGAGTTAGATGGGTGTCTCCTTGCAGGGAGATTGTTTTTTAAAAAGCGATTGCCAAGGACCTGCACAGAAGAGAATAATAATAATAATAATAATAATAATAATAATAATTTTTATTTATGCCCCGCCCTCCCCAGCCAAGACCGGGCTCAGGGCGGCTAACAAGCAATAATAAAAACAAGTTGAATGAATACAACTTAAAAACAAGAGTAAAATACAACAATTAAAATATTGAAACATTAAATGTTAAAATGCAGCCTCATCACAGGAGGAGAAAGGAAAAAGAGAGAGGGGGAGGGAATCAAATTGGCTCCAAGCCAAAGGCCAGGCGGAACAACTCTGTCTTACAGGCCCTGCGGAAAGAAAGAAGCGGGAAATAGGAGTTGGGAGGGACCCCAAAAGGTCCTGCAGTTCAACCCCACCCTCCAGCCCAACGTGGGTCTTCAACCCACCGCCTGGGGTTAAGATGCTCCACTGACTGAGCTACCCTAGGCCTATATTGCATCATCATCATCATCCTTATCGTAGTCATTATTGTTATACTGTATTTTATGCTGCTTTTAAATTTGTTGTTAGCCGCCCTGAGCCCGGTTTTTGAACCAGGAAGGGCGGGGTATAAATAAATTTGTGGGCTTTCCTTCCTTGGAGGTTAATAATACAGTGGTACCTCAGGTTACAGATGCTTCAGGTTACAGACTCCACTAACCCAGAAATATTACCTCGGGTTAAGAACTTTGCTTCAGGATGAGAACAGAAATCGTGCTCCGGCGGCGCAGCAGCAGCAGGAGGCCCCATTAGCTAAAGTGGTGCTTCAGGTTAAGAACAGTTTCAGGTTAAGAACGGACCTCCGGAACGAATTAAGTACTTAACCCGAGGTATCACTGTAATAATAATAATAATAATAATAATAATAATAATAAATATTTATACCCTGCCCACTCTGGGCAGCTCCCAACAGATTAAAAACAGAGGCTGGAGGATGGCCACCTGTCCTGGATGTTTTAGCTGAGATTCTTGCATCACAAGGGGGACAGACTTGATGACCACCGGGGGTCCCTTCCAGCTCTAGGATTCTTTGGTTTAGCTCGGTATGTCCATGTTTGATGAGGAAGCCCTTGATCGGCCTTCAAAAACCGAAGAATTTTAAGTTTGCCTTCTGAAAATGTCAGGCAATGCAAAATAATGCTAAATAAGAAAAATACTAGACTGAGCTCATGGGCCTCATTTGCAGAGCTGTTTGCTTTTTTGCAAAATAATAAAGCCTTGCATACCCTGTTTCACTGGCAGCGATGTTGGGGTGAGCACAACATATCGCGCCCCCAACAAGCAAAGGCCATTCTTTCAATCTGCCTGCAGCTTCCTGGGGGGGTGGGATATTTTCCAGTCTTCAGTTTTCTCCCTTGCTTTGGCTGAATCTGGAGATCTGGAGCAGTTTTCCAGGGCCGACATCAGAGGGTGCCAGAGATTAGTAAATAACAGCAGGCAGGATGTTTGGGTTGCATAAGGATATTTTGACACACTTCTTGTGCCCGTTGAAGGCGGCTGGAAAGGAGAGTGGAGGGCCCTGGCATGATGCCACCCTGAGGGGCTCCCTTGGGGCTGCTCTCTCCCCCCGTGTCCGTGGGCAGAGGAAATCTCCAAATTAAATGGGGAGACTGGCCAACGGTTTGTGCAGCAAATCGAATGCGACGGTTCAAACAACAGACCCTTCTGCATGCTCACCTCCCGCTAAAGCAACTGCTTCTGCAGCAGAGTGCCAATTTTTTAAAAAAAATAATTAAAAAATAAATAAATAAATAAATACACCCCCCACTCAGACATTTCCAATAAAATGCAACCCTTCCCCGGGTGGGAATGTTGGCCCCTACAAAGAGGGCATGTCCGGGAAAACCCAGACACATGGCAATCTTAGTGCCATTCCCCCCTCCAATGGAATTATCACTATCATTATTATTATTATCATTATCATCTGAAGGTAGCCCTGCTTAGGGAAGCTTTTAATGTTTAACAGAGTATTGCATTTTAGTATTTTGTTGGAAGCCGCCCAGAGTGGCTGGGGAAACCCAGCCAGATGGGCGGGGTATAAATTCTTATTCTTATTCTTATTCTTATTCTTATTCTTATTTATCAGTGCTTTTTCTAAAAAATGTTTTGGGGTACTCTCACTTTGACTCAAGAAAATCACCATTTTAAAGTTCAAATCGGGAAAAATAAATACAGGAAATGGACAAAAGTACAAAGATTCACAAAACCTTTAGGGGGTATGCGTTCCCCTGCACCCCCCCCCCAAAAGCACTTATTATTATTATCATCATCATCATTATTTCCATTTCTATACCCCTTTACATTTTAAAGAACAAATCTCAAAGAAGTTTACAACACATTAAAAATCGAATAAAGCAATCCCAAATAAAACAAGTTCACGCATCAAGGAAAATATTTCAAAGTGGCATTTTGCTTTCCCCAACCAGAGATCTCCACGTGGTCACAGAACGCGCCTGGCACCTGGCTGATTTGAACCCAGCTCTGGACGCTCCTGCCCACGGTGTCCTCATCCAGTAGCTCAGAGTCACTAGGCGACCCGACCCGCTGCCAATCTCCCTCGACGGGCCATGAGCCCATTTCTCTGCATGTTCCTCAGGAGGTGGATAAGGCAAGCAAGAGATCTGCCTCCTTGGGTAGAGCAGGCCACAAATGGGGAGCCACCGCAGAAAAGGCCCTGTTCTCCAGCTCCCACCCTCTAGATCTTCTGCAGAGGGAAAATACAAACAAAGGGGCTTGGATCCCAATTGCAGGGGCCAAGTTGGTTCATGATAATAACAATTATTATTGCTCTTGTTTTGCAGTCTCTCGGCTTGAAATCCTGGGAGAATCTCCCGCACTGTCCTAAATCCAGCGCTGATATGGGAAACAGGCTCAAAGCAGGATGACCAAGACGACCAAGGGACTGGAAACCACGCCGGATGAGGAACGGCTGAATGAGTTGGGTAGGTTTCACCTGGAGAAGAGGAGATAAGAGAGCCATCGTCAAAAAATATCTGAAAGGCTCTCACGTGGAAGAGGGAGCAAGCTTGTTTTCTGCTGCTCCAGAGGGGAGGACTCGAACCCATGGCTTCAAGTTACAGGGAAGGAGATTCCGGCTAACATCAGGAAGAACTGATGGTAAGAGCTGTTCAATTTTTGGTTACTGTTTTTGTAAAAGAAAATAACAATGTAAAAAGAAAAGAGAGAGAGAGAAAGAAAAGAAAAGAAAAGAAAGAAAGAAAGAAAGAAAGAAAGAAAGAAAGAAAGAAAGAAACTTGTTCAAGAGTGGAACAGACTCCTTCAGAAGGCAGTGAACAATACAAGACGATACGATAATCTTTATTGTCATTGTCCCATACAGAACAACGAAATTGGAAAACAAAAACTCCAAAGAACTCTCCTTCTTTGGAGGTTTTTAAGCAAAAGTTGGGTGACCATCGACCAGGAATTCTTTAACTGTTATTTCCTGCATTGCAGGGGGTTGGACTAGATGACCCTCGGGTCCCTTCCAACTCTCCAGTTCTATGATTTTATGAAATTCATGGAGGAGGTGGCTGTTAACAGCTACTAGCCAGGCTGGTAGGCACCAATGCTCCTGAGGGCCAGTTGCTGGAAATTGCAGGAGGACAGAGTGCGAATCCTGCTTGCTGGTTTTCCATTGCGACATCTGGCTGATCACTGTGAGAACACGATGCTGGACTGGACGGACCATTGGCCAGATTCAGCAGGGCTCCACTTAGGTGTTTCTGTTCTTGTGTTGCTCTTGGGCCAGCAGCCGTGGCATCCGAGGGGTCCTGCATCGGCAACACTGGGAAAGGAGCGAAATGCTTCTGACTTGATTGTTCCCAGGAATCCCCTCCATTCTGCTGAGCCCCACAGGAAAGCTCAGTGCATGGGCCCAGCATGTCTGAAAGAAGAGCTCGATTCAGTTGCCGTTAGTATTTCTACATTTACACCTGCATCTATAATAATAATTTTATTATTTATACCCCGCCCATCTGGCTGGGTTTCCCCAGCCACTCTGGACAGAAGAGCTGTCCAGCATCCAACATAATATTAAAATATAATAGCCTATTAAACATTAAAAGCTTCCCTAAACAGGGCTGCCTTCAGATGTCTTCTAAAAGTCTGGTAGTTGTTGTTCTCTTTGACATCTGGTGGGAAGGTGTTCCACAGGGTGGGTGCCACCACCGAGAAGGCCCTCTGCCTGGTTCCCTGTAACTTGGCTTCTCACAGTGAGGGAACTGCCAGAAGGCCCTCGGCGCTGGACCTCAGTGTCCGGGCAGAACGATGGGGGTGGAGACGCTCCTTCAGAAGACGACCTTGCTCCGCCTTCCGAGGAACGGCCCTTTAGAAAAACCAAAATCTTACCATGGCTTGGCTGCCTCTTCTGTACCAAGCTAGCTGTAACATCAGATGTACATCAGGGTGCAGTCAAGACACATATAAAAACACTATGAAAATGTTTCTTTAAAAATGAAATAAATAATAATCTTTTTTATTCAGTTCTACACTATGCATTTGAATTCAAACAGTAATCATTATCATCAACATTTAGAATTTTCTGAATCCTTAGACTTCCCTCCACCCCTCCATGGTTTCCATTATCAAACTTTTTCTACTGCATCATATATTTTCTTTATTTTTCTTAAAACAATACATTTTTACCTTACCTTTTAATACATTACAAGCCTTCCTCAAATCCTGCCAAAGTTTGTAGTTGTTTACAGTGTTCTCTTAAGTAAATTGTAAATTTATTCCATTCCTTATTAAAGTTTCTACCTTACTGGTTTCTGATTTCCCCGGTCATTTTCGCCATTTCGGCATAGTCAATCATCTTCATCAGCCATTCTTTTCTGTTTGGGATTTTATCTTCTTTCCATCTCTGGGCCAGTAATATCCACGCTGCTGTGGTCACATACATAAATAATCTTTTCTGCTCCTTTGGTATCTCTGCATCTAAAATTCCTAGTAAAAAAGCTGATTTTTCCACAAACATTTAAACACTTTTTTTCAACTCATTATATATCATTTCCCAGAATTCTTTTGTTATCTTGCACGTCCACCACCAAATGCTTTTTTAAAAAGTGTTTTGAAAAATACATCGAATTTGCCGTAAGCTCACCATCGCAATCTAGTGTCACGTTTGCATAATGTACTTGAAACATACTCACTAGAAGGACAGATCCTGAAGCTGAGGCTCCAGTACTTTGGCCACCTCATGAGAAGGGAAGACTCCCTGATGTTGGGGAAGATGGAGTGCACAAGGAGAAGGGGACGGCAGAGGACGAGATGGTGGGACAGTGTTCTCGAAGCTACCAGCATGAGTTTGACCAAACTACGGGAGGCAGTGGAAGACAGGAGTGCCTGGCGTGCTCTGGTCCAGGGGGTCACGAAGAGGCGGACACAACTAAATGACTCAACAACAACAAGCTGAGTCCCAGGTCTGCTGATGTCTCCTAGCCACAGCGACCATGCTCTGCCCTCCTCAGTCAGAGGCCGCAAGGGGCTTCTGAACACCGGTTGCAGGAAAGCGCAGGAGTTGCTCTGGCTCTCGAATCTTGCTTGCTGCTTTCCCACAGAGAGCCAGTGTGGTTTAGTAGTTAAGAGCGGTAGACTCGTAATCTGGTGATCCGGGTTCGATTCCCCACTCTTCCACCTGCAGCTGCTGGGTGACCTTGGGCCAGTCACACTTCTCTGAAGTCTCTCTGCCTCACTCACCTCACAGGGGGTGTTATGGGGGAGGAAGGGAAAGGAGAATGTTAGCCGCTTTGAGACTCCTTCGGGTAGCGATAAAGCGGGATATCAAATCCAAATCCACGGAGAACAGGGCAGTGGGGTGCAAGGGCTGCTGGCCTGACCCAGCGGACTCTTCTATGGTCTTATGTGCCTAAGAGCCACAGGTGTCGCGACATTCCCGCACAGCCTGGCCTCGCTCTCTTTCTCATCTATGCGTGCCGGCGAGATCTCTGCCCCTTTCCCATCCCAGCACAGTCCTGCCTTTCTCACTGAGGACTCCAGCTCAGCTTCCTTCCCCCCACCAACTTGCACACAGCAGCAGTGGCAGGGCAAGGGTTAAGGGCCCCCCCCCAGGAAGAACGGCCAGGCGTGTGCATGGGGGGGACAGGAGAGTCCAGGCGTCGCCACCCGATTCTCCACCTCATTAACTCCCTGAGTCCTCTGGCACCAGCCTGTCTGTCCCATGTGATGGGAACGCTGGGAGGAGGAGGAGGCGGCAGAGAGACCCCCCCCCCAGGACGCTCTGCTACCCCTTTTTCGGTCTGGACTTGGGACAAAGTTTCAGTCCAGCACTGAGCAAGCTGGAGAAGCAACACTCAGGTAAGTCCTCTTATCTCAGACTTCCAGGGTGCTTTGGATAGAAGGGACCCAGAACTAACTGGCTTCCCTCCCCTGTAAGGAGTTTCCTTGGAGGTCAGGGGTGTCAGGACTGGAAGGAAGACCCGGTGGATCTCCTGTTGTACCTCTGTCCTTTGAAGGACAGGATCCTGGACCTCACACCCCCCCAGCAGCCTGGCTTGGAGACCTCGAAGGAAGGTGGTCTCATGATCTTGTCCTCCGTAGCGGATCCCAGGGGCAAACAGCTCTCAACGCTCAGATGGTCCTCTTGACTCCCTTTGGAGAAGATCCGTTCCTCTTTGTCTTATGCACAGTATTTTGGGGGTGGAAACGGCTCGCCTCTTCTGTCAGAAGAGTTGTCCATGGCTGTGGTGAGAGTGGGTCGTCCAGGAATCCTGCATTTTTCTGTGGTCTGCATTGGATTGGGGCTCACCCGACTGGCATACCTCAGTTTTTCTTATGCATTTGGCCTCCCGTGGGATATAGATATATATTTGAGTCCGCTTTGTGTATCTGATGAAGTAGACTGTTGCCAAGGAAAGCTTGCACCACTGCAAATATGTCGGCCTTCAAGGTGTCATGGGTTTTGCTGCAATGAACTAGTGGGGCTGTTTATAAACCCCTCTGGAGGTTTGCCTACAGAAGACCAGGAGTCCCCAACAGCTGGGAGTGGATCTCCCCATAGCAGGCAGGAAGTTTTTTTGAAGCAATACTTATTCCTATCAAACCCGTTTGCCAAGAAGCAAAAAATTGGATGCATGCCCGCTTCAAAAGCAGCAATTGCCTCTCTCGACCGCCGTTCAATTCACTGCAAAAACCACTGTCTGCGTCTCTCCTTGTTCATTTCTTTATTTTATTAATTAAATGTATATCCCGCCTTTCTTCCCAAAGGAACCAGCTATCTCCACTCTCCTCCTCCTCTTAAACTAAACTCATGATGGGATTTCATTCTGGACCCATTACAGTCCTTGCAGCTCCCGACCTCTGAATCCTTTCACTGTCTGCGCTTTGAATTTGCCCTTTGTTTATTGTCTTTAATCAATAAAGCGTTTTTAAAAAGAAAAAAAAGCCTGGCCTTTTAGGAACAACCTCAGACTTTGGTGGAAATAGCAACAGCCCTGAATGTGGTTCAATATAGCGCAGTTGCTGTGGGGAGATGGTTTTGCGTGCTGCTCGGATAAATCGTCTTGGCCCAAGGCCCCAGATTCCTCCCCAGAGATTGTCCCTCCACAAATGGATGTTGTTGTGTTTGCTGTCTGCTGTTTACCAACTGAGAAGGGTCGTTTCCCTCTCCTCTCAGGATTCCCCTGCTGGTGCTGACTGTGGAAACCCAGAGGGATCGGTTGCATGCAAAAATACAGGTGTCGATGGCAGGACTTGTATTTTGGGGCCACCATGCCTAATCCAAACCAGCCTTTAGTACAGAAGGGGGAAATGTGGGAGAAACTAGACAAACCAGAAAGATGACCCTGACTTCCATCAGCCTGTTTCATTTACGTGACATCATTTAGCTGTGATTCCTGTCTTGCAGCGGGTTAGACTAGATGAGTCTTTGGGTCTCCTCCGTCTCTCTAATTCCATGACCTACTCACAACAGCAGGTAGATTTTCCTGCTTCTTCCTCTGCAATACTTTGACTGATGTTTCATTGAAAAGGTAGACTCCAGTCAGAGGAGGACTGCTCCAGAGAAATGGGAGCAGTGTAAGCTGGGGTTGTGCGCAAACATGCAATGTAAGCATAAACAACTATCACATGCATGCATGCTAATCACATGCTAGTTGTTCACGGTGCAAATGCACAAACTTTCCAACTCCTGCTCCCCATCAAATCCACTGGGTGGGTTCTCGGCCGTCTGTGAACTGGCAAGCGATGGAGTGGCCTTCCAAGGGGCAGAGATTCCTGGAGGGTCATTGCTGATGCCGCCAACTCTAAGTGGTGCCGAGTGACCCAAATACTGTGCCTGGCGCCACCCACCCAGAGCAAGCGGCAAGGGAAGCTTCCAAGGCGCATTTCGTCCGGGTGGAAAGGGAGGGAGGGGGCAGGCGAGCCTGAATAAAGTGAGAGAAATACCTGGACTCGGGTGCAAGGGGGACAGAAGGTGGCTTTGTACTGTTTCGTCGTGACAGTGGCATGTTGTTGTTGTTGTTGTTTGCCTTTTAGCATGGAAAACACGGAGAAGGGAATTGTCTGCGTTTCGACAGTGCTTTGGGCTTTCCCGTTTCGCTCCCTTCTTGTTATGCTTCTGTTGTTGTTTCAGAGCTGACCGGATTCAGGCTACAAGAGCAAAAAAATTCAGAGGAAGCCTCAAAGAATACGCTTCCGCACAGTGGGAAAGTATCCTCCACTTTTACGGCGAATCGGCCATGGCTACGAAGGGTGAACGCCACAGGCGACAAAGGATGGGCGGAATGGACCCCGACCTGAAATTCTGAATATGGACCGTTCCGTTGGAGGCAGAGAAATGGGAGGTGCAAAGTTGGATGTGCAGTTTCCTCTCTTTGCCCCAGATGACGGGCCTTGGGAACCCGACGCCTCATTCGAGCATCTTTTAGCCATGCCACACAGAGGACTCACAGGCTGCGATCTCTGTGACGAGAGGAACACTTTTGGGTTGATGCAAGTTTGCTGGATGTTGGGATCAGGGCCCGGCGAGGAGAATGGGATGGGAAGCCTGGAGGACCAACGTGCAGAGGATGAGCTTGGTGCTCAAGGGGGCAGAACCGTCGGAAGAGGGTTGAATTGCAGCCCTGCAATGCCAATTCGGGATCAGGGCTGCTGTTGGCTGTTTTCACCTGAATTGGGTGGTGCGCTGCGCGCTTCCTAAATCACCACCAGCGATTTGAACGTGCCTTTGCCATTGCTCCTGGCACCTGTGGAATACAAGGGCTCAGAGCGTTCAAAATCCCACATGCTGGGAGACTGGGTTTTGACCTTTCCATAGGGATCATCCCCTTCCTGGACGCCGAAAGCTGGGGAGCTGTAATCTCATGAAAGTTGGACGGGTGGAACGAGGCGCCAGAACTTCGAAGAAAGAAATCCCGAGGAATGCTGACTTAGGGACGTTTCTCTGTCCATGCAGGACCACGGAGGTGAACTTTCTTCCAGTGAATTGTCTGCTTCTCAGCATATCTCTTCCCTCTTTGCCTGCTTCCATTTCTTTAACGCTTTTTCTTTAGCCCATCATCTGAGTGTTGTGACCCAACAGGGATCTCTCTGCAACATTACACCTCTTGAATTGCAGGGCGATTCTTTGCCTCCTTTAAAACCATCATCATTAGTACTATTACTATTTAATCATTTTTATCATTGCAGTCATAATTATGATTTACCTGCCCTTTACCCTAAGGTCCCGGGGCATGTTAAAGTGTTAAAACCCAAGATTAAAAACAATGTAAACCAAGTTGCAATCCTAAAAGTAAGGCCTGTCCTAAAGACATGGCAATCTCCAGTGTCCAAAGAGCTGTGTCTTCAGCATCCTGTGCAATAATAATAATAATATTTATACCTCGCCCATCTAACTAGGTTTCCCCAGCCACTCTGGGCGGCTCCCAACAGAATATTAAAAACATAATACAGCATTAAACATTAAAAACTTCCCTAAACAGGGCTGCCTTCAGCTGTCTTCTAAATGTCAGATAGTTGTTTATTTCCTTGACATCTGGTGGGAGGGCGTTCCACAGGGCAGGTGCCACCACCGAGAAGGCCCTCTGCCTGGTTCCCTGTAACCTCACTTCTCGCAGGGAGGGAACCGCCAGAAGGCCCTTGGAACTGGACCTCAGTGTCCTAGCAGAACGATGGGGGTGGAGACGCTCCTTCAGGTATACTGGTGCCAGGTGCACCTCTGTGGAGAGGGAGACCCATAGCTTAGGGGCTGCCCCAGAGAAGACCCTGTCCTCCCGGACAACCATCACCCCAAGCCTCTTAGGGTGGGGGAACTGCCAATCGTCCCCTGCCCCCTCTGCCGATCTCAGCACCCGAGAGGGTCTGTGAAGAAGGAGAGGGCCTTTCAGGGCTTTAAACATCCTTCTTGAACTGAGGCTGGAAATGAGCTGGCAGTCAGCGCAGCTGTTTTAAAACAACGGTAATCTATTAATGGCGTCAGAAGAGCTCTGCTGATGCATTGGGTTAAAGGTCTCTCCAATCCTGCCTCCTTGGCTAGCCAGATGTTTCCAGGAAGCTCGCAATCCAGGCAGCAAGGCAATAGCCCTTTTTGCAGCCAGGCTCTGGTAGCCAAAGGTAGACTGCCTCTGAACTTGGAGGCTCCACTGGGCTATCAGGGGGGTTAATCATCGTGGAGGGAAACATTT